CAGAGAGGGTCAAGGACCGCCTTTCCGCTTCTGTGGGACGCCACCACCCCATGATCAGACGTCAGATGCAGCTCCTAAACTATGGGCGAGGATAGATCAGATCCACCAATCAGAGGCCAAAAGCCATTTGCCACAATTGCCGCTGCCAAGGCAAGGACAATAGAGATACATGCAGATGGATGTACGTGTACATGCTTTTCGATACCCCCTCGACACAAAATAATATGCCTGTTAGGATGTTTGTGTGTGTGGGGGGGGGGGGGGGGGGGGCTCCTCTAAAGTTATCTTAGGCTGGTTTCCGTAACAGTGATAGTTTCACGGATAATAGAATTGCAGCGCTGCTCTCAATCCTCCCCATCTTGTCTTTGCCTATCAGGTACGAACACAGCTGGATAGCTTGCGTCGCAGCGTTCTGATCGTAGCACACGACATGGATGATGTGCGCGTGGAGTCGGTGGCAGCTCATCGTCAGGCGTATGGCGCTCACCAGGCTGCAATGGCGGCCCGGGACGAGGCCAGCGAGGCGCGGCGCCAAGCGTCCGGCTCCAACACTGCATCCCAGGCGGCCCGTGACCAGGCCAAGCTGGCCCATCACGACGCCAGCGGCGCCAAGGAGGCCAGCCTGCGTGTCCTCTCCACGATCACCAGTGCCAGCTTTGCTACGAGCATGAGCAATGCGTTCGGCGCCGCTCGGAGCAGCTCTTCCCCGCTCATCAGCAAGCAGGGCTCCTCAGACTCCATACTGAAGGTACAAGGGGAAATCCCTAGATTACGGATACAGTCAACTTCGCTTATAACGACACTAGGCGGGGCATCAGAAAAGTGTCCCTATCCGCAAAGTGTCGTTATATCCGAAGTCTCATTATATGTGTCACAGTTGGATGGGACTTTGCTCCGGGCATGAAAATTATGTCGTTATTCGCGAATTGTCGTTATATCCGCAGTCGGTATTAGCGAAGTTGACTGTACATGCATCTGAGGAACTAGGCAGCATGATATTTAGGGAGGTGTTCTGATTATTGCAGAGTGCATTTGTAAACTGTATAAGACGGTGAGGGATGCACGAATGTGTCCCAGGTGGAAAATCAGCAAAAAAACTCCTTCGGTGTCAAAATTGACCCACTGTGACTATAGCGAAGAATGCCGTGGGCGTGGGTAGACCCGTTCTGCTGCATGCTGATGTGGTGTGTGGCTCTGAAAACGAGTTGTGACGACTACCCATTGTCAGTTGCACTGTTGGCTGGAAAGTTGTAAGCTACCAGTGCAGTGTAGTGCCGGGCCAGGATCACGGTAGCCCAAACGATGGCCAGGCAGCTGCAGAGCATCACTAGACATGCCTGGGTTCGTGAACATTTACCAATGACACTTCAACCCAGCAAACACTTTGTCCTTTGTACTACGAAGTACTACTGTAGTTTACAATTCAAGCAGGTAGTAGCATATTTGGTGAGTTCAATTATTTATTTATTTTTGAAGTGACGTATGCAGCGAAGAGACCGTATTTGGATAGTTGGAGTTGAGGTCACCCTGATTACTAGTTGGCAATAGCAGTGCACGCTGCATTGATTAACGATCGATTGGGCACGAACCGTGCGTGATGACAAAATAATATATTATATTAATAATAAGCACACTGGATTGATGGTCGCAGTGGCTGCTTCCTACTCAACTGGTTAACATTGCTGATTGTACTTGTTCCATCGTGTTTTGCGTCTCTAGATTCCAGTACGTGACTCCACCTTGAGTCTGACAGATATCCATGAGCTGGACTTGCACTCAAACTCGAGCGACCGTGGTTCCACGGCGCCCATGTACGCAACAGCTGCCACCACAGCCGTAGCATCGGCAATGGACGAAGCACCGCCAGGGTACCTTGCAGCAACAAGCGGCGGCGCCGGCATGGCAATTGCCAGCGCGGCGGCCATGGAGCCCCCACCAGGCATGGCTGCCACCAGCTCAGCCGGTAACCTCGACGACGAGCCGTTACACGTGTCCCCGGCGCCCGGCGCCCAGGGCGGCATGGAGTACGGTGGTGGAGGCAGCCCGGCGGTGGGAGACCTGGGTGCTGTTGCTACAGCTGCTGCTGCTGCTGGTGCTGGTGGTGGTACTGGCAGTGCCCCTAGCAGCCTCACCAGAGCGGTTCAAGTGACTGCAGTGCAAGCGGTGGCTGGACGGCGTCCCAGCTCTAACTCATACCTCACTGCTATGGGTAAGGTGGCGAATGTGCAGAACGGTGCAATTACTAGTATTCTTTTTTCCATTATCCTCTCGTGCTGCACAGCTGGTGAATTTTACAGATGGCCACAGTTTCGTTGCTTTCAAGCAGCCGAATAGGAATGCCCAGAGTACACCCGCTGTAACAGCTGCATTGGTATACCGTACATGCGCTTTGATTGTTCGTGTATATACTTCCTCTGCAAACACAAACTAAGGGGGTTTCGATCATCCACCTCTCAGTTCTGGTGAGTCAAGCTCTGAGGAATCGAGCTATGGCAACTCCTCCCGTGAGACTCAAATGGTCCAAAGTTCTCTCCTGTAAATAGTGTTACATGTACTAACATCCACTCATTCAACGATTTTCTTCAAGTGCTCTTGGTCCCCTGAATCAAATTTCTTGTACACAGTACTACAGTAGCTCCTTGGGAAATGAATAAAAAATGTCATGAAGTGTTTTTTTTCCCGGAGGAAGTAATACATCCCAAGCGGTGTTGAATGAGACTCCTGTTTCCCAGACCGGTACTCCAGTAGTCATAAGCTGGCACACTTTAAAAATGCTCCTACTTCGAACTGCATACATTCCCCGGTTTGACGCTCTGGTTTTCATGTTTTTGAAACACCGGGTCAAGTGAATGGTAGTCGTAAGGGCTGGTATGTTCCTCCCCCACCCGGGCAAGTTTGATCCAGGATGTACGTGGGGGAGGGGAGGGGGGGGGGGGGTGCATGCGTGAGTTTAACCGTCCGTACTCCAACACTGCCATCGTTCTTTGCCCTCTTTTCTTTGCTTGTGTCTTTCTGACAACAGATGCCAGCAGTATCGGTATGCCCCGGCGCCCTGGTCGTGTCAGTGGCAATAGTGTGTTTGCCAGTGAGCCAGAGTCAAACTCTCTACGCGTCTCCGACATCGCAACCAAGAGAGAGGCGCCGGTATTCATTTCGCACGTGCGCCGCTTCGACTTTGCTCTCAAGTGCACGCTGGCTGCGCTGAAGGTACATTGTGTTACCATGGTTACCTCCTGTACACCTCCTGTACTTCGAAGTACAGTGAAACCTGGTTTAAGCGACCACCCCACGGTGCAAGCAAAAGCGGCCGTTAAAGCCAGGTGGTCTTTAGAACCAGGTCCCACAGTATCTGTGTAGAACTGTCGGTGCGTGGAAAAACGGTTGTTAAAAGCAGGTGGTCGCTAAACCCAGAGGTCGCTTACACCAGGTCTTACTGTAATAAGATTCACAAGTCAAGCAGACCACATAGCAAGATTTTCCTTTCGGCCATGTTTTCTAAAATTTAGAAGATGGCCGTCGTGTACGACTTAAAAAGATCCCACGGAAATTGACACGAATATCTCGGCATTTCCCGAACATACCTCTAGTGTATTTGACTTTCCGGTGCGTGTGTTCAAGTGTGGTGAGGGTTCCTTGGTGTAGTGGTTATCACATTTGCTTTACACGCAAAGGGTCCCGGGTTCGAACCCCGGAGGAACCTGAGCTTGTTTTTTTTGTGGCTTTTCATCCGCAACTCTGCTACTCCCGTCCATTTGCCCTCTCTCCAACCAGCAACACCCAAACTCCCGAATTCAGCCTATGGGTTTTTTTGCATGGCCGGTGATGAACATCTTTCCGGGGTATATCTTCTCATCTGTCTGCTTCAGATTTCCGAGTTACAGGATTTGCAGGTAACGTCTTACACAAAGAAAGCTTCATGTGCCCATGCAAGTCGCGGGAACTTTCGTTCGAGGGGGGGGGGGGGGGCTACACTTGCTGGGCCCGGCCGTCTTGGTGATGGGACTGTAAGGTTTGTCCAGTGCTAAACGTTCAACGTGTGTGATTGTGTGTCTGCCTGCCTCTCTGTCTTTCTGTGTCTGTCTCTCTATCTTTCTGTGTGTTTGTCTGTTCTTTGACAATGACGGCTTCTGAACAGCATCCGTCGAGTGATCACAGACATCGTCGTGTCCCCTCTGGCAGTGGTGACGGCTCACCTCTCGTTCACAGGGCTGTGTCCAAGGTGTTTGAGCAGGCCTCCATGTCGGCCAGCCAGGCGTTTCCGTTTGGCGAGGTAAGCATGGCGACGTGATACGGGTTGATTACCGTGGTAGCTGGTAGCCCTATTAGCAGATCAGTGCAGTGCTTGCAGTGACCAGTGGACAGACCAGGTCACCAAACATCTTGTCTTTGATACCAGGTGAAGTGTGCAACTACATGTACAGTTAAAACGTTACAGATGACTACAGCTTCATTTCTTTAAAAGAAAAAGTGGGGATAACAGAGAGGACACTGACCTACTGTACGCACTGTAGAATAGTGCTCATGCACGTTCCATGATTCACGAGGTAGGATTCCGTGTAGCACAAGCCTGCTTTAGAGGCTGTATCAATTGGGTTCTCTGCATGCTGGTAGGTACTGTACATCCGTTATATTTCCGTCAGTTCGTTTTAATTTCGTAAATTCCGTAAGGCTCTCGCCAGTTACGAAACTAAAACGCTTACTAAACTGTGTCACACTCACTGTACAGTACTCTACACATGTACGTAGCAGCCTGCGCCGATTGATGGGATTAGCGAAAGTTAGATGACTACGAAGTGTTCTTTTTCTCAGTTTACCAATATTACGAGTCGCTGATACGAAATGTAATTGATTTACAGTAATCGGCTGTAGTTTGTGCTGCTCCCGTTGTGTTCTGCTGCAGTGGACGATGCAGGAAGACGTGCCCGTGCAGGTTCAAACTCCGCGTCGCATGTGTGTGCTCGGCGACACGCTCTATCTAGTGTGTAGAGAAGTGTCGGACGCCGGCAAGAGAACATATCTCATTGGAAGCACTAATCTCGAGGTAAGTGCGTGAGACGTCTGCTGTGAAGTCTCCACTTGTATCAGGGTCGTAGTACTCGGTGCGGGAGTTCCGGCCATTATTTCGAAAAACTTCACCTACGTAATTCATGCGAAACTGCGTTTTCTTCCTGTCAATGATAATGTTCGTTTCCGGTCGAGTGCCCGTTTAGTCGGACCGCCCAATCTACCATTGTCACGGCCCTGTGTATGCCTTAGTCTCTACTTCAAGTACTGTTGATCTGGGCCCAATGTGGCTGAACCGTTGTCATGGTATGCCGGAAAGTTCCTGTCCATGATTGTTAGTGCTTGGCTGGAAATAAAGTTGGATTGATGTACAACGAGGTGTTTTCATACCCCACCTGTTCTTACAAGTGCAAGGGGAAGAAGGACCCGCTGCAGCTGCCTTGGAGTTGCAGACACTTCGGAGCTGCAAACAGCGTCCCCAAAAAGCTTTTCCCCGCCTGTCCTTTATGTTTAGTTAGTAGATGCTGGCTGTACCAAGACTCACTCATATCCACACACAGTTTAAAAGTGTACTTGCATGTCTTTGTTGCAAGCCAAGTCAGCATTTCTGGCAAGCATAGTACTTACAAAGTTACATGCATCTCCTCTTACGCTGTGCTGTTGCAGAAATGGACGGAGATCGCGTTCCCACCATCAGCCGCAACCTGTCATGCCATGTTCGCCTACAATCAACACCTCTACGTCTGTGCACGATCCACCGACAAGGCGGACAGTCGCGGGCGTTCCCGCGGCGACGTGATATGGCGCCTGGACGAGACCAATGCCCGCGGCGACGGTGCTCCGGCCCTCAGACCCAGTTCCAGCAGCAGCGACGGCGCTCCCTGTCACTTTGAGTGGATACGTGTCACGCAGATGCCTCACATACAGTGGCACTACGGTGCAGCGCTGGACGGAACGCGTGCCATATTCGCCGGCGGCTGGGACGGACGCAGGGAAGTTGGCCACGTGGTTGTCTACGATCTCAGCACGAACAAATGGCTCGAGCCGATGACGTCGCTACCCATTCCGGCCTTCGCCGCTCAGGCATTCGTCACTGGTGATCACTTCTACCTGATTGGAGCTACGACACGTCAGTCGGACCTAGCCGAGGTGTACTACACCGGTCTACGGGCGCACTCGGTAAACTACAACAAGTGGCGCACTGTTCAGCTATCACAGAGTGCGTGTGGAGCGTGTCTAGTCAACAAGCATATTGTCACGGTCGGCGGCTGGGACAACGTTTCTAAGCAGGCGTCGGACGACGTGTCCTTGTTCGACGTTGAGTACACGGAGTGGCTGTCCTTGCCCTCCATCAAGGTGAGTGTTGTGGTGCTTGTTCAGCCCCCACACTCTAGATACAGAGAGTGCTGCATAGCAACGGTAACTACGCGCATGGCAACAGTAACTATACGCACATAGCAACAGTAACTACGATACTATAATAATGACGTCACACATAGCACGCATGTAATCTATAACAGTGAAGACACCTAACACACAGGCAGGCAGGCAGTAGCAGCTGCTCAACTGGAGCACAGCTACACACAGGTAGGGTGCATCTGTGCTAGACTATGGGCTCAAATGAATGTGTACGTGCGTGTGATGGGGAGTCTCTGGGGACTGCTTGTTCTAGGTTTTGCAGACGAAGGCCAAGTGCTTGTTGACTAATGGCACTTCTTCTCATCCTCTCCTACGTAGGATGTTGCGCTTACCACCAGCAGAGCAGTGTGTGGTTTTGTCGTTGGAGGGGGGGGGGCTGTTTTTTTTAATTTATTTTTACTTGTGCCAGCAGTCCGACCATGAAGTTGTCACAACCTACAGGTTTCTAATCCGGAATGAACCTTTTTCACTTGCGAACTCAATGATGGTCAATGCTATGTGCTGCTCTGTTGCTGTGTTTCAGGCTGCGCGTGTTCGTCCCGAAGTCGTCTACTTCAAGAACAAGCTGGTATGCCTTGCTGGCAGTGTGAATCCGTCGCGAGAATCAGACAAGGTGTCGCACATGGAAGTTCTGCCCCTGGTGCTGTGAGTCGAGCGACGTGTACACGTACGTGTATGTGCACGTGCGTGCGTATGCATTGTGATTTGCCTGAGGTGTTATCCGTATGCGGAGCCCGGGACCGCTACACTTTAATTGCAGTGTGACATCAAAGACTGATGTTAGGACCATGTGCGGAGGATGTGCATGGTTCGGGTTTTTTAGGAGATTCTCCCTCGTGCCCTTGATTTCGGGCGCTCTGGTGTTTGCGTTGATGGAGAAGGTAGTAACTTGCCTAGAGCATAGGTATTTGTAAATTTTGTATGATAGCTATGATTATAGTGTTGTAGAATAGACTGTTGTCTGTTGGGATCAGTGTCCTGTACATACTGTCTATATTATAATGATTATGCACAACGTCAATCCACGTGCACAAGCTTACATTCTTTTTTCTTGCATTCGTGCTTCCGGAAGGCACGTCCAGTAGTGACTAGGACAGGTTCAAGACACGCCCGTAGCACGGAGTGAGCATATTTGAAATAGTGTTGATGCGCAGGCTTTTGCGTTCTCAGTTCAGCAGCTCGGTGAGCATTATGGCTCTGTGTGTGTACGCGCGCGCGCGGGTGTCCTTCCGGCATTGTGGCATCATCTACACATTGCACTGATTTTGTTGAGAGATTTCATCTATTTTTTGAGTGCTACTTTTTAGTTTTTAGACCAACTTTATTAGATTGGCTGCTGTTCATGGTCACGGCGTTCATATTCTTTGAACCACTTGTACACGAAGTAGTACAGCAGCTTTTTGATTGCGATAATTACACATGTAACTTTGATTTCGGCTAGACGAAACATTGCCCACTTCGAAACCGAATGGATTTTTGAAAGCAAATCTACTGATCATCCTGCATGGGTCTGGCGTTAGTGCACACACAGCATGATTTCTGCGCTTCTACAGTAGACGAGCATGGCAAAGCGGGCCGAGGCACTGCTGCCAACTGCCGAAGGCCCAATTCAGCTACTTTGGCACAGATTAGCTGAACATACAATGTACCTCTAATGGCTCTAACCAGGGAAGTGAACTGGTGGGGTTGACAAGACAGTTTCTCTTTTCAGGCAGTTCCCAATGAATTTGAAGTTCTCGATCCCAATCTTTTCCAAATACCTCAACCGTAAAGTACCGCCAGAGCGCCCCACCTTGATTTTACAGCCAGAGGAAGGAAAATCGTATGGCAGAGTGCAACGAAGTTTGTACGATGTAAGAATCTTAGTGTACTAAGGTCACACTTGGCAGGTTTTTGTGTGGAGCTTAAAGCTTGTGTCCGCTCGAAGGTACGGATTGACTGCAAAACGTGCAATATGTGTACAAGGTTCATGTCGTATGACCAAGAGTATAATTATGTTAGTTATGTACTCTTGGTATGACCTACAGACAGCAGACCACCTCCACAATACGACCGCGAAAGGATGAGATGGTGGGGCGCTCTGGCAGTACTTTACGGTATAAGTATGAAGAAGGGCTGAGGCTTCCTGCAGCCTAATCTCTCAAAGGAATTCGGGTGGACACAGACACCTATTCCCACAGCGCTGCACTGGGAATGGGTGTGTGTGTCCACCCGAATTCCTTTCTCTATAAGTATATCACTATTGTCAAAATAGTGTACCATGTCCAATGAACAGGGTTTGTGGTTTGTACACGGGTTGATTGGATCCCTCAAGTTTGACAAGACACAAATAGAGAAACCATACGTGCACAAGCAGATGGGTGAACTCTTTTGCATTGTCCCATCACCGGCAACACAGCGCTACAGTGTAGCCACACTGGTGGCCATGATGATCACACTTGTCCTGGAAATGTCAGACCAGCCGAGCCGGCTTGATCCAGAGAAGTCACACGCACGGCACATACATGCCAACACTGAAATCCGTGTGCGTGTGCAACACCGACATACACACACACCAACACACACACACACCAACCCCATGCACACGTGCTTTAATAGCGGCTGCCCCAGCACGACGAAACCAAAAAAGGTTACCGTCCAAAGTCGTACGTTAGTTGACACATCGTCAAACACCGCACAATTTCCGAGCCCACCATGGGACCAGAAGTGGGTATAAATAATTATAAACTGAACCGGCCGCAGAAGAGAAACAGGTAAAACGGCCGTTGGGTACTCCCAGGGTTTCTGGTCGTACGCATAAGAAACGGGATACTGTATAGCCTTACAAAAATGATCGCATATAGCTTTGCCACGATCAAAGAGCAAAACGCACGCCTAACGTTAATATAGAAAGTGTGATCAAGCCTTATTGCTATAAATTGCTCAAAAAATCAAAATCGAACGTAAAGAGTGCCCAGAAGCTGCAGGACAAGAGCGGCGAGAATGGCCAGTTACGAAACACCTATCCTTGTTGAAGTATCAGAGAGCATGTGCGGTGACGAGTCGAAAACAATCTATGTACAGGAATCAACGCGCAATGCCGCTTTATAAAACTTGAAAACAGACGCACGCACACATGTGCCCAGACACCACAGCGTGCATCTCGAGAGTTGAGAGGCACATCAGTTAATATATACACAGGGAGCAGGGCAAGGATAAAATACACCGCCACACACAGAGAAAAAGCGTACACAGGTAAATAGCAACTGACCGGGGACGACATCAGCGAGGCATGTCATGGCGTGCATACATGGCCACACACAAACAAACACACGCACGCGCGCACACACACACACACACACACACACAATACGACGATTGACCGCAACAACGCCACATTGCTGGCTACGCTGTGGTTGTACGAGATCGGTTAGGAACGGGCGGACGGGTGGAGGGACGCGCTGGAGGGGCATGCTGTGGCGACATAGAGGAAGACGAAGACGTTCGAGTTGTAGGAGGGGGACGCCCAGGGGGATGTGATCCTTGCGGCGGAGGTGATGTTGGCTCTGATTGAGTAGGGGAGATATTTCTACTCGGATGAGGCTGATTAGGCTGCGGCACTAGCGGTTTAGTTGGTTGGGAACTTGTTGATGTTGTTGTTGATGATGATGATGATGATGATGGTGGTGATTGTGCTGCCGGTGGAGATGTAGCCGGGGATGGTGAATAACGAGACGGAGGTGAGGTAGGCGGTTGTCGCCTCTCAGGCCGCTCTGGCTTCTCAACACGTTCACCTCGATCGCCTCGATCCCGCTCCCTGTCCTTGTCTTTATCTTTCTGCATCAGTTTGCTGCGAAGACTGGAAACTGCCGATGACGCAGCATTGGTGGCACTGCTCATCACACGACCCCGACCACTGGAGCTGCAACAACAACGACGACAACAACAAGAGCAGCAGCAGCAACAGCAACAAACTTCCATGACTACTTGAAGTACTGATATCAGTTGCAGTGCGTAGCACCCAGTAACTATAGCACATAGCATAACCAGTAACTAAAGCACATAGCATAACCAGTAACTAAAGCACATAGCATAACCAGTAACTAAAGCACATAGCATAACCAGTAACTATAGCACATAGCATTACCAGTAACTATAGCACACAGCATACTAGTAACTGCTATGGCGGAGGGATTGAAATCTGTGCAATCATGCCGCCGGGCAAGAAACAAGCGAATAGTACAATCAGAACGCTTCCAGTGTTATAGTGCACGGTTAGTTAAGACATGATCAGCCACACACGTATGTACAGTACAGCTCAATGAAATCCAGTCGAGTCACTCCCCGGCCCGGGTGTTGCGCAGCCCAAGACCTGCGAACACTGGGCTGCGAAGTGATGCAAGATGCAAACTTGAGTGACGTGACTGGATTTCATTGAGCAGCGCTGTAGTTTAAAATAAATAGCAGCAGCAATAGCAAGATACATGTGCACAAGAGAGTAGGGGGAACCAGGGAAACGACACGAGACATGGCCAATCCAAGCATGTCAGTTGCAAGCAGGCATAAATCCCCTTCAGTTCGCCAAAGAGCTACTGGAACAGATGGCTTGGGAGTGGAAACCACACCAGTTCACGTTCCAGTCACTCGTGTCGTCTCCCTAATTGCTACAACTCCCCAATGCATACCAAATATCTCGTCCAAAACAGGATCAATTTGGCAAAGAATGCCTGCAACGCCAACAACATCAATAGCAACAGCAATAACACTACCCGCATGACAAGAACAAGAAGGACATAAGAGGATGGTCAATGCTGGATGAAGACATTAGTGGATTAGATGGTGGCAGTGAGACAGTTAGACAAGCTCGTGACAATCACAGTTCAAGAAAAGATGGGAAGAATTTCACAACTGCATTCCTGTGTCGGGTAACTGGAAGTGGATGAGCTGAAGTAAAGGCAAGGAAGCGAACGGCAGGGTAGTTCTCTCAAAACATCCAGTGCATGAGAGAGAGAGAGAGAGAGAGAGAGAGAGAGAGAGAGAGAGAGAGAGAGAGAGAAGGAGAAGGGCAAGTGACAGTGCCAGACTGCAGCGAGAGAAGGCAGTGGAATCCTAGCAAACGAAACGCGAGCGTTGCCAGAGAGGCAGTTGTAAGGAGACTGTGACCGTGACTGCACGGAGCGGATGGTACGACGCAAGTGACAGCGACTGACTTTGCAATGACAGTGTTGAACAAGCCGGACTATGCAATGGCGGCCAGCCAGGACGACGTTGTGGCAGCAGTAGAGATAGGCAACAACAGTACACATGCACACACAGATTTGCTGTTCCATGCCAGCCATGTCAGGCAAGCACCCGGTACCTTCGTCATCCAGTCCAGCTAGCCGCGCACAAGGCGCCACTCTATTTCATCTTCTGCTTGACTCGGCCGAGCAACCTAGAGATGCCGAGAAGGCGGTGGCGCAAAGGCAACCAATGCAGCAAATGCAAGCAACGTACAGCAAGCGGCAGCAAAGAATGGGTCAGCATGATGAAAGAACACAACAGAAGTAGTCCATGGTTGAAGCAGCAGACCAGGCAATAGCCATTCGATGTGAACAATCAGTCCAACCAAGGGAATCTTCAGGATTTATCAGAATTAATAATTTACAGCACACAAACGCGCATGCGTGCATGCGTACAGAGAGGGAGAGATGAAGTGTGTGTGTGTGTGTGTGTGAGAGAGAGAGAGAGAGAGAGAGAGAGAGAGAGAGAGAGAGTGAGAGAGAGTGAGAGAGAGAGAGAGAGAGAGAGAGAGAGAGAGAGAGAGAGAGAGAGAGAGAGAGAGCCAGACGCACAGACCACATACTTTGAGGCCTTCTGGAGACCTTCTTGCGAGGCTTTGTGGAAACCTTCCTGAGCTCTGGCTAGGCCATCTCTGGGAGAGGCTTGTACCCTTGTGTCGGAGCTGAGTGTGATAACGTGCATTTGATCCTGGGATGGAGATACCTGAACAGATTCCAGACTTATCTCATCACCTGTGCTCACGAACACCAAACACACACACACACACACACACACACACACACATACACACACACACACACACACACACACACACACACACACACACATCCACACACACACACAGGGACGGAAATGAACATCAAGGGGAATATTGCCAGACCTGTCCGTAGCGGTCACGTACCACCGCGGGTAGCAGCACGGCGTGAAAAACCGCTCCCGGACAGGACTTGAACCAGGTACCTGTTGTATCTCACTCATGGTCTTTGACCAACACACTGTCATCATAATCGAAAGTACATAAGCCCCAAGAGTAATATGGGCCGCGATCAGCTAAAACATGTCCTTGGGTTTTCGTAAAAAAAAACCCCTGAGAAATGACGGAATGAAAAAAGTTTTTGCCGAGCGCGTTCCCGCTGCGCTTCATTCATGAAACGGTGGCGATCATCTTCTCAATTTCGTTCAAACACTTGTTTAGCAGTTTAGTTCAAGAAGCTGGTGAGCAAAGACTGCCAATGTCAGTGTCTGACCCTGGAGCGGCTCGCAGAGCCAGACGATCGCTGTGCATGGCCCGGGTTTGGTCAGGTGTCTGCAAGGCCGTGGCGGCGAGTCTGCAGAGCGAAGATGGCAATTTTTTCGGATCTGATGTTGATGCTGACAGCAAAGCTGAATCGCCCCAGTCGTCCCCGGTAGCGAAGAAGCCTTGTGGGCGAGTACATTAGACGACGAACTAGCGTACGACGTTACGTGTCGCTCAGCTATCTTGAGTCGTCTGACAGTCAGTGACACTGTCTTGGAAGCGCAGGTAACGATCAAAATTCAAAAGTGTCCCTTCCAGAATCGAAAAGGTTTGCAAGTGCAACGCCGCCCAGAGCATCGTGGTGCTCTCCAGGAAGAACTTGGTCCACGACCTGGAACTGATGTCGTTTACATGCTCAAGTCTCTGTCATCATCTTTAGTTCCTTTGTATTGTGCTCCTCCACAAAAGCCACTTGTTTTTCTGTATGTCCAACTGTGCGAAAACTGTCATTTTCTATTTGGGGCACCTTTAGACTACTTTGGTGCCCTTTACCGGCTTCAAGAGGCCAGTCAAGTAAGGCCCCAAAAACTGTTTTATGGAGGAGAACAGCATTTTCACTCTAAGACATGTTTTAGCTGGTTGTGGCCCATATACTCCAGCCGATCAGGTCTGCAGCGGCAGAACTTCACATCACGTCACCAGCCGGTGCACACAGCATGCCTAAAGTACAGAGTTGTACACATTCCTGTTTCGGGTACAGATCTTTGCATGCTGGTTACTGTGCTCTGTTTAACCAGCGTATCACCGACACATGGAACGTGATGTGAAACTCTGGGTCATCGCAGCACTGGATACTGGATGAAGATAGCACAAACAATTGCACTCTCCTGCGGTTATGGCAGCAAAAGGCATGATTTCAGGATCGAACACGCACCTACAACACATACAAGAAGATACATTGTAGCATAAGCATATGGCAGAATGGTAGGAACCCCAGCATGGCGGAATTAGACTACAGCGCGTGGCGTTCCCCACAGAGAACACAACTGATGCACGCATGCATGCATGCATGCGCACACCACACCAACAATGTGTTCCAAATACACCTGTCGCAAGGGAAGCATGCAACTCCGCAAATGCACTGGATGTACAGTCAACTTCGCTTATAACGACACTCGGCGGGGCATCAAAAAAGTGTCCTTATTCGCGAAGTGTCGTTATACCCGAAGTCTCATTGTATGTATTACAGTTGGAAGGGACTTTGCTCTGGGCATGGAAATGCTGTCGTTATTCGCGAATTGTCGTTATATCCGCAGTCGTTATTAGCGAAGTTGACTGTACACCCACAGATTTCTCTTATGGCAACGAGAGCGGACAAGATCTGAATGAAACAGATCAAGACTAGCGCCAGATAACTGCCTAATGCACACAACTGGTGAAGCCATGTGAATATGCACAAACCCAGCCCCTCCCCCCCCACACACACACATACACCCACCCAACCACACCCACAACCACACTAAGAAAAGCACCTTCGGCGATAAAGGAGTCCCCGTTCGTAACCGGCGGGGTGGCCATAGTCATATGGTGGACGCCAGCTCCCGACGCAGACGTGTCGAATCTCGGTCGAGTGGGGCATGAGCTTTCTAACGTAGTCAGTGTGTCGGTGGAGAAGATACTGGGTATTACTTCATTTACTTCACAGCCTTGGGACAACAACAACACAGGCAGCGGAAAACCCAACAGGAAAAAGAACTTCAGATGGATGCAAGCCAGCGGCAATACAGCAGCACCGATGGAAGGCAGAAGGAAGGCAATAGCGGCATATGGTCGACAGCCGTCACACAAATGAAGATGACGGGAGAGCGTGATTTATAAAACGGCACGAGATGTGCAGCGGAGATGAAGAGAAAAAGAGAGGCGTGAGACGTGAAGGTGACATGACGAAGTGCAGGAAAACGACGGGCCAAGGCAGTGACGGTGCATGATGGCGAAGTGACGTTAAGTGATGAAGCCAAGGCAGTGATGGTACAGGGCATGACATGGCCAAGTGAAAGCAAGTGACTAGCTAAGGCAGTGATGGTGCATGATGGCAAAGTGAAGGAAAGTGATGAAGCCAAGGCAGTGATGGTGCAAGACACGACATGGCCAAGTGAAAGCACGTGACTAGCCAAGGCAGTGATGGTGCATGATGGCAAAGTGAAGGAAAGTGACGAAGCCAAGGCAGTGATGGTGCAAGACACGACATGGCGAAGTGACGGGCCAAGGCAGTGATGGTGCAAGACACGACATGGCGAAGTGACGGGTGAAGCCAGTGATGATGCAGGACAAGACATGGTGAAGTGAAGGAAAGTGGCGAACCAAGGCAGTGATGGTCAAAGACATGACTGTGGCACTAAAGTTCAAGAAAAGGCATAAATGCAGTCACACGATTAAGTGCAGCAAGGTATGCTGGACAAACATGGTCCAGCACACCTTGCTGCAGAGAGAGAGAGAGAGAGAGAGAGAGAGAGAGAGAGAGAGAGAGAGAGAGAGAGAGAGAGAGAGAGAGAGAGAGAGAGAGAGAGAGAGAGTGAGAGAGAGAGAGAGACGCTTGACTGATCCTACTCACCTTCAGGAAAGAAGTACTCAGCATGCGTGATGATGGATTCGACCAGGGTACATAGTGGACCGGTGTCATGCATACATCTGTATACACACAAGACAAACAATGACACTAGCATTAGCAACAACAATCAACATCCTGTGGGCCACCGGACACCGTGAGGAAAAGATAAACAGCAACAACGACCGAAAGTCACGCCCTGGATCACACCCAGCAAAGCAGAACGACACTGCCAAGTTATCTTGCTGAGCAAAAAAAATTCATGGTTCGCGTGAGACTCGGCTGGAAGTCAAGTTTTCCGCCTACGCAGGAACGCCACCACCGTCTTGGATCAAGGCGCAGATGCAGCTCCTAAAGCGGTGGGAGGCGAGTAGATCAGACCCACCACAAAGTGGTCAAAGACCGAAAATCCCGTTCACTGCATCCATGCATCCCTCGTGCCAGGTCACGAGTTCCCAATTAACTGTGGCAACAATGTCACCAATCCCACTTCTCAGTCAACTATGAAAAACAACATTTTCTAAAGGTTTTCAGCCAACCTTCAGCAGTGGGGGATACATAGGAATGAAGTAAAACCATCTAATTCTTTTGCCAAATGGCTTTCACAGTTGACTGAGCAATGAAATTAGGAGCTTTGTTGCCGTGTGTGTGCGTGTGCATGTGCATGTGCATGTGTGTGTGTGCGTGCGTGTGTGTGTGTGATAATTGTTGCCTGCTTTAGTGTGTGTAGCCCCCGTCCTCCCCCAACACTAATACTAGACATGACACAACCATTTGTTCTGAGGCATGGTGGAGTAGCTTGGAGAGGATGTGTAAGTGGCCCTGGTGACTGGTGCGCCTATGACACTGAGAGATGGGAGTCACAACACTTGAACCAAACGCAGCCTCAGCATCAGTAGAAAAAAAACAGACAAAAGACTATCTGCCAGCTATAGGTTACAACATGGCAGACCAGCAGCAGGCAGGGACAAGAATCATAATAAACTTACGCATCAGCATTTTGATTGTTGACGAACAAGTTGGGGCCGATCACAAGCGCAAGATTACTTGCACCCATCTTGGTTGCTTCTTGATATTGGCTCATCTTGTTCAGGAAACACATGAGGTATCTAACAGAGAGAAGGGCAAGAAAGGCACACATATACACACACACGCGCGCGCGCGCACACACACACACACAGATGAACTGTTAGAGAATACAAAAGCAGATGCTTGCAACATGACATAGAGGTGCTGCCAGAGACATGCATTGGACCTGGGCAGCCCTGGCTCCCGGAGAGATCTCTTTTGGAAGACGAAGAAACAGGAAGAATAAAAGAACGGATCTGAATGCTGTCTCAGTTGCAAACGGCAAACAGGCAGCGGCCTTCAAAGACATGATCTTTTCGCCACACCTGGAAACAGATGTGTCCTGTAACCGCCCAATGTTTGCGTCACTAAATTTTGCGATCCTTAGGCTTACGATTGCAAATGTTCACGGGGCGCCGTGGCCAGACATATACACGTAGCACATGGGTTACGTACAGCTTCTATTTGTCTGATGATAGTACTCGTACTCATCACAGTCAAGGTTCACCTCAAATGTTCAAAGCTAAAGGTACTAGGTGCTCCCAAATATGAATGCGCACTGGATGCCAATACTCCTTATGTGTACCATGTGTTGTGAACTGTGTGTATCTACACTGTGACCGGTCGACCTGTTTGAGATGCATACGGCTTGAATGTACAAATTAAGTGCAGTGCATAATAACATTGATGTCCATTTGTGGCGCTGTCCCCTATGGCAAGTGTCGGATTTCACTTGCCACAACTGTAGTTACGTGTTGTAGTCCGATGGGGATCTCGTTCGATCGCCTCAGAAGTTGGCAGAACTAAGAACACTTCTCCAACTTTTCCGAGAGTGTTTAAAGAAGGCACCGTTAATAAGACTAGAATATGTACAGTGCTGGCAACTGAAATCCGACCCCCTTGCCAGCACTGTAGCATTGTGCACCGCATGCATACAGACGCCTGCAAGTTCAGCGCCTCTGGCTGCTGACAAGCTTCCCCCGGATTCCAGTGTCCACAACTGTGTGTGACAGGACAGCCCACAGCCTGTCACGCAGGGCTTGTATCACAGTGTGTCACGCTAAAGTGGACTTGCCGAGCAAAACCAACCGACGGGAAGAATATCTTACCTGATGTTTGCATAGTTGACGTCGGGGAGTTGATGTAGGTATTGATACGATAGCTGCATCTTCTCATTGTGTTGCGAGTCGGGCATTCTGTGCCACCAAGAAAGCATCAACGAACACCAAAAGGTCATTATCAATGAATGAAAAAATGAAGAGACAGTGTGACAATGAAAGTTGATGGTCCCTTCACATTGCAAGCCATGGTCTTCAGACATGTACAAATTTAGTCCAGTGCAGTCTTTGAGCCATGCCATAGCAATGTCATATGAATACTCACTTTGAATACCTCAGCAAAGTCGTCACACCAACGTGTCACACCCCAACACAAAATCTTTGCAAATATCTGCCATATGCACTGGGGTAAATTCCCTGCGACCTGGCAAACTTACAAAGAGATGCCCTTCCAATCCTCGTAGCGTTCTTCTGTGAACAGTGGGTCAGGCAGTTCTCGCAGATATAACTTGAGAACACCTGGAATGGAGAGAGATAGATAGATCGAGAGAAAGAGAGAGAGAGTGTGAGAGAGAGAGAGTGTGAGAGAGAGAGAGAGAGAGAGAGAGAGTGTGTGAGAGAGAGAGAGAGAGAGAGAGAGAGAGAGAGAGAGAGAGAGAGAGAGAGAGAGAGAGAGAGAGAGAGAGAGAGAGAGAGAGAGAGAGAGTAACGTCAGCATGCATGACACGTAGGCAACAAGTAAATGACATACATGATAAGAAACCCACTACTTTTTGTAGAAACCCAAGCAAAAGAAGCAAGAATACATCAGCCTGGCCTGAATGAACACAGCGGCTACCTACGAAAAGGCTGCAACGAGTGTATAAAACAGTTAATTAAGAAAGCACTAATCCATACCTGCCACTGTGTGCGGGGACACCTCAGAGAAGTCCAACAGTCCGTAGTCGATGTGTGCCTATGGGTGAGCAAGACAGGCAGGAGACACACAACAACGCTGACATGGTCAAAAGTATGAATGTGCACCCACAGTATGCATGCACCAAAAGATTATGCAATATACTGTAAAACATGTAATTTTAGGTGCATCAAAATTTTGGCGTCAGGGACATGCCAGGTTTCAGGTGTAATTTAGAATTAGGTGACCAGCATTCCCATCACATACAGTGTGTACTCTGGTGTCTTTTAGGTGTAGTCTAAATTTAGGTGCTGGTTTTCACTACCGAAATCACCGAAATTAAAGTTACGCCGAAAATATCGTGTTTTACAGTACATGTACAACCAAGCAATATTGTTACGTATAATACAAGACACAGAAGTAGCAAAGAGAAGCCATCAACAAGCCCACACTCCACTACTCCAAGAAGGAACAAGCCTGAATACCGGCAAACGCCACAACTTTCTTTTGCAATACCAGAGAACAGCGCAAAGAACTAAGCAAGCACAGGGGCTTACTTTGAGTTTCTTGACCTGCGACACTGAACCGGCTAAGCGAAACAAACCCTGCACAAACAACAAGAAACACCAATCAGGAGAAGCCATGGAACGAATGATCAGCAATGAGGAATGGAAATGCAAAAGTCACTACAATACCACCGCCAGCACCAGCAACAAAGTAGTCAAAGGTCTTCAGGCTGACCAACCGTGAATGACGCGGTTAACCTGTCAAACCCTCTCCATCCAAACACCTACACCAGACACAAGCACCCCCCCCCCCCCCCCCCCCCCCACACACACACACAAGCATGCACGTACCTCTTCTTCTTCAATGTGCGGTAGTAGCGCAGCACAGCAGTTCTCAATGACCATCGACACATTCTTGCCGTTCACACTACAGTGAGTGGCAAGATCGACACCGAACGACGGACGGAACGGAGTGTGATCGATGATCTCACGCATCCGTGGCACCGTTTGATTGAGACGCGATAGGCACTCTTCGTGGAAGCGAATTTGATGTTCCATCATCTGTCCATATGAACATACACACACCACACACACGCACGCACAGGCAATGTCATGAAGTTAGGAATTCAGAGCTCTCACAAAAATAGTCATATTGCGCCCAAAGCCCCCCCCCCCCCCTTTTTTAAACATATTGCTATTGACTGAAGGGCCTGGGGCTGGAGTTCTCCGAGGGTCTCTCCACATTGCTTTGTTAACTTGTATCCCCATACCCAGCCACAGCCACAAAAGGAAATGAATACAAATATATTGGATGGCAAACTCAGGCGGAAGGCGAGTGCGTGCGTACACACGTGCGTGTATGTGCCAGATGGATAACACGATAACTCACGGACACAAAGTTTGATGCCATGCCATGTTCCTTGGAGGAGACTTCCAGCAGATCTGTAACGTACTGACTCTGGAAACAGAAACCACACATACAGACACAGGCAAGAACATTAATTTTGTATAGCGGGTCGAAGCCCGGGAAAGTTAACAGGTTATTATCATACTGCTTCAACGTGTGCACTTGAATAGTAAGGGTGTCATCGATTGATGAATCTGGATTGAGTGCGAGCAGGCGGTGTAGTCCGAGCAACGCTGGTCCAATCGAACAAAACAAGGGTGTAGTACGCAAAATGTACGCATATCGTGCAAAGATTCTGTGAAAGCTGTGAAAAAAACGCCAAAGTCCATTTCCACTCCGGGTGTGGGGGCCGGTGTGGTCGGATTCCAATCCAAGTACACCTACTCCGGATTCGGCCAATCGATCACGCTCACTCGGAGCGCACTTGCTCTGGATTCGCCCAATCGATCGTGCCCTAAGTCTCACTTTATTGTAAGTCGCATCCACTTCTTGACCATGAAATCTAGTACATGTATAAATGAGGAATGTAGATTCGGGGAACACAGCAAGTCCTGCTTGTAGCTATTCATAAAAGGCAAACGGCTAAAGAGTATCCAGTGCAGCATTCAGGCCTGATACCGTGTTTCATCGATCTGTAGAAGAATGCTTTGGGGCGTCATGCCAAAAATAATATTGAAAATATGCAAGCCTCGATCGATTCCATTCTCCACTGACCTGCAAACTGTGGAATTTGGACTCGGTCTGTTCCATTTCAAAGCGCAGGCGTTTCTCTTCCTGCTCCGGCGTTGGTGTTCCAGCAGGTCGCTTCTCAAACTTGTGCACCCTGGAGAAGAAAACGTAACAAAAATATCAAGCCATACGAGTCATATCCATTAGCTTGAGGGAAAGATTCAAACGGGGAAAAGCCTGAAGAAAAAATTGACTTTCACCACCAGGAATCGAACCAGGGACCTTCGCTTGAGGCCAGTGATGCTCTAACCCTTGAGCTATGGTGTAGCTGTCATCCCAGCAGAGACAACTCAACATTCTCTTCAGACTTCGAAACACACCAGTCAAGCAGAGCTAATACAAACCACACAAATATAATCAGAAATGCTGGTTCAAAAAAGCCTACAGCAGAGTAGACACATTGAATTGCTGGCAGCAACCAAACGCTGCAAGTGAATATCACAATTCAGATAGACAAAGACATCAGACTAACCTGCTTGCAGCACTGTCCATTTCCAGACGGCCCTTTTGCAGCTTCTTGAAAAGCTTTTCGAGAGCATTGGCATCATGCTATAGATGCACAGAATGCAACAGAACCACAACGAACATAGAGTGAACAGGAAGCAAATTAAGTGAGAGAGAGAGAGAGTGAAATGGGCAAGCAGGTGAGTGACTGGGTGAGGATTTGTCTGACGTGCATGGATGTGTGTGTGCGCGCGAGCGTGCACCTGCGAGAGAGAGAGAGAGAGAGAGAGAGAGAGAGAGAGAGAGAGAGAGAGAGAGAGAGAGAGAGAGAGAGAGAGAGAGAGAGAGAGAGAGAGAGAGAGAGAGAGAGAGAGAGAGAGAGAGAGAGAGAGAGAGAGAGAGAGAGTAAGTTACATTTATAAAGACAGGTAAGTCTAACAAATGAGGACTGAGACCTCTACAACAGGGTTTTTACGCCTGAAAGCAGGTGCATGATTTAACAAGCAGGTTGTCAGTCTAGATTGTATGCGCAGATGGAGAAAAAGCGCAGAATTTTTGTAATGAGATGAAAAGCAGAAATAATAAGAAATAATAAGAAAAGATGAAATGAAAGCCTGCTCACAACCCCGCCCAGCCTTGCGAACTGGGTATGGTGGATTAAGAACCCGGTTCAACGCTCGAGCAAGCGCTCTCCACTCAAGGTGTTCACAGCAACTGATAGGAACTCATATGGAGAGAGAGAGAGAGAGAGAGAGAGAGAGAGAGAGAGAGAGAGAGAGAGAGAGAGAGAGAGAGAGAGAGAGAGAGAGAGAGAGAGAGAGAGACACACACACACACACACACACAGCTGGCGTGTATTGGCAACATAAGTGCACAACAGTGCTCCGCCGGCATCACAAGTCTTGAAAGATCGTAGCCCTACCTCCAAGTATTGGTTTAACGGATTGATGATCTCCTCCTCCACAAGTAACTCTAGGCAAGCACTTTGCATAGCATTACGCTGCGTCACATCACCACATAAGTCCAGGATTTGACTGCACGGCACAAACAAATCCACGGTAACGGCAAAAACCCATATTGACTGACAAGAGCGATAGAACATACTACATTGTAATAATGCGTGAACTCAGCACAGAGTGTGCAGTACAAGCGCTGACCTGTACCGCAGTGTACATGTATCGTAGTGTCTTGTATTGAAGCCTGTCTCATATAGAAGCCTGGTTTGAATACAAGCCTGATTTTCAAAACACACAGTCGACACATAAGCCTGGTTTTAGTGTGGACACACTTAGAAATACCTGGCTGAAGCCTGATGTGAATAGAAGCCTAGCACTGACATCGGCTTCTACGGTAATACGGCCGGCTTTAGTACGCGACAACGCGGTATGTGCAAGGACTGTACTCTGCACACTCTGAACAGAACCGGAACCGAGCGATCTGCTCGCGATCTTTGCCCTCAGGTGTGACGTGCAATACATGTAACATAGTACCGAGAACACTGGTATACGGCATTGCATGAGCGGGATCGGCATTGTGCCGCCGTACAGTGAGCGTGCACTTGCGCCACATAGAAAAAGTGTACAGCCAGCACTTAGCCATACTTCGTACACGCACCATTGCCAAAAAAACCCACCGCACTGCAACTACCCGATCGAGTTATGCAGGCGCAAACTTCTACACGACTACCCGTTCAAATCTCGGGTAGCATGGGTACTGGACTGCCCGATGGCACATGCCCAAAACATCATACAGTGAAACCTGTCTAAGACGACCGCTCAAGGGACCTTCAACATGTGGTCTCTGTAACCAGGTGGTCTCCTTATCCAGGGTCGTTTGACTGGAAATAGCACCATTCGGTTCTGGTTGCAGTGGTCTTCTGGGACAGGTGGTTGCCTTGACAGGTTTTACTGTACTCTGCATTCCATAGTACACTGTACTTTAGATCCAGGGTACCGTATTTCCCCGATTATAGGTCGCACTCGATTATAAGTCGCACCCCCATTTTCAGGTTTGAGCAATATCGTTGTGATATATTGACTTCAGTAGTAAGTCATGCTCGATAGCAAGTCGCACCCCTTTTTTGACCCTGATTTTTTGTGTAAAAAGGTGCGACCTATAATCGGGGAAATCCGGTACTTCATGCCAAAGTGTCACTGTATGCTATGCTAAGAACAGCTGAAACCAGACAGAACTTACGCGAGCGGCGTGGTGCCCATCTCAGCACTGGCCTCATGAAGACAGTTTGCTAGCGCAGTCTGAGGGAGCTTTCTCTGCAAGAACACAGGAAGAGAAAGAGATGGAAACAGTTGCATGGTCGTATGTAGAAGCATAGTTTGCAAAACAGCAACAGTGCAACCAAATCCTTCCTTGCCGTTATTCAGAGCTTTGTGTCTAAAAATTAAAAAAGCACTCATCAGACAGCACTGGTTGCACTGTTGCTGGTCTGTGAATTGTATTACTGGCTGTGTCCACTGGACATACAGAGTATAGTACTATAATTATACTATTACTATATGTCCACTGGACATAAAGAGTACAGTACTAGATGCAGCCTGAGGATCTTAGACACCTGTCTAGAAGTGTACTTCGAATGGGAGAACAGGAAACGGAACAGCGCATTGAGACATTAGCATGCTTTCATGCTTCAGCTGCCAGTATAGAATAGTAACTTGAATAAATTCATGGCCTAAACATCAGCGTATGTAGCGTAAAGTACCGCGAGAGAGCCCCACCACCGCCACCACCCTTTCCCGGTCGTGTTTTCGAGGTGGGCTCCTGTCTGTATGTAGGTCAGACAGCATGTACTGTCGTGGACATCGAAATTCAGTCGGAGGTCAAGCGGCCCCAGGGCGCCGGCCATGCAATCGTGAGTACGCAAACGATCAACATATGTGCACTGTATATGCAACGTTCTGTACGTACTGAGGGCGCCGGCCCCGGCCATTCGACTGGATTTCCGTGTCCATGACGGTACCTTGTCCACACATTGCACGTTGTAGTACATTCAAACCCTACTGAGTTAACTTTCGAGCGCGAGTGGGTGCGAATTCAACACAAGAACATGCTAAGTGTGACCGAAGTACACTGGTTCACCGTTGTCACACTCTGCTGTACGATTTTCCTCTCCATGGCTGTAAAGTCAAGCTGTGGTGTTAGTGGACATTATAGCGGAACTTGTAGTTTCTTGGTCCTTTTTTCTTTACTATAAATGTATCCTTGGCTCTCCATCCGAGTCCATTCTTGGGGCGCAGCCTCCTAGCCTAGACCGCTCATATTTTCATATACTACAGTCTATGCACAGTTGAGTCACCGTGTATACATTGGTATGCTGTGCTTCGTGAAATTCTAGCCTGGCCGTTCTTCGCCGCCCGACTGTACTGTAGCCATAAGCATTGCTTTCATGAACATACTTCAAAGAAGTACTCAATCTGCGGACCGAACTGGTTCGTCCTTTGTGGACTCATCAGCGCAGTACAGAGAAAATGAGGCCGAACCTGATCACAATGAAAAATAAATTTTCCAAAGCCAGATTTAAACCAGGCCCGAAAGTACCTTGCCAGAGTGCTCAAAATGACAAGTCAGTGAGCAGTGCGTAACGCAAACATCAAATGCACTACCCCACATGAGAGTGCTCCACTACAGTTGCGGCAAGCGAAATCCGCCACTTGCCATATGGGACAGCGCCGCAAATGGACATCAATGTTATTAATATGCACTACACCTAATTTGTACATTCAAGCCGTATGCATCTCAAACAGGTCGAAAGGTCACAGTGTAGATACACACAGTTCACAACACATGGTACACATAAGGAGTATTGGCAACCAGTGCTCATTCATATTTGGGAGCACCGTTGAACCTTTCAGATGAACCTTGACTGTGCACTGTGATGAGTAGTTGAGTACGAGTACCGTCATGAGACAGATAAAAGTTGTACTGTACAAGTAGAAATATTCGTCTGGAATTTAATTTCGTCTTTTTCGTCCAGGGAGCTTTGGGACTAAATGAAATGCCGGACGAATGTCGATTTGTCCAGCGTTTCAATACACTCGTATGGTCCATGGACTAAATTTTCAACCGGACGAAATGCCTTTCTTTGGATTTAGACGAAATTATTGACCGACGAAATTTTCTGCCTATACGGTATGTAACACTAGGCAAAGCCAGATTTTGCCAGTGAAGCTTCGATATTTTGCCGCAGCATTTTACTGGCTCATCGTCGATATTTTGCTTTCATTTTGCCAGACCGCTCGATATTTTTGCTCCCAAATTTGTGTCACGCGTGGGAAATCTGAAGGAATGTGGGGCACGTGCTGGCAAAAATGAGGAAAGTGAGACATGTGTTTGCAAAATGTGCGAAAATGAATCACGTTCACCGTATATTGTGTAAAATCTCCAATTTCCAGCGAACATACCGATATTTTGCTGCGTTTTGCAAGCAACTTCTCTTGTCTTGCCTTTGACCGAGTCTCACGCGAACAGTGAAAATTTTTTTCTTGTCAAAATTCTTCGATATTTTGCTTTCGCAGAATTGCTAGCAAAATCAGGCTATGTCTATGTAACACAAGTACTGCGTATGCATGGCTTCCGGGCCTGCATACCGCATGGTGCAGTCCCCTATGCCAGGGGTCGGATTTCACTTGCCATAACTGTACTACAAGAGCAGGAGCGAAACGCAGATTGAGTACTCTAATTTCAGAAATTTTCGGCGCTCAATATTTTCGGTATGAGGGCAACAGGCTAGGTTAGGTGAACAGAAATTTTCGGTACAGAGAAGCAGTTCCCTATTGGGTTATGTGTGTTAGTGTTTGTTCGGTGTACTGAAATTTTAGGTGTGAAACAGACGCACCGAAAGTACCGAAAATAAAAGTACACCGAAAATTTGTGAAATTACAGTACTTCAAAGAATTGGATGTAGCGATTTCAGAGGGATTCCGAGTCACTTACCACTCTTTTCTCGTACTCGCTGCCGGAGCCCTGGAAGCTGCTGCTTAGTTTCTTCTGTACACGCTCACAGCTGGTGCGGGTCACTTCATGATGCCGCTGCACCAATGAAATATGATCCGGCAACTCCTCGACTGACTTCTCCGCCCTGTAAAGATCATCACACATCCACCCGCAAACACACACACACACACACACACACACATACACACAAACAAAAGGCTAAATAAAATCCACCGGACTGGCTTTCTCCAGGTGCCAACGTTCGGAATATACAGATGAATACATTTCAGTGATTCGCTAGATGTACATCTGGCGTAGCCAGTGTCCAGCACTCCGTAATGCACATGCGTGGGCGAACTATGTTTACATATACCGTAAAGTACAATACCCCCCAAAGTACAATACCCCCCCCCCCCCCCCCCCCCACACACACACGCCAGGTCGTTTCTCAGCTTAGTCTTCGGCAGGGGGCGGGAATTACATCAACACAAGGCTGTCAAGTGCAGTACGAGGTATAACGCGGAAGGTCAGACTCAGTGTGCTGGAGTGTGCGCTGAAAGCGAGTAGTACCTGGTTAAAAAACACGGAGTCGGGCACGGTGGATGCTGCTGAGTACCGGCGTGTCACGTTGCGAAAAGGAGGCGTGTTTGATTGCACCCGGCACGGGATGTGAAGATGTGAAGGTCGACAGCAGAACTTCAAATCACACGTGACAGACCCATATGCATACTATTGGCACCCTGTGCATGATACGTAACCTGTTCAACCATGTCACGTGGTGTGAGGTTCTGCCGTCGCAGCAGCGCTGTAAAGAGGCTGTGCAGGCAGTTGCACACTTTTTGAGGTCAGTTACTCTTGAAGTTATCCGTAGTTTGTCCGACACTACAATACAATGATATATTGCAACATACTGGTGAGTCAGATCGTGCAGCAGTAAGCACGATACTGACAGATGTGCTAATGACAATCAACTACCTGATGTTTAGCTCCACCACGTTGTGAATGCACAAGCCAACCGCCTTCCAGCTTGAAAGGTAATCAGTTATGAAAACACTTCAGAAAGGTTTAAAACTCGGATGTTGAGCCAGTTAAATTATGGTATAAGATTTGGTTACGTTGGTGGACAGTTAGTCATAACTCGTAACATTTAGTCCTCCTTTTTCACCACTTCAGAAAGGGGAAGGTGAGCGCACTCAAGAGGAAAACAAGCCAAACATCACAACGAGGATGATGGTGTTATTTTGTAACGCAGAATCTTCCAAGTCAAAAGCTGTTGGCTTGTGCATTCAAGACGTCATGGAGCTAAACATCAGGTCGTTGAATGCTAGTACCACATCAGTCAGCGTTGTGCTAGCTGTTGCACGTTCTGACACACCAGTATCTGGCTCGTAATGATCAGTGTCGAAAAAACTACGGACAACATCACATGTGCCGCGGGTCAGCTAAAACATGTCTTTGGGGTTCTGTAAGTAGACACAACAGAATGAAGAATACTAGTAGTTTCTTTCGAGCACGCTCACTCTGTGCTTCATTCATCAACCGGTGCCGATATCATCTTGTTGAACTTTGCTCTCACACTTGTTTGGCGGTCTAGTTCAAGCAGCTGGAGAGCAAAGTGACAACTTCCTGGAATTTTTTTTTTTGGAAAACTTCACTCTAAGACATGTTTTAGCTGACCGTGGCCCATGTAAGCCTTCCGTCCTTTAATTTTTTTAATCCTTGGCTCTCTATTCGAGTCTGATCATGATAGTAGCAACCCAACAAGTAACACGACTAAGCTAGAGCAGCACAACAGCAGCTCTGGCGTGGTTGACAGCCAGTACCTAACTATTTTACTTGTACTAACATCACTGCTGTCACCAGTGCACAATATACACGATAATACGACTAGTGGCTTGGCGGAAGGTATTGAACGAGGTCAGTCGGAGCGTATCAATACAAAGGAAGTACAAAATTGCGAACATCAGCACACAATGGTTGTGCTAGTTGGCACGAGCTGGAAAGTAGTGACCTGCTCGCTCGCGCTCTACTCTAGTCTTGTGCTTCGTACAACAGCGTAAGACGTAAAATGGTCTCTCCCAAAAAACCGTCCTCAGCAGCGAAGCTGGAGAGCAGTAACATTCTTCTCATGCATGGCGTTATTTTGTTATTGTTCAGCTGATGACAGGACTTGGGTCACTTTCGCACATTAGGCTACGAGCACATCAAACAACAGCTATACTTGGTGTGTGAAGCAGCAGATGAAGGCTGTTCACGATCAATGCCAAGCTACAGTTGAGACTAAAACCAGCTCAGGGCAGCTGTCCTTTTCTCTCGCAGTCTCAGACAATGAATGACCGCCGAGTACGGTGAGCTTACTGATAATAATTACTAATGACAAACGAAAGCACTTTTTTTTATCACCGGCTACTATCAAAAAGCAGAACAGCAAGTCGATCGGCAGAAACACGGACACGTTTCAGACACTAAAGGGATACCCTGAGAAAAACTGACCAAGAAGAAGAGCTACAGCGCTCTCACCTCGAGACACAAATAAAAAGATGCACCCATATAAACTGAATTCAAAATAAGTTCAGAGTACTCTTGATTCTCCAAACAAAAGCTACGCAACATTATCACTTCAAAGCACATACCGTCCTAGCTTCTCAGCTCCAGCACGCTGCAGCATACCAAGCTGCTTGTTGACCTTCTTCATGGCGGCTCAATTCTGAAGTCGCACGGTTGTTTGCAGTTTTGTTATCGCGTTCACAACGCAACAAAAACAGAAGACAGCAGAACTGGAAGATACTTTGCAGTGATCCCAAATCCTTATCTGAGGTCTACAAAAAAAAGGTACTACTCAGTGCTCCACATCTCTCACTGAACAGGGCATTAGGTGATCTATGCCTGAACACCCAGGTCTTGGTATTCAATACAAGATGAGCGGAAGAAGAGATTCATTTGGAACAGCGACAACGACAAGGTCCTTTTCACTCTTTTTCAGCCACCAAGCTCACAGTCTCACACAACACAGTCAGTCAACACAAGATCAGTCAAGACTTCCCTTCGGCTTCGTACAAGCGTCGCTCGCTCGGCCACATCGTAGCAGGTCAGCGGCCATATGCCATACTTCAGTATGCGCGCAAGCGCCATCATGTTGCTGCATACAGCGAACGACACAGTAGTAAATATACGACTTACACGTTTGTGCACGTGATTAATCGATTGCATGCGCGCACGTGCACGCGGATGGAGCGTGATCAAGCTCTTCGGGGGGGCCGGGGGGGGCCCGGGGGGCGCGGGCCGGCCGGCTAGCTGCGGGCCGGGCGTGTAATCGCCCCTCCCGAGTCCCAGTCCCAGACCCCCCCCCCCCCATATGACCCAGGCGGCCCACATGTGTTGGATCGCGTCAACGTGTACATGTGGGTCCTCGTCAGTCGAATCCAGGCGAGCTAAAATTGTAGAGCTGCACTCCAGGTCCACGTATAGAGGACAGGCGGTATGGCAACTTCCCCATGTCTTACCTCCAACTAGGAGAAGCCAATCAGCAAGAGTACGGAACCGGGGGGGGGGGGGGGGGGGGGAGGGGGTACGTACTCTTGGGGAAGCCGATAGAGGTACAAATTTATTTATTTTTGAATATTAAAAAATGCTAGCGGTGCCGGTTGGATCCAATCAGGAACTGGTTAAAATACACAGCATTTTACGACTTCCAGCAGTTTTTATGAATCTCTGGATCCAGCCCCACGACGTCGACTGTGCAGTCATGACACCAGCAAAAAAAAACTACACAAAAAGAGGACCAATGCAGAACTGTAAAAGTGTTAGCTGTAGCCTGCAGGCCGGGTGCCCCACCTAGCTGCCAATACGCTGATGACACAACGTTCCAGAAGAGTGTGACTGTCACAAACACGGTGTGTTAAAATGTATTGTGGTAAACGTAAACGGTCGTAACCAGGACATGATCTGTGAATGCAGCTAGGGCTGGCTTACATGCATGTACATATCATCAGGACAGATTGGGGGGGACTCGCACTCTTACTCAACACGACTGATCGCACAGCATCGGGCTGTGTTCCCAAAAATGGACAAAACAAATTGAATGCAAGCAAGAACACGATAAGCAACAAACACACAGGAGGGAAGCAGGACTCGCACTAGGCTGAAATAGCGGCGTGTATACTGAAACACAATAGTGCTGGGATCTGTAAGTCCTACCAGGTCGACAGTATGCACATACAATTACACAGACACATACGGTACTTGTACACATACACATACATATACACATACACACCCACAGACACACACACACATACACATGCATACAGACACACACAGACACACCCACAGATACCCACACATGCACACTCAACTCACACAAGAACCGGCTACAGATATCGAAGACACCTTGTGTTTACCGAAACATGTCGTATAAGACGTATGCATTCATCAACTTGAGAGAAAAATCCGAGGACGACAAGTTAATATTTCCGTTGATTCGAGACATCTCATTTATAGTTGAGAGAAAAAAACCTTTAAATAAGAGTGAGTCACGATACTACTTCAAAGCAGCTTCTAGCAGAATGGGAAGATAATAATTATGACAATGAGCATGGTTTTCTTAGAAAAATAAGGAAGAAGAGTGAGCAATGTGATGTCGGGCTAAAACACTGAAAGTGACCAAGGGACAGAAAGCACAGAAAGAAAGGGAAAAAAAAGAAAAAAAGAAGAATACAGAACAACCGCGCTTACTTCAAAGGTGGCAGCATGCCTGCGACCTCAAACAACTATACAAAACTAAACTAAAGGACATCAGACAAGCTAAAGATCCTGACTGGGAAAGCATGCTGCCTCTCGACACGGGATGCAAGTGGAACATACAACTACTGGTAGTTAGGACTGGCTGGCCTGAGGAGAAAGACCCCTGGGATGCGTGCACTAACGAATTCAATGCCAAGTACACTGCGCGGTGATAGGTGCCCGAGCTGCAAACCGTGGCACTTAAGAGCACACGAGTAGAGAGGCTGCAGCGCTAGCCGGTCAAACGAGGATCAACAAACGCTCACGACTCTGCGCCGAAGAGTTCCTGATGTGGATACAAAGCTACACATACGCAGCACTTTAGGCCCTAGAACATGGAACAAATTGCTGTAGAGTAGGCGACTTCTGCGAAGTGACAGCAAACAGCCTTTACCGAACTGCTAGCTCCCTTGTTTTTTCGCCTAATGTGGTGGTTGCTGCTGTTGGTGTTTAGATGCGCGTGTCTTCAGTGAGGGCATCGTGCCCGATCTCGACCTAGGAGAAATAGACTGTGATGTTTGACTCATAGTTGATTTCCTACTGCGACCCATGATAGACAAGCGCTTCTCCGGCTTCCGTACTGAGATAGACCCAGAACGTGAAAGACCTCCTTGCAGCGAGGTAGCGTATGATTCTAGCAATCCGGGACTGAAGACAGCCGAGTTGTTGCCCTCGTGTATATTGTCAAGCGAGTGCTTGCGCGCTTGCAGCGCCTTGTGCTCAGGAGAATCGTCGCTCATCGAGCTGTCCAGGCCTGCAAAGCTATGACGTTCGGAAGCCAATGCTGAGACGGAGAGTGCCTGCTGACACTGGTGGTCGTCGTCCGCAGGAAGACTTGACCCTATGGTCGGCGATTTGTTGGGCGTTCTCCGCAGCAGTTTCCGGATCAGCGAGTTGGGTCCGGTCGTGTCTTTGGGCTCTTCAGTCATTTGCCGGTCGCGTGAAGGCTCTCTTAGTGCCGTGAACAGTGCTCGCTTCTTCTTCGGCTGCTCGCCTTTGCTATCAAACTGAGCCTGCTGTCCAAAGTTGAGTAGAAGATCACCTGGATCACTAACGGGCCCGGCACTCCGCTCGACACTACCTGGACGAGAGCCGGGGCACGAGCGCGACGGTGATGATGCCAATGGCTCCATGCGTGGCTGGCCAAGCGGGCCACCAGATCCCACGCTAAAAGTGTCTTCGTACTCTTCATCCAGGAAAGACCACTGGGTAGGGATTGAATTGGGATCAAAGCTCGTGCTGTCGGAGATCTTGATCAACCGCCGGTGACCAATCTCCAGGTGAACGGGCACGGTCGGCGAAGATTGACTCGAAGAGCACGATGACTTGCTGGGTGTCTTCACGATCGGTGTTGCGCTCTTCAGTGGTGTGCCGATTCGACTCATCGGCGACCGCGTGGCGGTCGGTAGCGACACAGACGTCTTGAACGAAGAATGGATAGCAGCCAGGTTGGTGCAGGGCACGAAATACGCCATCTCTTGTGCCAGGTTTTGCACGGCGATGCTCAGGTTGGTTAAGATGTCCTGCAAGTCCCGGTCATCTGCACGAAGCCTCTCCTGCAGGAATACACACAGAAACCGGAACACCGACATACACACAAGCGCGCGCACGTACACACACACACATTTTTTTAAATGGCACACTCCACCCAGCTATCAGATAAGGGTTCGTCAATGGCCGACATAATCCTGAACCAGAATCCAAAGGGTTTCCTCTAGGTCGAGTGGACTCTGCATTTGGAGGGTGTGTGTGTGTGTGTGTGGGGGGGGGGGGGGGGGGAGAGGGGTCCCAGCTAAACTGTTCAACATAACTACATGTAGTGCAGTGCCTTCACACAGACCAGCTGCAGTTTTGAGAAAAGTACCCCGTTCCTGGTAAGGCTATGCATTTTTGATGTTTTCTTCCCAAATGTAAATGGACGTAACATCTACAGGCTAATAGAATGTCTGCCTGGTCACTTTGGTACAGAGATAGGTCGGTCACTCCTCTAGCACACACTTGCCCACCGGTTCCATGTACCGTAAAGTAAAGCCAGAGCGCCCCCACCATCTCGTCCTTTCGTGGTCGTATTGTGGAGGTGGTCTTCTGTTTGTAGGTCATACGACACGAACTTTGTACACATATTGCACGTTCTGCAGACAATCCGTACCTTTGAGCGGATACGAGCTCCACACAAAACCTGCTTACTGTGACCTTGGTACACCAAGGTTCTCACACCGTACAAACTTCGATGCACTCTGCCATACGATTTTCCTTTCCCTGGCTGTACAATCAAGGTGGGGCGCTCTGGCGGTACTTTAAGGTACTTCCGAAGTACATGTACAAGTACTGCACAAGTGACATCATCAAAAAGTAGCCAGTGGGGAGGGAGTCGGATTACACGTTCCATTTCCTTCCAATTTACATGTAATTAAACCTCCCCACAGCCTTGGAACCTACCGCATTATGCACGAAATCACCACGCCTTAACCACAGGGAAATTCATATGCATCATCATACCCGGTAACTTATCAAGCAAAGATGACATAAATATACTACACATATACTTTGTTACTGTTTTGTAGGTATAGTCAAACCTCCTGAGGACGAACACCAAGGGACCGCTGGTATCTGTTCTCGATAACGGGAGATCTTCTCATCCATATGTTATACTCAGTGAATACACAACGGTTTATGCGATAGAGTTACGGACACAAGCTCTTCTAAAGCGATTTTTTTCTTATCAGTATTCTCCTTAGCAAGGTTCGCCGTAGCTCCGTGATTGCCTTGCCTTGTGCACATGGCATGTTTGTTGCACCCACCCAATGCGCAATACCAAGTAAAGTGTCGCTGACGTAAGAGCCTGGTTAGACTGCGGCAAAACGAAAATAATCATAGTGAGTAATCCTGGGATTATAATGGTAAATGGACACTGCAGCAGCAGCAAAATCGAGGGTTGACGCTGCTGCAGAAAAGCAAGACTGGACTTAGCGTTTCCGCTCCACACAGGAGCTTGATGCAGGTACGTCATGAATGCTGATATTCACTGGTTTGTCATCTCGATATCAAAGTTCTGAGTGGCTATGGACAGGAACGAATCTCAAAATAATGGTTGCACGGATTGCGCTGCAGGTGTTGGGGAATGCTGGGGTTGAGGAATTTGAAGGAATCCATGGTTGGAAACTTGGAATACCATTAAATTAAATTTGATCAATTGGGGCTCGAACTGAATTTCGGATTTCATTTACCCCGTTTGTAGTGTGATTGCAATTTTTATCGTGATCAATTTTCTATTGCGTCAGAGAGCGGAAATTTGCCACAGTCTGACCAGGACCTAAGAAGAAGTTTGGATTTCGATACAAACTCCAACCCGCACACATGCCCCACGCATCAGCTCTCAACTTATAATAACGAGAGAGCTTGGAAGCTCAGGGCCCTACGCTATGCTTTTTTTCCTTGATGACCTAGACAAAAAAAAGCATAGGGATGTTATAAATTCTTTAAAAAAATCCTTTTTTTAAAGACATAACCTGGGATTCGAACCCGCATTATCGCGCCCTGCATGCATCCCCCGATACACTTCGCATACATACTAATTCTTCCAAGTTGCTTCACGTTATGATCTTGCATTTGAAAGCCCTATTTGAATATGCATTGTGGCCAGCCGTCTTTGATGGTACGGTACGGTAGGGATAGGTACGGGACAGGTACGATCGAGGGTAATACGACACCGTCTCCCGTACCGTACCATCAAACACAGCCAGCCACATACAGCTGGCCACATACAGCTGCCCGCAATATTCAAATAGGGCTTTCAAACGCAAGATCATAACGTGAAGCAACTTGGAAGAATGGGTATGAATGCGAAGTGTATGGGGGAATGCATGTAGGGCGATAGTGCGGGTTCGAATCCCAGGATATGCCTGAAAAAATAGGAGAATTGAAAAATTTATAACATCCCTATGATTTTTTTGCCTTCAGATACAGGATAGCGCCAGGCGTGACACAAACAAACAAACACACAAACAAACAAATACCAAACGAGAGAGCTTGGAAGCTCAGGACCCTACGCTATGCTTTTTTCAAGTTTTTTGCCTTGATGACCTAGACAAAAAAAAGCATAGGGATGTTATAAATTCTTTAAAAAAATCCTTTTTTTAACCTGGGATTCGAACACGCACTATCGCGCGCCCTGCATGCATCCCCCGATACACTTCGCATACATACTAATTCTTCCAAGTTGTTTCACATTGTGATCTTGCATTTGAAAGCCCTATTTGAATATGCATTGTGGCCAGCCGTCTTTGATGGCACGATGCGGTAGGGGATAGGTACGGGACAGGTAGGATCGAGGGTAATACGACACCGTCTAGCTGCCCGCAATATTCAAATAGGGATTTCAAACGCAAGACAATAACGTGAAGCAACTTGGAAGAATGGGTATGAATGCGAAGTGTATGGGGGAATGCATGTAGGGCGATAGTGCGGGTTCGAATCCCAGGATATGCCTGGAAAAAAATAGGAGAATTGAAAAATTTATAACATCCTATGCTTTTTTGCCGTCAGATACGGATAGCGCCAGGCGTGACACAAACAAACAAACAAACACACAAACAAACAAATACCAAACAAGAGAGCTTGGAAGCTCAGGGCCCTGCGCTATGCTTTGTTGCCCAGCTCATCGTATATGTTGTTAGAACTGATGGAAATGCTTTTTCCTTTGATTAGCTACATCATTGTATTGCAAAAACGTTTCAATGAGATACTGAAGTAACGTCTTCTGCATAGCTATGGGACCGGCGCTGACTCTGCCGATCACGGGCGTTCTGGTGTCGACGGGATGTCTGTCCTGACTTTTCCTGGGACCGGCGCTGACTCTGCCGATCACGGGCGTTCTTCTTCTTCTTATTATTATTATACTGACGGCAACTAACATCCATTCTGATTGCATTTACTCGTCTCCCTACTTCGTATTTCTTTCCAGAAAATCTCCCCATACAGCAGGGAGTCGTTTACATAATATGACTCACTGCTATACATCTACATGACTGTATCTACGTTATAATTATTATGCTATCGGCCTACATGCGATTCCCGGGCTGGTCGACAGGCGGCCCAGCCAGCCTGCTAGTGGGATCTCGGCCTCGCACACAAATCCACACAAAATGTTACTGCACTGAATGCATTCCCCCGATACACTTTGCATATATACTCATTCTCTTGATGGTACCGTACTCTTGATGGTACGGGACAGGTACGGGATAGCGCCAGGCATGTCGATGGCACAAACAAACAAAAATATTGTGGCCAGCTGTCTTTGCTGGTACGGTACAGTACGGGACAGATACGGGATAGCGCCAGGCGTGACACAAACAAACAAACAAACAAACAAACAAACACCAAATTAAAGCTGTGTGGACCCTGGCTAGCGCCAGACGTTACTGAAGTAACGTCTTCTGCATAGCTACGGGAATTAAAGCTGTGTGGACCCTGGCTAGCGCCAGACGTTACTGAAGTAACGTCTTCTGCATAGCTACGGGAATTAAAGCTGTGTGGACCCTGGCTAGCGCCAGACGTTACTGAAGTAACGTCTTCTGCATAGCTACGGGAATAATTATTAACTGACATGTGTGTAAGTGGCCATCCATTATTATCAATCTTTTACACGAAGCGAAAACAATTCGTTTATGGGTGGGTGCTGGGTCGAGGAGTTTCGTTTTGAAAATATTGATAGCTGAAAAATCAATCCAGTTTGGATGCGAAGTCAATATTTTACGTTCAGGGGGTGGGTGAGGGAGGGTCATAAGACTCATAACTAAACCTTTTTACTCCGTGAAAAATTTCGATAAAGCCGGATGACCCCGCAGTATAACACTGCCCAATGAAATCCAGTCGCGTCCCTCAAGTACGCGCCGGGCATTGCTCAGCCCCAGACCGGCGAACACTGGGCTGCGAAATGGTGCAAGGCACAAATATGAGTGACGCGGCTGGATTTCATTGAGCAGGACTGTACATTCAAACGGCATGCACAGCCAAAAGCCTCACCAGGTCAATATGCAGATTCCTTAGGCGCGCCGACAGGATGGTGTTTGTATCCAGGGTCTCAAAGAGGCTGTGACTACGTCGCTCGCGCACACCCACAACATCGGGCGTTGACATGTACTCCGAGCTGCAAGACTGTCTGCGCGGCGACAGGGGATCCATCGGTGCACGGCTACTGCCAACCAGCATCCGCTGTGCTGTCGGACTGGTCGGTGCACTCACACAACTACGATAGTCCTTGAAATCCAGCAAACTTTTAACGGGGAATATCCCACGGTCGGCGCCAGATGCCGACGGTGATAGCTTTGGATACGCCATTCTATTTGCCAACAAAGGCACAGCTATACTTGACCCTTGCAGAAGCACAGAGTCGCATGAAATCACCTTCCCTTGCACAATACCGGCTTTTAAAGCCACGGACGCATTCTGCAGCTGATGTCAGTTTACTTTGACCAACTTCATGCATCAGGCCAAAGCTAAGTATGGCTCGGGCTCTGCGCTGATCACGCACTTACACGGGCACTGCTCCAAGAACTATGCCGTATCCACTCTCTCAGGCTGACAGACAAGGATCGAAAGCTAAATGTCTCTCTCGGCACGTATTGTCAAGGGTACTGACTCTTGAGAAGAGTAGCATGAAGTAATTGGGGTACAGTGTACTCTCCGGAATGTACGCAACAAGCATAGGATAAAAAAATACAATCGTCTTGGTCAACCTCCAAGGGCCGTGCAGGATTCACCTCTCCACTGCCAAATTTAAAATAATTGCACAATGTAAATTGTCCTTGCCTACAGCATTATAAGTTAAAAGCAGCTGGCACTAACAGACTGACAAGAGTCAAGACTGAAGAGTCGAGTCTCTCTCTAACTTTTACTTGTCATTTTTTGCCCAATGCGATCTGCTTTCATTTTCATTCTGCTTTCAAAGACATTCACTATAATTATTGGCATTATTCAGGATCCGGGAGTGCAAGGTTCAAGTACGGTGCCGGTGCCGGGCTGCCCGGCCTGCCCGTGGTCCGTGGGAGGCTGATTGTAGTATGGAGGATGACGCTGGGGTGACGGCGCGCGGCCGCGCGCACTTCGTTCGTGGACCAGATTCCAGATCTGCAGTGGATCGAGAATGAACTAAAAGTCTGTCGCTACGAGTAGGGGTGCCCGGCACACGGCACCGCGTGTATTACCGCCGCGCCGTAAAACCCGGGCCGGCGCCGGGAGTCTCACACCCGGACGCTGGAGTTTGTACGAGCTCGTACGACCCTGCCTTGGCTTGGTATGGTGCGCACTCGCTGCATGCAGCGACGCAACGACACGAAAATACCCTGTTTCGTTTTTCTTTTTTCGTCATGTTTCTTTGCAGAGTAGTTGATCGGAGGGCTGTTTCAGTGTTTGGCTGTGAATAATTTTTCTTATCGTCAGCCTTTGATTCAGTCGCTGGTCGCTCTCTTGCTGGAAGTTAGTTTGTGTCTTTATCAGTCCCTGCCACCATGGATCCTGCTGACTCGACCAATTTGATAGTTAACTATCTTCCTCAGACAATGACGCAGGAGGAACTTCGCAGTTTGTTTGCCACCATTGGCCCAGTAAAATCGTGTAAATTGATTCGCAATAAGACAACTGGGCAGAGCCTGGCCTTCGGCTTTGTCGACTACGAAACAGCTCTAGATGCTAAGAAGGCCATTCAGACGCTGAATGGTTTGGTGATGCAGACGAAAACAGTAAAGGTCAGCTACGCAAGACCCTCATCTGCGGCAATAAAGAACGCCAACTTGTACATCTCCGGGCTCCCGCCTAGCTTCTCTCAGGAGGCATTGGACGAGCTTTTCAACCCTTATGGCCACATCATCACCAGTAAAGTTGTTGTCGATAATGACACCGGTTTAGGCAAAGGTATTGCTTTCGTTCGATACGACCAGAACCAGCAGGCGGTGGATGCTATTACAGGCTTGAATCAGGCTACCCCAGCTGGCTGCCATGGGCCCATCACGGTGAAGTATGCCAACGCACCGAAAACAGCGGCACAACAGGGTGGTAATAGTCCTATGCCACCCATTTCGGTCCCGACCGGTGCCATACCTGTAGTTGGTGGACAGTCAGCTATCTCCACTGTTACACCGCAGCAGAGGAGGGGAGCAGTAAATTCTGGCGTAGGAGGCCCTATGCGCCACGCACAGGCGTCGTATCGGTACAGCCCGCTGGGTAATGCGCACTCTAATCATCAAGACCCGATGGGACTGGCGGGATTCTCAGCTGCTGCTCAAACCGCTGCCGCCGCCACCGGGGGTCAAAATGGCTGGTGTCTTTTCGTCTACAACATCCCCGAAGAAGCGGAAGAGGCGATGCTGTACCAGACATTCGGACCATACGGTGCAATTCTGTCGGTCAAAGTCATCAAAGATTACGGAACTGGCAAAAGCAAGGGATATGGTTTTGTGACCATGGTGAACTACGAAGAGGCGTACAATGCCATTGTGGCACTGAATGGCCAGATGCTGAATGGCAAACCTTTGCAGGTGAGACTATCCCATTCCCCCCATTGTTGACAACCTAATGCTTTTTCTCTTGCATATGCGCGTGTGTGCGTGTGTGTGTGTGTGCTCGCACGAGCATGTATGTGTTTGTATGTGCGCTCGCGCGGCGCGCGCATGTCGATGTGTGTTTGTGTGTGTGTGTGTGTGTTGGGGAGGGGTTAGTAACGGGTTTGTTGTGAATTTCAAAGCTGTTGCAAGCAGATGAAGAATTATAGCTCTGGGTTCTACCTGAATACTGGCGCCATGTGCCCGGGCCTCAGTGACAAACGAGACCCATTGCAGAACTGGTGACTCTTCCAGGGTCTTGGCAATGCGACCAAAAAGTGCGAGCCGAGATGTGAACTTGTGCTCATTCTGTCTGCACACCAACCCTTGATTCAAGCCGAGAAGTATTTGGCAGACAACTAAACCGCTGTTTTCTTTGAATGGGTATGTGTGTGCGCGTGTGTGTGTGTGTGTTCCAGGTTTCCTTCAAGACATCCAAGAACGCATGAACACGGTGAGGTGTGTCTTACGTGTCCTGTGCCGAGGATGATTGTTCATCTAGTGCGGATTGCATGGGCATGTGCATTCGTGTGTGCATGCGCCAGGGTGTGTGTGTGTGTGTGTGCCTGTGTGCGTGTGTTTTTACGCTAGTATATGCTGCTCGGTGATAGCATAGCCCGGGTGTATTGACTGATATTGACTGATGGCTTGCTGTAGCTAATGCCCGTCTTCCTGCTGCCCGCTGTTCAGGTGCTTTGTTGCCAGTGTGATGCTTGCCTCTCTGTTTGTTTTTATTTCTTCGTCTTTCCTTCTCTTTTCCTTTTTGATTTCTTTTCCTTTTCTTTGTTTTGAGTTGAGTTTGTCTATCTCCTCCGTTCCGTTTTCTCCGAGTTACTATCATCTTTTTTCTTTTCTTTTTCTTTTGGTCTCTTTGATTTATGTTGACCCGTTTTTTCTATCTGTACATACTTCTCTCTGCTCTGTTTTGTTTTCTTTTGTGGGGACATGAGGCTGTGTGGTGGTCATGGTGATGGTGTGTTTCTCTACTTTCTTTTGGGTCGCCCCGTATTTCTTTATAGGTTACAACTCAAGACAGGTTAGGATCCTGAGGTGTTTATGGTTTTCTTTTCGTTTGCTTGAGTTTGCCCTCTTTTGGGTGGGGGTGGGGGTGGCACTCTTAGCATCATGGCACTGTATGGTTGTTTATCCGACCACTGGTCCAAGTTCCCTGCCCTGGAGTACACGTCCTTTTCCCTGGGGTACATGTCCTCTTTATGGTGTGTGTCTGATGTAGGTGATGCTATTGGCAGGGCTCCTATAGATTTCACTGCGCCGCATGGTTTGTTTAGCTAAGTCACGTGGTATGGAACCGTTAGTTTGTACATATAAGACTATGACTGTGTATGGTTTATATCTCGGGGAACTGGTTAAATGTAAGTTTGAAGTGACTTGGGTATGTGTATGTTAACACTGCACTGCTCCGAGCTGTCTGTTGTATTTGTATGGTAGGCATCTACTGCACAACTGGATGTCGTGTGTTGCCCTTTTCGTATGGTACGTTGTAGGGGTGACATTCCGTTGCTCACCTGTGTCGTAGCCGATGCCCTATTCTAGCTCAATCCTCTCTAATCGTTGTCGAGTAACTACCACTCGGTACATAGATATTGTGTCTCTAATACTCTCTGTGTACAATAATACTGTCCAAATGTTGTCGACAAACTTACCACTTGGTCCACAGGCAAAGTGTATTTGTGTAGTTTTCTGCGCAGGCCCTGTTTGCTTAGCACCAGTGCTCGGCGCCTGACCTCATTATCCTGTATGGCATTGGGCCATCATCGTAGTGGTCTTTCACACAGATCTCACAGCACTGCCCTCTTATCTATTGTGCGTAGGTATATGTATGTGTGGAAAACCTAATACCGTATTCAAGATTGGTCGCCATTGGATACGTGTTGGGTCGTACGTGCTCCTGTCGTTTGTTTGAAGCTTTCAGGTCGTGTTGAGTCTCAAGTGGTGTACTATCGTGTCCATGCCATGTGTGGCTGTAACTGCACCTTTATACAGGGTTGCCCGATTGCGATTGCCCGGATGTGGTTGTGCCTATGTTGGGACGCCCTGCACTGTGTTGTGACGTGGTGCGTACTGTTTCCATGGTTGCACACAGGGTATTTGTCAGTGGGGTTGGCCCTGGGGCTTGATCCACTATAGAGTACAGTCCACTCCCTGGGGTTTATTTTGATTGTGGCAAACTGTTGAGTTACCCCCTGATTTGTTCAGTTTGAGCTTGAGTTTGGGATTGCCTTGATTTACCCCGTCCTGATCTTGAGCTTGAGTTTGGGAATGTCTTGATTTACCCCGTCCTGATCTTGAGCTTGAGTTTGTTCTATTCCTCAGTTCGTCTATTCGTTTGTTCGGTTTGTTTGTTTGTTGCGTTTCTGTTTCAGTTCTTTCCGTTTGTGTTGCCGAGGTGTTCGGTTCAGTTTTGTTATGCAGTTCGATTCAGGTTCCGTTTCGTTTTCGGCTGTTGTTTTGCTCCAAAGGTTGTGTTGCTGGTTTCTCAGCTCTTTTCTTGATCTTGCGGGCGGCAGGCTTCATAGCACATACTGTTCGTTTGGTTAAGCTGGTTTCTTGCGGCGCATTCTTTGCAGTAGCTGCCGTTCCACTGGAATGATCAATCGGACTGCTGGGCATTGTAAAAGACGTTCCTCTCTCCGTGCTATCATCTTTCGATTAAACGATTTCTCACCATCGCTTAGAAACGGGATTGGTTATGTTTCGCAGCCACTATCTTCACAGAGTATTCATTCTCTCAGTCATCTCATTAGTTTTCGGTTTGTCCGTGTCCCCACACCAGCACTTGAGTTTATAAGGACACAGGTATGTCTATCGCACTTCCGTGATCTTTCTGGTTGATCAGCTTATCTCAGTGACTTCTCGTCGTTTCCGTTGCCTCCACATTCAGTTCAAACTCTCCATTCTTTCCCCTTTTATCGGCGATGTTCTTGTGAGTAGCCATTATTGGTGCGTTCGCTCACCTGCCGAGGCACTTTCCGCTCCATTTTTTGCGTGTGCGTTCTCTGCTCCGTTCCCGGGGATTTCTATTCTTGACTGCTGGTCGCGTCTAACAATCTTCTCTCTGATCTCAGCTAGGTTGTGAGCAGGACAATAATGTACCTGTTCCGGGGCAGGTGGTTAGTTTGCTTTTTACAGCATGCCATTGTCTTGGTGCTTGTCTGCTGCCAGTGGCATGCGGCACTCTTTCTCCCCTAACTTATGATGCGTGTCATTTATGTGGGTCGATACCATGGGTACATATCTCACAAGAGTGTGCAACTCCTGTAGGGCTGCTGCCATGACTCATTTTCAGACTTTCAGCTTTGAGTATTGTCATCAAGATTACAGTGTAATCTTGAATCATGTCATCGATTTTCTCATTATGTCGTCAATCATCATGAGAAAATGACATACTTGTGGAAATGAGTCGTGGCATGCGCGAGTTGCACACTTTTTGAGAGTCCAGCTTGCTGCTTGACAACACCAAGAGTACACCACCCTCTTTAGTGGTCACTTTGCACTTCGCCGTGTGCCGTACAGTAGAGTCGCGCGCTGAAGAACGTGGAGCCCAACAACGTCCAGCCTGAAATTCTAAGAACGCCACGGCCTAAAGCTAAGAACGGCAGTGTTGGTTTTCTGGCAACTTGTGGGATGCATGTGATCCAGTACGGATTGTTTCTAGGAACGTGTTATAAGAACGCAGCCAGATTCCTGAAAAATTAGAACGCCCCAGGCTAACCTCTTGGAAACAACGTTCTTGGGCGCGCGACTCTACTGTACGTACTCGGCAGGCAATCTAAAAAACAGCCAGCTGCAGGCCTGAATCAAAGACGAACCCGTGATTCTCTATACTGTACTTCATTGTCCACTACCCTGTGCTGGTTTACATGCATGGCATTGCACCAGTAATACCAAGAGTAGATAAACAAGAGTGTGCAACTCCGGATCTCTCCTGCATAATCTGCAGATACCCTTGCCCACGGCGGAATTCTTTGTTGACGTCACCTTTTTTCAGAAGAACGCGCATTTTGCCGTAGAGCAGTGTGAGAGCATGTGCTGGGCACCGATCTTGTAGTGTAAAGCCGGCCAAGAGCACGAGGGAAAACTTTCCGAAAGACTCGCAGCGCGTGCGTCGTCGAAAAGATTACGTCAACAAAAAATTCCGCCGTGGGCCTACCCATCCGCGAGTTGCACACTCTTGTTTATCTACTCTTGGTAATACTGATAGTCTACAGTACTGTGAGAGTACAAAACCAGCTCTCAGTGCTACTTGTACTACTACTACTACTAGTACTGGTACTGGTACTAGCACATGTAGCAGGAGAGGCGAGATTATACGCTCTTTAATACACTGCATGTTGCTTATGCTGTACAGTGCTGCTCAATGAAATCCAGTCGCATCACTCAGGTTTGGGCCTTGCATCATTTCGCAGCCCAGTGTTCGCAGGTCTAGGGCTACGCAATGCCCGGCCCGTACTTGAGTGATGCGACTGGATTTCACTGAGCAACACTGTACATGTAGTGCGAGGGCTCTTCTACATGTACATGCATGAGGTTTTTTTTTAAGAGGTCGGAGCTCCGGAGGCGGATAATACTTTAAAAACGAAGGTAAGTTTTGAGTCGCAAGTATCCATGCAAACACACATCCAGTCACAATAAGGCACTTTTGACAAGTGCCTTATTGCCCAAAACTTACCTTCGTTTTTAAAGTATTATTACTGTATCATTATTTGAGTGATGACCCAGAGGTGGGTAGCCTATCGAGGGGTTCTCCACTTGGGCGATACTATTTTCAGCCCGCCATGCATTGCACTCGACTCGGTTTGAGGATTGCACAGGCGAATTTCCCCTCAAAGTAGCTGCACTACCACACAGAACTGTACTGTTGCCGTCATAATTATCAGTTTTCTCCCTAAGTCAACCTTCATGCAAACACAGAGAGAGAGAGAGGGGGGTCCCTTTTGAGTTTTATAATCCGGCACCATTTGTGCCTCGGACAACTGTATAGGGCAAAATATTTCGCTTTTTTCTTCACTACACGATTGCGAGGCCGGGGCTACATACCGTAATTCCTCGATTAATGGACCATGCTCGAATAATAGACCATGCTCAAATAGTAGACCCTCCTACAGGCCTCACGGAAAAATAGTAGACCATGCCCCAATAAGAGACCCGGTCTCTTATTTGAGTTCATCGCTTTGCGCATGCGCACTAAGAAAGCTCTTGGTGGATCAAAAAGGACGCGGTTTTAGGTTGCGTAACTACAATTTTTGTAGTGGCTAGTGCTTTCTTTCATTATTTGAGCACGGTCCACTTTATTTTCATCGGCACATCGCTGGAAATGGTGGATTTTTAACAGGTCATAATATAGAACTAAGTTCTATATTATGACGTGTTATGACCATGCCCAAATAAGAGACCGGGGGTCCAACCCTCTTCAAAAAACAAAAGACCGGGTCTATTAATCGAGGAAATACGGTACATGTATGGAATGATGGTACCCTGTACTGTGCTTACTGGACTTGATTTGCAGACGGACAGCTCATAATAATAATAATTATTATTATTATACCAGGTGCTAGGGGTAGTATTTTACGCTGTGACTACCCTGGTTCGTACTGTGTGTACAAGTGACATTGATATTAATTGTGCACATAGGATTGGGTTTTAGATGCATGAGAACAAGCAAAAACATTTCCCACACACGTGCTAAAATTTCCCACACAAAGTACATAATTATGTTCTAGACTATAGTACGGGTACATGTCATGCGGGGACTTGTATAAAGTGACATGAGTCGACGCATCATATTCACCCACACCTTGTTTATCCGGGCAGTTCGGGACCGGGCACCGCCCGTAACTTTGAGGTGTCCGTAACCAGGGAGTAGTAAAATACCAAGTTGGGTGTTTTACGACTCCCTGTCCATAACTCTGAATCGTGTTCAAGTAGTACGTTTTGATTGGGAAAGGCCATAGATATGGCATGTGATGTCACTATTCAATTTTAAACCTCGCCCCAAAGGGCGCCTGTTAGACCGAGGAGGTGGCCGTAACCTCGGTGTCCAGATAGCTGAAGTATGACTGTACCAGGCGATCAGGGATGGCAGACAATAGGCAAGAGTCATCAAGTGATCACTCAGGGAGTCTGTTTTTTGATGAGTACTTCTGTCAAGTGTCATACAAACGCACCATGGTGTGACAGCCAGGCACAGAGCTAGAGGCAAATACTGCGGCTTAAAAAAAAAAGCACCATTACATCGATCCGCCAACAAAAGCACGTCTTGAAAGTACTCTTCACTCTTGTGATGAAGCAACATATCAAAAGATGTCCGTTGCGCAAGATAAAGTCAGCCTGGCACTGTTTGTTGGGGAAATGGCCCTGCGGTTTGTGAAAACTGCAGCAGCATATTACTCAGCTCGGTCTGCATGAGCACAGTGAGTGATACGATTGTTCTATGTACATGATTGTATTTAGATAGCCATAGGTCGGCTCAGTACTACAGGGGTACAGGGCCATGCGGATATCAGTTACTTTGAAGAGGTACAATGTCATGCAGGTCAATCACTAACACACTATCAGCACAAAGCGTACACATGGGACTCAGACTATATTAGTTCAGGCTGATACGGTCGTTGTCTGTGACTTCTTCCGGTCCATACATAGATCATTGTCGTTGTCGCCACAAGTCAAGCACTCGAGGATGTTTGGAGGGGAGTGTTATATGCATGTTCTTCCTTCCCTCAACCTGTGCGGAAGGGGTGTTGTGCAACACTTTCAAGGATATCTCGTTGCACGTCCGGTATGCGCAACGGCCGACGGCATCAAGTTGCCAGCGGAGCAGAAGTTTTTCAGCCCGGAAACCTTTACACAAGGTGCGCACGCTGACTGGACAAAAACTGGGTTGTTCATTCACATCCCATCTTAGCAAGTAGCCCACAAGTACGAGTGTGCGCACGCGTTCTGAGGTGTGCGGGCAGAGTGATTTACAGTGCCATTTCATACCGTACTGACATCATCCGAGTATTCCTCCAGCGCCTTGGTGAAGAAATCCCGGTCGTCCAGATCCAGCATCAGCCCGGAGATCATGGACTCGATCTCGTCGTACTTCTCCAGGTCAATGGACGGCTTTCTGATCGGCATGGGCTCCAGGGGAGGCAGGGATATCGGCTCGGTTGCGACGGAAGATGCGACGGTGGCGGGCGGTGGAGCGTTGGTCGTGAACGTCTGGCTGCGGTTTCGCGGCCGCGGCGCAATGCCCGGAGGAGACTGCACTGAGGGGCCGGTACCGGCGCGCGCCCGTGGCGACTCTTGCGTGGAGTGCGCTGGCGTTGTTTCCATTGACGGTGGCGGCGGCGGGAGAGGTTCTTCGATCATGACCGCTGGTGGCGGTGGCAGTTCTTCTGCTTCTGGCTGTGTGCTGACAACGGACGATGGCGGCGGTGGAGGTGGATGATAGCTATCGGCTATTACCATCTCCGCGGCTTTCTTCACCGAGACAGGAGAAACCGCGGGACGTGTCGCAGCTTGCGGGGGTGGCTTCTGCAAAGGACGATACACATAGCACACGACAGCAAGTACATATGCTGTGAGAGATGATAGGTTGTGTGGTGGGACAGGGGCACTACCGCTGTGTATTCAGCAGAGTATGATGCACTGGATGCCGCACATGGTTGATCATCTTAATTAACTACCCCCCCCCCCCTCCCCCCCTCCCCCCTCCCCCCGCACACACACACACACACACAGAATTACCATCGTCGACGGCGCCACCACAATCATCATCACCACAGCCATCGCCGCTACCGCCACCCACTACCAAGAACAACACCAGCACCAATATCGCTACCACCACAGGTCAACACAGGCATTAGCTACTTTTTAGCCTATTTCCATGGGTCAACAAAGGCATGCTTGTGGCCTGGCACGAGCGAAACTTCCTAACCTGGTTGTGTTTCTCAATGCAACTGTATAGCCGGTTGTAACGCGGACATGCGAATTTTACTTTTTGTCCAAGAGTCAACAGTGTGAGCACCCAGATCACACTGGGCGCTTATAGTCTAGAGTACACAATCCCCAAGAGTGTGCAACTCGAGTCTATGCAGTACGCAAGGGGTCTGCGACAGGACAATTTCGTAAACATGATTTGCACCCTGTTCCTGATAGATACCGGGTTGTATGCAACCCTGCCTTGGGTTCAACTCTCTGGTGGTCATTTTGCACTGTTCGCCAGCGTAGCCTATTCAACCGTGTCAGGCGATGTGAAGTTCATCCGTCTCAGCACCGGATAGAGATTTTACAGCCATTAGCACACTCTGGGGGGGGGGGGGGTAGGTACTCTTGATACAGTGAATCATTCAGTATAGCGTATCACCATGGGCACTGCTCGGGCAAATAGGGACATAATCGTTGCTGGCAGAGACGAACATTTCTTTTCTTCAACGAAATTGGATGAAAATCACTCCTGTAGCTAACGCTTTGAACATTCATCTTCATGCACGTATGTGATGTTTTGCTTCCCCCAAAAGGGTTGGCTTGTACCCCAGTGAAGCCCTGGCCAGAGACACGATACAGTAGTCGCGTGCCAAAACGTGGATCCTAAGAATACGCAGCCTGAAGTACTAAGCACGCCAGAGTCCAAAGTTAAGAATGCCGGTGTTGGTCTTCTGGCAGCTGCTGTGCTACATGTGTTTCTAGTACAGCACTGTCAGTCGCCGAAGAACTGGGGGGGGGGGGGGGGGGGGGGGGGGGGGAGGTCCACCTCCTAGCCTAGACCGTTCTTATTTTCATATACAGTAAAACCTGTGACTAACGACCACCCCTCGGGGCCAGAGAAAGCGGTCTTTAGTAGCAGGTGGTCCTTAGTTAGAGGTTTGCACCGCACAACCATACATGAATGCGAGACCGTCCGTGCCTGGCAAAGTGGTCGGTAGTGCCAGGCTGGTCGCTAGTGTCACGGTGGTCTTTAGACTTAGTTACAGGTTTTACTGTATTACAGTCTATGGGCAGTTGCGTCAGCGTGTATACATTGCTATGCTGTGCTTGATGCACTTCCAGCCTAGCCGTTCCTCGGCGCTCCGTTCTTCAGTGCTCCGTTCTTCGGTGCCCGACAGTAGTGTACTGTGTGTATACAATCCAGTACAAATCGTTTCGGAAAACGCGACTAGAACACAGCCAAGCTTTTCGAAGATAAGACCGTGCCAGGCAGACCTCTTTGACACGACGGTCTTGTGTGCGCGACTCTACTGTACACACATGGCTACCTGGTCTTCATACAGTACTGTCCGGCGCTGAAGAACGGAGCGCCGAAGAACGACTAGGCTAGAATTTCACCAAGCACAGCATACCAATGTGTACACGCTGACTCCACTGTACATCGGCTGTAATAAATGAGAATATGAACGGTCTAGGCTAGCAGGCTGACACCCCAGTTCTTCCTCGATCGACAGCACATTACATTGTACTGCACTCACACTCTCATCAGCGAATGCCAGCGACTGGTGGCGCGTCGGTGGCGGTGGCCTTGGTTTTCTGCTGGGAGATGCTTGCGGATCGGGACTATGCGCTGACGGCGGTGTGTGTCTGCAACAGAAGACATCAGAGACAGGAATAACGATGAGTGAAAACCAAGCGAGCACAGGAAAAGCAGGAAGTCACTATGATTTTTCAAGAGTGTGCACTTTTGAAAATCTGCCACTCAGAAACGCTGTGTCTTGTTTGTGGCTTGTGTACTGTCGACGCTGGTTGGCAGGGGACACACTAGGAAAGAATACTCACCTAGTCATCGAAGGTGCAGCGTTCGCTGGAGCGGGTACGGGTGCGTGGCCTTGACTGGCAGCTGCTGCACTCGGCGGAGCAGCCACCGGTGGCTTCTTCTTTACGGGCGGTGGTGCCACTTTGGGCTTGTCCACCGTGACAGCTCCATTTCCTTCAACAACAGACATTGGCAAAGGCAAGACGGGAAACGAAGAAGATTACTACCAGTACTGTGCACAAGAAAAGTAGCTTGAAGTGGACAGTTCTGAGACTAAGAAAGGCACGAGCGGATTTTAACGACTGGCTGCCTCACTCACACGCGGCTTTGCTTATAAAAGTTATAATGATGAGCTGTGTGTGGATTGGCATGCATACGCTATGCCTGCGTGGCTTGGAAGGAAACATCGCAGGGAGCATGCAGCACAGGAAACATGCCATCAAACACGCTCCCTACAAGAACATGTATAGAGTAACCCAACCTACAATCCTAGACAAAAGCCTTGTCTTGGTGCATGTACCGCATACGTAAGAGGCTGTGTATATCTTGGAATGTTTGCACCAGCATGCCAAACTCATCATAGAGCCACGGTAAGTGAACATTGACCTCATGAAAAGGGGTACGCGTTTGACGGTAAGCAGCCGCAACACTGCAAACAAAGAGCAATGAGTTGCCACGGCTGAAATCGGCCCTGGCGAAAATGAGAAAGGCGCACTGCATGCCTTCTCTGGACTATTTAACACCCATCGTTGTGTAGATACGCACTATGACAAACATGCACGTGCAGTTCAACCATCCTTACTTACTGCCTTGAAGTTTCTGGCATCTGGAACATGGGTTTTCTAGACAACACATTCTAAGGGCGGGGGTTTCGAATCCAGATATGAACAGTTTTCTATAATGTTACTAGCATCTTACAACCGACAATGAGACAAACTTTGAACATATCTAGTGAGATTCTCGTCGGCGCACTCAATACTGTGGCCACACGTCCGAGTGAAACAATTATGAGTTTCAAGGACATTTGCATGTGACGATCGCCAGTTGGAATGCATGACAATAGAGAAAACAATTAATCCCAACTAATGACCATTATATCGGTATGAAAACATTCTTGGAACGCCAGACTATTTCGTTTAGCGTGTGGCCACAGGAAAGAAGTGAGATATTTTCTGAACAGAGTGTGTGGCCACAGGAAAGAAGTGAGATACTTTCTGAACAGAGTGTGTGGCCACAGGAAAGAAGTGAGATATTTTCTGAACAGAGTGTGTGGCCACAGGAAAGAAGTGAGATATTTTCTGAACAGAGTGTGTGGCCACAGGAAAGAAGTGAGATATTTTCTGAACAGAACCAAATGAAGTCGCTCCGATACACTCACCTTTAGGTCTAGGTTTGACTGCGGGTGGTGGTGCTCTGCCACCAGCTGCACCATTTCCTATTAATACGGAACACACACACACATGCACATAACATACCTGATGTTAGTAAACTTCACAGAAGACATCACAAGTCAACCTGGTGCTCCGAAAATTCAAAAAGGACATTTCCGAGCTGGTACAGCCACAGGTCATTCACAAATACAGTTCACATTTCAGGGTACACTGTATTTCTGTTACACTCCAGTCTCTTTCCAGTCTCTTTCCAGTCATAGAGGTCAAGATGTCCCCCTCATCACCCCAATATCCCAATCTCAGTGATCTGAATACCCCAACTTTTGTAAATTATCTGGCTTTGGAAATTTTATTTTTCATTGCTATCAGGTTCGGCCTCGTTTTCTCTGTGCTGCACTGATGAGGCTACAAGGGACGAAACTAAAGTAGCTGAATTTTGTACATTGTGCTGTGTGTGTATTACATATCCTGTTAACATGCAGCCTCTTGAATTCAGATTCTCCATCATTTTTCTGGCATATTAAATTTTTTATGATTAATCATCAATTTTCTGGCATACTTATGATATTTGTATGGAGGTGTGCTGGCCCTATTCGCCAGCAATACGAACTCCCATTCTAAAAAGACAGTGTTCCTGTCGCTTTCATTTGGGTAAATGGGTGGTTTGGACCATCAGAAGATGCCTCCAAACCAGCTCACCCAACTAACGTCTTTGGGATCATTTCACCAAATACACGGATGAGAAGTTAGCTACCTGCAGAATTTCCCCGCAGCGTATGTTTACGAGCGGCAAACAACGAGCAACTTCCATACGCACCTGAAAACGCAACATTCCTCTGTTGTCTCTCATAGTGCAGTTAGTTCTACGGCATCAACATGAAGCGAGTTAACGACGAACTTTGCAGTATGGTGCTGCTCAGGCGGAAGCTTTCATTGTGCCTGCAGCCTTTGAAAGTGTCATGAAATACGCATCAAAAAATTCCACGTTTTGCCTATACTGGTTTGTGGGCAAGCACGTGTGTGCGAAGAGAATGCTAGAGAATGTTCGTTCATTAACATCAGGAACGTTCGAGCTTCTGAATTGTACATGTCATTTTCATGTAGACGTCATGTGACGAATTCTTGTCGACCAACCAGAAAAAAATTTATTATTATTATTAGTCGCACCAACCTCTTCTTCACATTGGACTCAGATGGAGAGCCAAGGTATAATTAATTCCCGTAGCTATGCAGAAGACGTTACGTTAGTAACGTCTGGCGCTAGCCAGGGTCCACACAGCTTTAATTCCCGTAGCTATGCAGAAGACGTTACTTCAGTAACGTCTGGCGCTAGCCAGGGTCCACACAGCTTTAATTTGGTGTTTGTTTGTTTGTGTCACGCCTGGCGCTATCCCGTATCTGTCCCGTACCGTATCGCACAGCTGGCCATTTGCTGGCTTCCGTATCTGTCCCGTACCGTACCATCAAACACAGCTGGCTACAAACAGCTGGCCACAATATTATGTACATGTATACGACTCCCTGTGTGTTGCAACTGTGCTTGAAGGGGACGGTTGCACTTTTCGTAGCTCCGTTTAATCTGAGTTTTCAGTAGTTCCTCTTACTAGTCTTGCCAAGGGGGTGGCTCTGGGTCCACCAGAGTTGCCCCTGGCGTATTTCTGAATTTGCTGGGGCGAGGGTTCCGCGACGCGGTCGCCAAGGCAGTGTCTTTTCAGTCACGACCGTTGTCGTCCTCGTCTCTCCATTCGCGGTGGTGTAGCTGACCCCCCGAATGGTTTCAAACTGCGAAGCTCGGAGGAGTACAGTGGTGGCAGAGGCATGAGCTGTGAGTGGAGACGGTTGCTGGAGATGGATGGTGATGCAGGGAGAAGAGTTACGCTGCATGACGCCGCGTGGGAAATTGTTTGAACCTGCAATTTCAGTTCGAGCGCGGTGGACTTCTAGACGATGTGTCCTCATGGCTGTTTTTCAACGCTTGGCCTATCGCTGATATCCCTGCGTGGGATGTTCTTCCAGTGGAGTCCAGGTGGGACTTCGGGTGCCCACACTCCATCACCTGGTTGATTGTTTCGGAACTGCAAAAATAATTATTGTTTCCTATTTTGTGCGCATCTCTTGTCATCTCTCTTTTCTATACGTCGCACGTCAGATGTACTACTATCGCCGTCTTTCTCTTGCTTTCTCTCCCTGCTTGCTGATTTTTTGTTTCTGTTGCCACTGTCCCTCATCATACCCATGCTTGGGTGGTGGGCGGCGTGACCCGTTAGGGTAGCTGCCAATACAGTACGACTCCCTGATGTATAGAGAGACTTTCTGGAAAGAAATAGGGAGACGAGGAGGAAATGAAATTAGAATGGATGTTAGTTGCCGAATAGGTGATAGGATGCGTCAGTAAAAACATACTTCGTAAGAGACATCCCGTCGTCTCCAAAATAGGCGTGAACGGGCGAGTCAGCGCCGGTCACAGGAAACGTCGGCAGAGAGATCCCGTCGACTCCAGAACGCGCGTGCTCGGCAGAGTCAGCGCCGTTCCAGGAAACATTTCCATCAGTTCCCACAACATGCACGATGAGCTAAGTAACAAAGCATAGCGTAGGGCCCTGAGCTTCCAAGCTCTCTCGTTTGGTGTTTGTTTGTTTGTGTGTTTGTGTCACGCCTGGCGCTATCCCGTATCTGTCCCGTACCGTACCATACCATCAAACACAGCTGGCCACATACAGCTGGCCGAAATACTGGTATTCAAATAGGGCTTTCAAACGCAAGATCATAACGTGAAGTAACTTGGAAGAATGAGTATGAATGGAAAGTGTATGGGGGAATGCATGTAGGGCGATAGTGCGGGTTATAATCCCAGGTTATGCCTGAAAAAAATTGAAAAATGTATAACATCCTTATGCTTTTTTTGCCTAGGTTATCAAGGCGGTAGACGGTGTCGTATTACCCTCGACCGTACCTGTCCCGTACCGTACCATCAAAGACGGCTGGCCACAATGCATATTCAAATAGGGCTTTCAAATGCAATATCATAACGTGAAGCAACTTGGAAGAATTTGTATGTATGCGAAGTGTATCGGGGGATGCATGCAGGGCGATAGTGCGGGTTCGAATCCCAGGTTATGTTTTTTAAGGAGAAATTTATAAGAATAAATAACATCTCTATGCTTTTTGTCTAGGTCATCAAGGCAAAAAAGCATAGCGTAGGGCCCTGAGCTTCCAAGCTCTCTCGTTATACAAAAGAGAAAGACCATGGAACTACAAGTCAGTACCGTCGGTCAGTGTCGTGCAATGTTATCGCATGGGCTCAGCCGCTGATTGTTTAGTAACTGGTGGTGTTAGTGGACAGTATAGCATAACTTGTAGTTCCTTGGTCTTTCTCTTTTCTATAACCTCTTCTTCACATTAATATTAATTTATTATTATACACAAAGGACGAAACAGTTCTGTCCGCAGATGGAGTATTATGATTAGCAACACAAACATCAGGAGAAGATCCCATTCTACGGGCTAGGGTAGGGAGGTCCTAAATATGCTCAAAAATTTCGCATATTATGCTTTTCGCATATTGGCCACTTGCTTCAAAATATGCTTCGAAATCACACAAAAGCAGAAAAATATGCTCGAAATATGATCTGATATCAGTGATAATTATGCGAATTCTTTGCTCCTTGTAGCAAAATATGCAATATTTGGTACAATATACTAGATTTACTACTTTATGCGACCTTGAGTCGCGGACACTCTCTTCTCGGGTCAAATTTTCGCCCCGTGTTTGGATGAGCATTTTCCTTCCAGGCTAAGTTTGGAAGTGTCCCCTGACTGAGCGTGCCGTGGTAAGTTTTCTTGTCCATTTCCGCAATCTGCCCTAGAATTATGCGAATTCTTCGCTCCTTGTAGCAAAACATGCTACATTTGGTACAATATGCTAGATTTGCTACTTTATGCGACCTTGTGTCAAAAAGACCAACATATGCGAAAATATGCGCAAGCATATTCGGGCCCTCCCTAGGCTAGGGAGGTGACACAACTCCATGCTCCATTTTTTCTTTAAATTAATGCCACAAAGCATTGCCACTACATGATTGTAGAACAGCTCTGTTTAGGATGAATTATCTGGGATGCAATATCCAGTGATTTATAGCCAGCCAGCATACTACTTGTAAGTTGTAGTAATAGACAACTCAGGAATGTTGGGCTGGTGCCACTTGACTTACAATGATTTATTAGTGACAGTCCACGCCATGCGCCATACCATGAGCACACATTGCCACATTGACTTTCACTATTTCAATCATTGCTGACAGTCACCATGATACAGTAGTAGTACATGTAGCTGATACAGAACGTAAACTAAACGAATAATATTTTTCGTTTCTTTCCATACCGTTTCGGTTTTCTGACGCGTCCTTGATAGCAGTAGTGGCAAAATAGGACGAAGGACCGCCGCAAGCAAACGACGCTTGCTTGGACAACGCAACTTTGCCGTTCAAGCCAGCACGTGCTACTCCGCTCAGCGATTTTGTCGACTCGAGCTTCCGAGGCGTGGGTCGAGGCGCTGGCAATGGTCGACCATCCGCACGCAGACCAACAGTGTTGCCAGATTGAAGAACAACGGCCATTTCGACAGTGTGTCCTTCTTGCAAGGAACACATTGATTAGAGTAACTCCCCCTGCCTGAATTGGAAATAAGACGGGAAGAGAGATTTTCTGGAGCTCGGCAGCTTCTTGGATCTGGGTGCGCCTAATCGAGCTGGGAGCGACAAAGACCTATCCAGGTGGATTGGGCGTCCTGAAGTTGTCTAGCGGTGGGTGGAAAAGATAACCACCGTGCCGATGCTTCAACTTCAAGAAGGTATCATGCCTTGATACCTGGCCACGGCGATGGCAAATCGAGCCATTACACACCGTCATCAGGATGATAACAGATCGCCTTGCTCGGTGCCAGGTGCCTGTTTTGCGCCTAGTTTCGACAGCTGACGGAACGGTCGGTTGGGTCCGCCAGGAACCTCGCCAGGCCATTCGCTCGAGGCCCAGGCCAGCAGTAGTACAGCTACTACAGGGATAATAATGTGCCAGGTACACATGCACACACGCAGTCGGGCAGGTGCTTCACTACCGATGCGACTACAATCTAGACTACAGTAGTGGCAGTGCGGAGCTAGTAGTAGGTCTAGTACTAACCCTATGCACAACATCAAAACAGCGGCACAGTTATCCCGGTTGGTCGCATCGAAATACATCGGACGTACAGTAACGTAGCCTCCGATCGCCCCGCGAAACTACCGCGCTCGACCGGCCGTCGACAACGGCATGTTCCGGAAGAAAAAAAGCTCATTTTAGACGGCCGCGGTCGATACTGTTGACAATCCAGAGGGAGCTAGCTAGAGAGAGAGAGAGAGCTGTCACAGCGGACAAGCAACCACTCGCGAAACACACCACTCGTGCAAGAAAAGGGCAACCCACGTTCTACACGTGGTCTCCTATAATCCTCAAGATACATGACTGTATATCAACGAGGTGATTTCTGACATTTCTTTCAGGGGGTTGATCAGATACGTTTTACCATGTAGATCTACCAGCTCCTGCTGCGCTCGACTGCCACTATTTAGATCGAAACGCAATCAGCAAAGTAACATAGCCAACGGGAAGCCATGCGAAAACAACCAAACCCATCACGTAAAAACCAGCGAGATGAAACGCTGCTACCGTTTCTTGTGTACTGGACCTCGTCTGCCTGCATGCGGCTGCCGCATAGTTTCATCAACATGTTCGCGGCGAACGGCGACAACCGACCGCCAAGCATTTTCGTAAAAGTACATCAAACAGCAGTCACCAGGGGAAAGCAAAAGCTGCTGCAGTGTGGCAAGACACGAACGTGTTGTGCCGGTTCCACACTTCAACACTCAACCATAGTGCCAGAGTGAGGCAGGAACAACAACTCAGTTTACGCGCACCCCCACGGCCTCAGTCACACACAAACACACACACACACAGTATTCTACAACACAGCTAGGGGCACGCTAGGAACTGCACGCTATGGCGCAGTGAGCACAAGGTTACACGAATCCAGTATGGTTGGTCTCATGATAAAGGCACACGTACCTGATACCAAAGAGCTCATTTCGTTGTCCGCTTCAGCTGGCTGAAACCATGCACACCTAAACCAAGTTCCTCCAGGTGCTTTCAACGGACTGTCCTGCTGCAGCCTAGTACAGGTGTTCAAATGTGTTTGTGCTAGCTAGCTAGCTTCACACAACGTTCCCTCTCGCTCAAAGGAGTCTCTACCTCACGCTCAGCAAACCTACAACAATGCGTTCCTTTCTGCTGAATCGACGCAGACAACGACCAAAGTTGCGCCGATGATTTCAGGGTGGCGATCAGCCGGTGGAAGACAGGATCTTGGCTAGAACAGTAGAAGTAGAACGAGAACTGGAGTGGAGTGGAGTGGAGAAGCATGCACGCACAACTCGCACTGACGTACTGGTCGTTCGGTCGTCTCCAGCTCCCGGGACTCCCCATGGCCATGCCCGGGGGATGTTGAGTGGCATGGCCATGCGTGCCATTGCGTGGACTACAAAAATAAGCACAAAAGACAGTCATCATGGTCATAACAGAAGTCAATCGACAATCGATCTCAGACGATCTGCACTCTGAAGTACAGGGGGCATGTAGATCTGCATGACTACGTAGATCTACGTGCCCATGTATGTCAGTGCACATCGTCATCATCATATCACAGCACTGCACTGGGATCTAGCCTTCTTTCGTTTGGGTCAGTGAAAAAAGGGACAGTAGGGACTAGGGAGTCGCAAAACAAACCCTGGTGCATGCGCGCGTGTACGTCCCGAGCCCCAAATGCCCAAAGCCTTGGCGCCCCCCCCCCCCCCCCCATGGCGGATAATCATGGTCTAAAAATAATTGACAACTGGCAGATTCTGCTCGAAAAGCAGTGAAATAATTTTCAGAACCATACAAGTCTTGTATCCTCACGCGATCGAGGAATACACACTTGTCGCGCACTATGGTCCGTATGGATATCTGCCATAATCTGGGGAAAAAGTGGGAGAAAGTGCCGCGAGCCAATCAACAGTCTGTAGTCGGCTCGGAAGGCTTACCTGGAGTGATCATGGTGATCGTGTCGCCTCCCCATCCCGGGTTTATACGACTCCCAGACCTGCTAGGCTACTACCAGGTACTACTAGTATTAATTTTTACGAAGTACTAAACATGCATGCATGGTATCAAATATAGTATACAGTACATGTACTTCGCAGTATGATCATTCTTATACAGCAGAAATGGCGCAAGTACGCGTTTTCCACATAGAATGATAACGAATGCTACATGATAAGAATGATCATTCCTTTACACTATCTTGGCGAACAGCCTAACAGCCGTCCTCACGTCAACTTACGACAAACTCTGCCCCGTCCGTCGCGTCTGCGTACCATCCTTCAGCAAACCCAAACCTCAACCCTGGCTGACTCCTCACCTGCGATATCTTTTTACATCAACGTAAGCATTTGCACAGAAAGGTTCGGTCACGTCCCTCTGATCAACAACTAATGCAACGGTACCGGGCAGTGAGAAGGGAAGGGACACTGTCACTGCTGAACAGGCGCCTGGAGTCGGAGTTCCTAATGCAACAGTTCAGAAACATGAAGCGTGACCCCAGAGGCCAGTGGTGTCTCTGGTCGAGCCACCACGAAATCCACCCCTGCAGCGCCACTTCCAGCACTCACTGCAACATTTGCGGCAGTTGTCCACGACCCAGCCAGGCCAGGAGTGTTGCAGATACCGGCCGACAGGGATCCGACAGCATCTAGCACCCTGACTGACTTCACCTTGGTCACCACTGAAACAGTTGAGGCTCTACTGACTACTCTCAACTCCCACAAGGCCGCGGGTTCGGATGGCATTCCTCCCTGCATCTTAAAGTCATGCAAAGCAACTATCACGGCCTCACTAACATCCATAATCAATCAGTCCCTACTTTCTGGCGTTTTTCCAGCCTCTTACAAACATGCACACGTGTGCCCACTCTTCAAGTTCAAGTCTGGAGACAAACTTGCAGCCACCAACTACCGGCCAATATCTTTGCTGCCCGTTGCCTCCAAGATATTGGAGAAGGTTGTCCACCGGCAGATTACTGAATTCTTCCGTGACCACCCAGAGCTGTCTGCCTTGCCACTGGAGCAGTTTGCGTACCGTCCAAAGCACAGTTGCGAAGATGCCCTCGCTGTTTCCATAGATAGGTGGACAAGAGCACTGCACAATGGCCAGCGATGCGCGGTAATGTTCGCAGATATGAGCAAGGCTTTCGACCGTGTACAGCATCAGCAACTGGTCAACGAGCTGGCTGACGTCGGGCTAGGCGGCTCGGTGCTGAAGTGGTTTGCGGACTATCTGTCCTCCCGAAGTCAACAAGTCATGGTCAATGGGGAGCGTGGTGGGACTGTACCCTGCACCAGGGGAGTTCCGCAAGGGCCCGTCCTTGGCCCCCTCCTCTTTTGCGTCTACATCCGCAAGGTTCCACAGATTGTTCGGAACAGTATTTCTCAGCTCTATGCCGACGACATCGCCTTTTTCCTCATTGGAACGGACCTCTCTGTCATGCTGCGAAAGCTTCAGGATGACCTTAGCGCTCTGGAGCTCTACCTAGATGACAAAGGACTTCTCATGAACTCTGACAAGACGCAGTTCCTGGTCCTTCGGCGCCCACGCCAACCTGTGCCGCATCTACCAATCCTCCTAGATCGTAAAGGCAAGCCCCTCACCCCTGCAGCCACCGTGAAGTATCTCGGACTACTCATCGACGAGAATCTCACCTTCCAGCCGCAAGTCGAGAAGGTCTGCGGTGCGGTGTTCGGCAAGATTGCCGCCTTCAGACATGGCCGAAAAAACCTAACACCTGAAGCGAAGAGGACGTTCTATTTATCCATTGTTCAATCGACTCTCGACTATGCCAGTAACGCTTATCTGCACTGTCTCAGCGCCACCCTGTTCAATAAGATCGTAACGGTCAGTCACATAGCAATGAAGAAGGTTTTTGGGTTTGACCGTATGATGTCTACTGAAATTGTTCTCCGCAAATACCATCTCTATTCTTTTGAACAGCGCATAAATCTTAAACTCTACTCTATGTTTTCGTGTACCGCTGCTTGACCCCACATCTTGCTAGTCCCCTTCTCCAATCCTTGTTCCAGCTTAGGGATGCTGTGCCTGGACACCACGCTCGCACGCGCGGCCAGGCACAGCGTGCATTAGTTTATTTCTTTCCTGGCGGCAGACAGATGGAATGCTCTTCCCACTGACTGCCGTCAGGCCCCGTCTCTTACTCTGTATGTAAACATGATAAAAATTCACCTAGGGTTCCCAGTAAAAAGGCAACGCCTGTTGGGACTCCCCTAGCAAAAATGAGAGAACTTGGAAGCTCAGGGCCCTACGCTATGCTTTTTTGCCTTGATGACCTAGACAAAAAAAGCATAGGGATGTTATAAATTCTTATAAGTTTCTACTTTTTGTTTTTAGACATAACCTGGGAAAGGCTGGGATTCGAACCCGCACTATCGCCCTGCATGCATCCCCCGATACACTTCGCATACATACTAATTCTTCCAAGTTGCTTCACGTTATGATCTTGTATTTGAATGCCCTATTTGAATATGCATTGTGGCCAGCCGTCTTTGAATGTACGGTACGGTACAGGTACGGGACAGGTACGGGACAAGTACGGGACAGGTACGGGACAGGTGCGGGACATTTTTCAATTCTCCTATTTTTTTAGGCATTACCTGGGATTCGAACCCGCACTGTACTATCGCCCTGCATGCATTCCCCCATACACTTCGCATTCATACTCATTCTTCCAAGTAAGTTGCTTCACGTTATGATCTTGCGTTTGAAAGCCCTATTTGAATATTGCGGCCAGCTAGCTGTGTTTGATTGTATGGTACGGTACGGTACGGGGCAGATACGGGATAGCGCCAGGCGTGACACAAACACACAAACAAACACCAAATAATTAAAGCTGTGTGGACCCTGGCTAGTAGGCCTCCGCGGAATATGCTCGTATTTTTACCGATAATTCCTTTGAGCATTGCTCAAAATTACGTCCGATAATTCCCGTAATTCCATTCTCACAATAATGCTTTTTTCTTCCCTTTTTTGCAGATACCGTACCGCTTACGGGTTTTTTTGCCACTTGTACGGGCAAAAAAATCACGGTTCGCGTGAAACTCGGCTGGAAGCTTTTTTTCTTTCTCTTTTGAAATACCGGGCGATCAACTCATTCAGGATCACAAGCTTTTTGGTACAAATCAGGGTGTTAAAATGGAAAAAAATTGAAAAAGGGGGGCATTGCTCAAATTTTACCGATTATTCCACAAAAATTGCCAATAATTCCCGTTTTAAAAATCACACTGATAATTCCCGAAATTATGCCGGCATATTCCGCGGAGGCCTACTGGCTAGCGCCGGACGTTACTGAAGTAACGTCTCCTGCATAGCTACGGGAATAATAAAATCTACTACTACTACTACACTCCATTATTATCATTATCATCCTCTACTGACATGATTATTATTATTATTATTAAATTTTGAATAGGGCATGATGAGCTCTGGCAGGGAGCGAAACAGCTGTCTAGAGGCGTGGAAAAATATCATCTCTCAACGGAAGTGTCCTTGCTGGCGTCTGTATGGTTCAGCTGAGAGCGCGTGGTTGCGACGAGTTGGGAATGCAATAAATAATTTTAAAATTGGAAAGACATGTACATTGTACATGTACATGTACATGTAAGGCCGAAAGCTCTGTCGCAATATTTAGTTGTGAAATATAGCCCTAAGGAGTGAAATATGCAGGAATATTTGACTGCTTAGGCATAGCGATAATCAATGGGAGTCACTACTAAGAGAGTGGTAAAAATTAATGTACAGTCAACTTCGCTAATAACGACTGCGGATATAACGACAATTCGCGAATAACGACCGAATTTCCATGCCCAGAGCAAAGTCCCATCTAACTGTATACATTTTACTTCGGATATAACGACTATCTGAATAACGACAATTCGCGAATAGCGACATGCTTTTAGTGCCCCGAGGTCATATTCACTGCTTGAACAACGACTTTCTGGGCTTTTGACAGCTATTTCAAGTACCTGTCAGTCAAGTATATGTACCTGTCATGCAGAAGTACCAGAACCTATGGTGATGGATAATATTATTATTATTATAAAAAGGCACACATGCAAGAAAATGCAGCCAAAGGGGGGGGGGGGGGGCTTTTTCTTCCTTTTACATGTTGGCTTCAAAATTGTTGGATTTACCAGCACACCTATAATTATGTATACAATTATGTACATGTAGTTGTACATGATTGTACAGTAATCATGACACATGTACATGTCTCTGGCCCTGTAGATGGCTCAAAAAGGCATATTTTTCAATTGATTTCCCTTGCATATTGAATTTTTAGTTCCTTTCAACTGCAATATGAAAATAAAGTACACATTGACATAGAGCAAGAAAAGAGCTTGATTTTGATATGCATATCATACTATACAAAATATGGGTTCACATACATTCAAATGGGACTTCGGTTATAAGGACACTTCGCGAATAAGGACACTTTTCTGATGCCCCGCCACATGTCGTTATTGGCGAAGTTGACTGTAATGTAATGACTATACATATAGTCATTACATTACATTACATTACATTCGCTCCCTGCCGGAGCTCATCATGTCAGTAGAGGATGATAACGATAATAATGGAGTGTAGTAGTAGTAGTAGATTTTATTATTTTTACTAGGGGAGTCCCAACAGGCGTTGCCTTTTTACTGGGAACCCTAGGTGAATCTTTACATGTACATGTACCCTGTACAGTCTTTCATTGTCATTTTCACATTTTCACATTAAAATTTTTATCATGACTTGTACTGTTGTAGCTACCAAACTCCAAAGAAGAATAAGAAGACCGCCGATTTCATGTCGGAGTCGGTGTCGGAGCGTCGCCATCGGCCGAAAATAATAATTAGCCTAGTGTGGACCTGGCATTAGACGAGAGGGCAGAAATGTCTGCGTATCTGGCGAAGTACTAAAAATAATAGGAACCAACAAACATTGAAACATTCGACTACGGCTACCGGTACACTCTCCCTGTACCATACTACTACTTACTAGTATTACTACGCCAAGCAAAGGAGTCGAGTAGATCTACGCCTAGGCTACTATGGCCTTCTCTTGAACAGACAGCTAGCCCCGGCCCCTTGCCCTTGGCCTTGTACAGTCATGACTCAGTCATGGTGTTCCGTAGACCATGGTAGACTGTAGTGTACTAGTAGTGTGGACCACGGACAGACGGGTCATGGTGATGCGCGGGGGTCCGGAGTGGCCTGCCTGGCTTGGGCCGGAGTCCGGAGGCCGAGGTGGCTACTCGTAGATCTACATGTACATGTCCATGATCTACTGACTTCTGCCTACTGGTAGACCCGGGCCGCGGGTCTATAAAAACAAAAAATATGGAGACCAGGTGCGAACAATGGAGAAAGCAATGCATGTGTCACTCTGTGGTTGAGGTCGAGAAGCAGTTTACGGAGCTGAGAGTGAGCATGGTGAGAGGGAGACAGAAAAAAACTGAAATGTGAAAGGCCGTCACAAGTGGTACTAGTACTGGTAGTGCTATGTACATGTAGATCTACATGGTAAATTATTTATTATTTTTATGGCTTGTGAAGTAAAGTAACATTAGTTGTGTAGATCTCGCCATAATGCATGTGAACCATTTTTGCAATGGTGACAGGAAGAGAGTTACTTACTTGTTGTTGCTCTGTACCTGTGACGTGTCCGGGCGTTTGAGTTGACTGTTAACAATACATGTTGTCAGTGTTGAGACTTTACAGTTTACTTCTTACCTACTACTAGTACTACTAAGTACTAGTAGCAGTACTCACACTCACTCATACCAGTCATCATGCCTTCATGGTCATGACTCCCTATGCTGCACATAGATACTGGCAAAAGGCAAACGCCATTTGCACACCGCCCTCTTGCCACAAAATTATTTGCTTGCTTGTTGCAGCGCCATTGCGACCTCAAAATCTTGACACTGCACTGAGATGGGTTCAGACGCTGCAGATCATGGCTGGAAAGTGGAATATTCCAGTACAGCCGTCAGCATGCGTTCTGGTCGGGAGACGCGCTCTTGTTTACAATCGTTCCGTCTCGTCGACGACTCGCGAAAAATAATAGTGCCAAGGGCCTTTGGATGGTAGCTGATGATTTGCATTTCAATACCGTTGCCGAAGCTGTTCACCACTATCCGAATCACCGCGCCTTGGCGAGGAGTCCAGCCGGCATTCCAAGCCCGTGCCGATAACACCACGGACGTATCGATGATAGCTATCGAGTAATTCTGCCAAACGAACGTTTGGACCAAGTTTCATTGGTACATGTACTCTGGCGAAGTTAGTTCGTTTGGGTAGGAGCTGGGATCTTCGTGGTGGCCGTCCAGCAGCACCTGTACACGCATTCTAGCTAGCCCAGCACATCAACGCGGCCGTGCTGAACATTCCGGATTGCCTCCGAAGCGGAGAGCAGACCCGGAACGGCGGAGTCCGCTGTTCGACCGGGCTGAGCGACACCGGTGCTGATCCGGCAAGATGCCCGCCACTGACGCGCTGGTAAGAGCGAGTTTACGAAGAAAGATCTATCTCCCACATAATTGCTCACAATAGGACCATTCGCAATACGGTTTCGTGTAGTTGTTTCTGTGCCTTGCACTAAGGCGTCACATGAATTCAAACATTCGTCCCTTCGGCGAGGCTTGGTTGTGAGCCACACTGTATACCATGGTGTACATGTAGATAAACAACACAGTCAAGTAATTGTTCTGTCAGAAACGAACCATCGAAACGATCATACCTGAGCTGGTTTGAATGTGAGCGTAATAGCGTCGGTCAACTCGGTACCATGCTGGATTTGGAAAGCCTATTGCTGGCTCAGCATAGTGCAACACAAACAATACTCAATAGTAGCAGTGTATCATGATGCACAACCTCCGACAGCTGTACTAGTGACGTAGTAACTGGTGGTGTTAGTGGATATTATACCGTAACTTGTAGCTCTTTGGTCCTCTTTCTTCATTATAGATGTATGTATTTCGTGACAAAATCTGGGTGCAGCTTACATGTACTTCAGTGCGGTTTATGCTGCGGAAGATGGTATTAAATTTGTATGATTGTGCACCTGTACACGTGTGGTTCACTATCTTTACAGCAACAACAGTTGCAGCAGGCATGCAAGGAAGGCAATGTAGCCAAAGTGCAGGAGCTCGTACGCATTCCCGAAATCAAGGTGGACTTCCCAGATCAGGTAGGCGCAAGCCGTTAACAAAAATTCATTTTAATACATTGTACTACGAAGTGCGGTTTGCAAGACGGACCTTAGTAAGTCGATCGATACGTTTTGGCAAAGATTGGGATGTCTGCAAATTGTACAGAGGGTACGCCAATTGAGGTACCTGGTTGGTTGGTTAGAATGTTTATTTTCAGGTCTGCAGAATGAACCGGCATTGCCGGCATTCTTGCATTGACAAGTTTTAAATTCATCCAAGCTCTCATAGAAGGACGTACTGAGTCAGTACAAGACATTTTGAATTGGGTGCATGGAGTGGTGACCAGTGGTAGTTTTGTTTTGCGTTGGCAAAGTGTGCTAGTCGGTATTGGAATTTTGAATTGAGTGACGAATCATGAAATCTGAAATCAGTGCTGACCGCCATTTCACGCTCAGATAATTAAATGTGTGTGTGTGTGTATGTGTGTGTGTGTATGTGTGTCTGACTGTCTGTACACATATGCACGTGTGTACTACTTCGAAGTATTATACATGTACATGCATGACTATTTGTGTGTTCACGTGCATATATGCATGCTTGAATGCCTCCATGTTTGTATGGCTGCATCCGTATTTGCATGCATGACTGTGTCTTGCTCCCGGTCTCCAGAATGGATTGACGGCGCTGCAGCATGCACTGTTTCATGGCTATCACAAGGTTGCAAAGGTGCTCTTTGAAGGAAAGTCCAGCTCCAACCATCTAGCCAAGGTCGGTGTTACTGGATGCATTTCAGACACCACTTTTGAAGATAACCTTGCCTTTGCACCTAGAACGGTTGCAGATACTGTCTATGTCATGAGTGCGTCTTGCAGTTAACAGCTCCCTGACTTCTCCTTCGTGTTCAATGAGATCATGTTCTACATGTACATGTCAACTAATACTTGGCAAATCACGGCACTCGATCGTGAAAAATGTTGAAAAAATGTTGATATTTTGTGAGGTTGAAAGTATTCAGTCAAATGATCACAAGGACTGTATTCGATTGTGGAAACTGAATCCCGATCCTCGCCGACCAGATCACTCCGATCCGACGGATACAATCGAATGTGCTCAACTGATAATCCGTTTCAAGACCTTAGCAACCGCTTTGCTACAGCTTATCCCGTACTATTCCATGGTACATGTATCTGTACGCATTATGGTGAACTCTTGACCTATTGCACGCATATCTGGGAGTTTTTAGTAGATACAATGCAAATGCATCCGTCGAATCCGTCGAATCCGGGTCTGTGAGGTGGGTTGACTGGATCCGAATCTGTGGGACCGGGATCCGGATTCGTACAATCGAACATGTAGGAATTTGGCGAATCCGGTTCTGGGGCCCATGGATTCGCACAATCGAACATGCTCTAGGTCTGAAGGTTGTGCCGTTACTCGTCATTTTGTAGTTATACTGGATGTCGTCATTCACTAGGTTGACTGTATGATGCAGACTCTTGTACATCAGATTGGCAGTGATGTTCCATGCTGTACAATACTGTGATGTTAGGAACATTCTGTGGCTTGTCTATACGTGTGATTGTGACTGCAGGACGACGTTGCCCCTATCCACACTGCTGCGCTGGGAGGGTCGGTGGAGTGCGTTCGTCTTGCTGCTCAGTACGGTGCGGATCTCGACGCCGTAACAAAGGTATGTCCCTGTCCGCTTTCCATGCCAGGGCCCCTGTTTGTATCTAAGATTCTCGTGCTCTTCCCCCTCCAGTAAATATAACAGAGGTTGTCCCTGCACACCGTCCATGCCAGGGTTCATGCTGTGGTATCATCAAGTCTATGTGATGATTAGTTATATTGAAATAGAATATTGCAACGAAGGACTGAGAGAGGACGACTCGTCAGGAAACTACCAAGGAAAAGACTGAACAGCAACAAGAGACATGCACTGTCGATTATGGGCACGGAGTACACATGCATGCATAGTATGAGTAGTATGCTGTAAGGTCGTACGCGCGTCCATGCAAGGAGATGCAGTAGCATAATAAGAAACATGAGAGTGCAAATATGTACGATGTACACGGGTACACCACACACCCCTTCTGAGATAAACAAGCGGAACATCGGAGCTGTTTATCTCACATAAACGAGAAGGAAAATTCCGATTACACGGGTACACCACACATGCTTGTATCTTTAGGACCGGCGGAAGCAGATTTTTGATTGATCCCACCATACCATAGGCTTTCCTACTTTGTGTATGGCATAGTGCGTATACGCATGACCTCCTCAGCAGTAAACCCGCATTGGTAGCCAAACAGTTGGTCCAGCCATGGCCTGACCAACCGGACTTGTTCCGCCCCCCCCCCCCCCCCTCTCCCTGATATTGTGTTCTTCTGTCCCACGCGACATAAGCAACAATTCGAAACGGTTGCTCGTGCACCTACTTCTTCCCATCGAAACGTGTGGAGATACTGTTCAGGAACGCCGGAATCAGTTTTTGATTGGTCCGGTAGTGTTGTGGCCTTTCATACTTTGGGTATCGAGTGCTGGTTACATATGCCCTCTATCCCTCAAACATTTTGTTGGTGGCCAAAAAGTTGGTCCGGTAATAACCTGACCAACCGGACGGGATCCGGCGGACCTGCTATTGTAGGGATGAAGGGAAGTCTGCGTCCACTCAGAGTTCCATGTTTTGTGTGATTATCAGTCACTCGGCGTGTGATGCGTGTATGGATATGAATATCAGATTGTTCTGCTGGTGAAGAACAGTGCAAGTACTTGTACTCCAGCCAGTCCAGCCATTTGAGCTGGTGAACAGCGCAGGGCGACGGGCATCCTAATGCATGCTGTATTCTGACTGTGCATCTGCTTTGAAGGAGGGACTTACTGCCCTGCACTATGCGGCAGACGGTCGGCCCGATGTGGCACGCGAGCTACTGGACCTGAAAGCCAAGGTTGACATCCCAACAAAGGTATGGCACGAGTCGTACATACACTGTTCTCACCCAAATGGTATCTATTGCCAAAGTTTCCAAATGTTTATATGGATGAAGTATGTCAAGAACCGTAATTTTTTTTACATTTAGCTAGCGTCTAGCATTGCCCTGGTAAGGAGTGTGTCACGCCGAGGGGAAGTTTGATGCCCATTGGCAACCGAACAAAGAATAGTGATCTCGAAGAAATCCAATGTGTTCTGTGCATTGAGTGAAGGCATAATTTGTTGGCTGCACATACCGTCTCTTGCTGGCCTTCTTACTCCCATCATCATAGAATCGAGAGAACTACCGTGTCACACGAATGGCAGATCACACCACAGGATTCACAAATATTCCTGTTTACGTTGGTTACTTTGTAATGTTGGTGTTATCACTTGCAGCACATTGGATACACGCCACTCCACAAGGCGACGTTCGGTGGTCACGTGGAGATTGTCGAGCTGCTGCTCGACGCCAATGCCAATGTGCACAGTCAGAATATCGTAAGTCGTCCACCGACCTCTTTTCAGCAAGATTCTCTCCAAGTAATGCTTAGTGGTGGAGTATTGCTGGCTATAAGCGAGGGTCCCTGGTGCAAGTACTCATGGTGACAGTCGGGCTTTCACTGTTTGCAACTTTGCCTCGAACTAATGAGCGGAACAGTGCTATAAAGTGTTGTGAGAGATGCAGTTTTACCCTCAAGGAAACAACCACGTCAAATGCTCTACCAGGGTCGTCGGAAGGTATTTTAGTGTGCTACCGTCAGCCATCTGAAGTACAATTGACTCATGGGGGAGGGGTGGCGGAGCCGGACGTTTTGAAAATCTAGCGCCCAGATCAATGCATTTTTGTATTCACGGGATACCCGGGGCAAAAGGTGGTACGGTCAATACTGTAGTGACCGTACCGTGTCCGGCGCCCCTGTCTGCCTTGGTTTGGTGAATGTCCCAGGAACTACTGCTGGTGTCTTACTTAAGGATAGTGAAACCCCTGAATGCACAGCATGTTGGTGTGTGTAGACCGGTGGCTGTTGTCCATTATGCACACTGAGAGCAGTTGATCAGCACCTATGGACACCCGCAGCTCATGATCTACAAACTCAAATGTTCTGGTACTTAAACCAGCCACGGGATATTGCTGCTATATCATCCTGTTGTTCATGAAAGTCATCCAGCCAACTTGTGGCAGCTCAGGCCTTGTGCTAATACCAAACAAATGATGCAGGTATTGTGGTATAGCGATGGCTTGCGCATTGAGTGTTGTTCATGTCGCCGGAGAATCTCTGTGACGCTTGCCATTCCCATGTGTATTCTCTTACTTCTGTTGTTTCTTTATCTTTATTTTCTCTCCTCTCCTTTCACTCTCTCCTCTCATCACCCCCCCCCCCCCCTCTCTCCCTCTTGTGCTCTCTTTCTCTTCACTCGCTGATAGAATGGCAACACGGCTCTACATGTGGCATGTCGTGAGGGCTATGTCAACGTAGCGCAAGTTCTGGTTGACAGCGGCGCCACACTCCAGGCAAAGAACAAGGTAGAGTTTCTGTCGCCTTACAATATATGCCATAGCTTCCAATCTTACAATATATGCCATAGCTTCCAATCTTACAATATATGCCATAGCTTCCAATCTTACAATATATGCCATAGCTTCCAATCTTGCTATACAAACCAATGTACCATAATCGTTAGTGTTTTGAGCGGAACCAGTACACTCAAGTAGAGTGATGCCAAATAAAATTTTGACGTTAATACACTGTCTGTGGAGCCGTGGCGACTGAAAAGACATCAACTGAATGGGACTGAAAGTGGTAGCGATGGCGGTACGGCAGGCTCAGCCGGCCAATGTTCTCGGCTTCAGCTTCAGTTCTCGGCTTCAGCATCTTCAGCACTTCTACATTATGTGTGTGCCACAACTGTACCATTCGTCCATACATGCATACGTATGATCTACGGTGCTGCTGCTCAATGCCATCCTATCGCGTGAGCCATGTTTGTGCTCGGCACCAGTTCACATCCGAGTGTTTGCAGGTCTAGGGATGCACCTTACCCGGCATAGCATTCCTTTGCTTGATCGGATTTCATTGAGCGGCACTGTAACATTAATAGACTTGGCACATGCCTGTCAATTCTGATATTGATTTTGATGATGTGGATGAGTATCACATGACTTCTAATACCTCAATGTCTGGTTTTGCTGTGCTTCATGCGTGCTACACACAGGGTGGCAAGACTCCCCGGCAGCTGGCCGAGGAAGATCGTCAGCTGGAAGTCCTCAGCTGGGTGGACAGTCTCTCATCAGAACGTACGTTGTGTGGCTTGATCGAAGAATAAAAAAGTTTGTGTCACACATGTTTTGACCATTCACAAAAATGAACAGAACGAAAACTGAGATCTGCCGACCAGAAATGGAGCATATGTGTCGATACAAGTCAAGTCCAGCCTGCTTGGCCAGGAGATCCAGGACTGGTTTCCTATTTTGCATAAATATGGTGCCTCCAAGCACACATTCAGCTTGAATGTCTTTCACAGGGTATACCCTGTATGAATTTCAAGTTTGGTGTGCTGTGCGCACGTGTAATTGTTTCGTGCAGAGATATCAGTAAACATGTCGATAATAGCATTATTGGTTTTACTGGATACTCGTCACACATATTGGCGGCTGATTCTCGCTTAAAGCATTTCAAATTTTCAATGAAGATTGTTTTGGTTACATGACAGAGAAAAGCATCTGTTGGGTAATCTGGGTGCTTCTGGTGCTGTCTGCCTCACTGCTACTGTGTGTGTTGCTGGTGCAGATGGACCAATGGAACTGGTGTGTGCGATTGAGGACTGTATGGGTGGAGGCATCGACAACCATCTCTCCTTCAAAGAGGTATGGGTCTAGAGGACGGGAAGCAAGTGAATAATTGCCATTGAAGCCATGCATGCAGCTGAGTTAGAACAGAGGCAGCGATTTGCCGCTCTGATAGCTGTGAATGCAAGGAGTGCAGAATTGGTGACAAGTGTGACTATCTGACATGTGTTTGAGACTTGTGCCGGCTTGCAGTCATAATCAGGCTCGGAACTACAGGGGGAGGGGTGGAGGGACAGAAGTGGTACGATCCCTACTTTAGTGACTATAGCTTGCCCCCCCCCCCCTGCTACCGTTTTGATAGGTTAGGGCGTCATTAAGCATGGCTATATTCGGAAAATATGGCTGGACAGCAAAACCTGTCAAGGCGACCACTCGGATAAGGCGACAACCTGTCCCAGAAGACCACTGCAGCCAGGACCAAGGGATGCTATTTCCAGTCAAATGGCACTGGATAAGGAGACCACCTGCTTACAGAGACCACACTTTGAATGTCCCTTGAGTAGTCGACTTAGACAGGCTTCACTGTGTTTGGAACTTTGCCGACAGTGTTGTGTATTTTTTATTTTATTTTTTATTTATTTATTTCACTCAACTCGTGGTCCATGACCAATTGGCACGCAAAGTGCGAGAGAGGGGTGACAGCCAACCACGGCAAGAAAAGAAAAGAAAAGAAAGGAAAGGAATAAAGAAAAAGAGAAGAAAGAAGGATAGACAAGAATCCAGCAAGGAGATCCTATCGTACCATCGTACTACATTATGCGATCGGAGTAATTGTAAGCTGGAGACAGGCACACATGCAGTTGGACTGATCTGGACTGTTATTGTTGTTGATGCGGCCCTGTTCATTACGTTATGTTATGCAGGGCGACTTTATCACCGTTGTCAAGAAGCCGTACGAAGACTGGTGGATTGGAAAAGTTGGCGACGGGCCGGAAGGCATGTTCTGTATTCTGATGGTGGATACTCGGCCGCTAGGTGAGCAAGAAATGATTAAGTGCCTGCAATACAATGCGCTGAGTGGAGCTGTCTAATGGCATGTTGTGCATGTGTCAGTTTATCATGGCCTTCAGGGTTTCATAGGAAACAACAACGGCGAGAGATACCTAGAGATATGGAGAGATATTCTGTCTGATGATTGTTTCACGCGAAACTCTGAGCAACGACGGAAAAGAACTTGGTTGAGACATTGCTGTGTGATCATTGTATTACTGGCTCTGTCCACTGGACGTAAAGCGCTATATGCAGCCTGAGGACCTTAGACAACTGTCTAGAGATACCTAGACATACTTAGAGATATGTAGAGATACCTAGGGATACTTAAATACCTAGAGATGCCTAGACATAACTATAGCGGCCGATACAACGAATTCATTCTATGGGATCTTGTTACGTTCATAATTTTCCTGACAGCTGCACAAAAAATGCAGTTTTCAGCCCAATTTAGGGCGCGTTCGAATTGTCTTCATCAACTGTTCAAACAAATTTTATAAAGAGATTAGTTGAAGTGCCCCAATAGAACGGTTTCTATCATTTTAGAGTTTTTCAGTGGAATTGTCATGGCGATGATGACGTCCGATCAGATTGACCATCTCCACGTACTACGTGACGTAGCTATTCCAAACTCTTCGAAATTAATCCACCTCTCCCATCGGGTGAGGTTGTGGAGTTTCGAGGAGCTTCGTTTTTCTGAAGAGCCCAATAAGGCCACCTCTTCAGAAAAACGAAACTCCTCGAAAAGTCAAAGAGTGACAATTCGAACGCGCCCTTAGTCTATTACCTTTTTTGTCATGAGCCAAAATAGGAATTGAATTTGGACGCTTGGCAGGAACATCAGCAGTAGCAAACTGGCAATGGAAAGCGCGATTGGAAACTTTCAATGGTGCTCTCTGGAGGATGTACCCAGTGTGCTGACAGTGCTCAACACCGCGGAGGCAGAGCGTAATACAAAACAACAAGGACAATCAAGGCTTGTTTGCTGCTACTACAAGTTCCATGCTCTGGCAATCACCAGGCAACAATGGTGCTCTTCTGTATTCTGTTTGCTACTTAGATCCAAGTGAGGGTATTGTTACCCCGGACATGGTTGCAGAGCAGGAGGCATCGAAGGGTCGAGTGTGCCGTGAAACAGACAAACTCATGGGTCAGGCATCAACAACAGTAGCGCTACGCCAGGAACTGCAGAAGATCAACACAATGCCCATGCTAACGGATAAGGTGAGAACCGCGGTGTGTGCACGTGTGTGTGAGAGAGAGAGATAGATAGAGAGAGAGAGAGAGAGAGAGAGAGTGTGTGTGTGCGTGTGTGTGTGTGTGTGTGTGTGTGTGTGTGTGTGAGTGTGTGTGTGCGTGTGCGTGTGTGCACTTACATGCATGTGTGTGTTCAGGCAATGGACTATTCTTGGCTAGATTAACTCTTGTGTAATCAATGGTGCTATCCAAGCCTACTAGTAAACAGTATGGCTTGTGTGTGCGTGTGTACTTGTCTCCATATGCAAAGCATGCATGGTGGTGCTATTCACTGAACCTCTGTTGTGCGATCGTATTCTCTGCTTCAGGCCTCTGGTTACGACAAAGTACCGGACCTCGCCACCGATGCCAGGAAGAAGTACAGCGCCATCAAAGCACAGCTTGCAGCACAGGTAAGGTGTCAGTTTGCTGACTACTACCGTGTTGATCTGGTATTCACAAATGACAGTGTGCTGCAGCAGTAGACTCATCCCGGTTTCGGAGGACCATGTTATTTGTACTGTGTACTGTCTGAAGTGATACCTTTACTCAATACTTGACAATGGCCAGAAGGCAGTGCAGTATTTACATTCGTTCATCTGATTATGATGAGTCCTGAACTCTTAGTTGTTCAACTTCCAGTTCAACTTCAAACTTCAAGTTTTTTGGTCAAGTTAGGCCGTCGGAATGAGAGTTCAGCTAACATCTCGTTTGTTTTTTCCTGTAGTGCTAATGGCATGATGTTCCGTTCTGTTCATAATTGCGCTGTCCATAGGAAAGGTGATTGCTCCCCACATCAGAGCTCGTGCTTTTCCGCCGGCTTGACTTGACACTTGACTCTGGTGCGGGGAGCAAACACCGTCACCTATGAAATTATCGCCAAAGTCGCTACAGTCACGTTCGCGTATAACGACACTCGGCGGGGCATCAGAACAGTGTCCTTATACCCCAAGTCTCATTATCTGTATTACAGTTACAGTAAAACCTGTAACTAACGACCACCCCTTGGTGCCCGGAAAAGTGGTCTTTAGTGGCAGGTGGTCTTTAGTTAAAGGTTTGCACCGCGTGACCATATATGGATCCCATTATATGATATGTATGTCAGAATGCAGATAATACAATCCCCCACCACTTGCGCACTGACATTCTTCTTTCAGATCACACAATGCGTGGAGAGAGAGAAAATCAAGTTTTATTGCAGACATTAAATTCAGCTCCTACTTCTGAAGCCAGGAGTCAAGAGTTCCCTGTTGAAGCTTCTCTTTGCGCTGGGCTTCAAGTTTGTTCATGAAGGCACCAAGTTTCTCTACATCCATTGCCATGGTAGACAAGCCACGCTGCAACGTAAACTGTTGCAATGTTGAGATGCAGGACAGTGCTTCTTTGCCGGATACTTCTCTGACTTCTGTGGACTCAGTGTGACCTGGTGACTGAGCTGTGTGATTGCACTTCGACAGAGAGCCGCTCAGTCTTAGTTTCTCCTTCGAGTAGTAACATCGATCAAAGAGCGCTTTGGATGCGCTCTCCAAGACGTTTCCTATCATGTTTGTTCTTGACAGCACTTGAAATTATGACAGGTGTAGTGCAGTCCACACTGATTCCACAGTCAAAATGAGACTGCGTTCATTTGTCCAGCTGTCGTATCGAAACAGTCCTTTCAGGACCATGGAAAATCATCAACATTTCGAGAAGGAGCTTCGAGCAATGTTTGATTTCCTACATCGAGGTCGCTAGTTACGGGTCAAAATTCGACATTGGGACAAGAAAAGGCGGTCGCTGGTCGCGTTCAGCAGGTAGTCGCTAGTCACAGTGCATTTTGAATGTGAGACCGTCCGTGCCTGACAAAGTGGTCTGTAGTACCAGGCCGGTCGCTAGTCACGGTGGTCGTTACTTACAAGTTTTACTGTAGATGGGACTTTGCTCTGGGCGTGGCAATTCTGTCGTTATTCGCGAATTGTCGTTACAGTCAACTTCGCTAATAACGACTGCGGATATAACGACAATTCGCGAATAACGACAGAATTTCCATGCCCAGAGCAAAGTCACATCCCATTGTTATACATATAATGAGACTTCGGGTACAACGACACTTCGCGAATAAGGACACCTTTTTGATGCCTCGCCGAGTGTCGTTATAAGCAAAGTTGACTGTATATCCGCAGTCGTTATTAGCAAAGTTGACTGTAGTTGCTTTGTCCATAGGAAAGACGATTGCTCTCCACATCAGAGCTCATGCTTTTCTGCCAACTAATTACTTGACTTGACAATTCACTCCGGTGCGGGGAGCAAACACCTTTTTCCTATGAAATTATCACCGAAGTCGTTACCACTATCTAATCCCTGTGTGTTGTTCACCTGTTTACAGGACAAAGGGCCTGGCGTAGCGGCAGGAAGCGTGAACACCCTCGGCAAGGAGCTGGTCTTGTCGGCCATGCAGTCACACGAACGACAAAGCAGCAAGCTGCGAGAGAGGGTAAGTCCGTCAGACATGTGCTTGTGCGCTTGTGCGCACGTGTGTATGTGTGTGTGTGTGTGTGTGTGTGTGTGTGCGCGCGTGCGCACGGGCGTGCGTGTGTGTGAGTGTTGTGGTTTTCTGGTTATTATGGCGAGGATGGTGATGGGATTATCTAACCCTGTGTTTTGTTTGTTCCATACTCCTATCACCTACCCACTCTCTCTTCCAACCACCACTTTATCTAGTATATACACTACATCATGCAGAGCAGAGACTTGTCAGCTTGAGCACTCTGGCGAGGTACGTTCGGGCCTGGTTATAATCTGGCTTTGGAAAATGTATCTTTCATTGCTACCAGGTAGGGATATCAGCGAACGCACTGCGCAGCCCATCTGCGCAGGTCAGCCTGGCCCATCTACGCGCGGCCGACAAGAAAACTCATGAACACTTTCATTTTTTTGCAAAATAAATCGTGCGAAGAAGATGCACGGAATGGCTGAAAACTAGGCTGAGGAATAGTAGCATCCAGAGACTCTCAAACAAATTCATGGTCCATCGCTTCTGACAATGGCAGCGAAGACATCAGGGAGCTGATTGCAGCAACTCTCTACCAAGCGCGAAGCTGATTACTCACCAGGGCAGGGCGCTTCCATCGCGCAAGAAATGGCCGCGAGTGAGAAATGCAAGTCCGATTTTGGAACGATCCAACCAGGGAAATTCCTTGAAAATTTGCCTGAACACCTCTCATACTGGTGTTTCACGATGTGCAAACTTTCAGAGAAATCGACCGGGGAGAACGTGGGGAGTACGTGGGTCCTCGAGTATCGCGTATGATTTGAATGGTCGCGGGGACAGAAGAACAGTAATTTTACGACTCCCAGCGGTGCAAACAGACCGCGGCCATGTTTTCTCTGTCGGCCGCGATCACGTTCAAAAAATCGATGACGCAATGCATGCGCAGAGGCCTGCGCAGTGCGTTCGCTGACATCCCTATACCAGGTTCGGCCTCATTTCCTCTGTGCTGCGCTGATGGGTCCACAAAGGACAAAACAGTTCTGCCTGCAGATTTCGTCATGACTGTTATTCCATGTCGTCACAAAACTGTGCTATGTGTGGTGTCTTGCTGCATACAGATAAGTATGATGCAGACAGCAGGTGAGGTGAGCAGAGAACAAGTTGATCAGCTGATGGAGAGAATCCGAGAAAATTCTACAAAGGTCAGAAGAGTATGTGCGTGGTTTATGGAGTTTTTGGGACTGTCAAGAAGTACTATACTGTATTATGAACTTGCACTCACAGAAAGCTTGCACCTTTGATATTCGTTGTGAGTTGGGTCATTTAGGAATCGCTGTAACAACACTACCACCCAAGGCCATGGAGTATAGCGATTGCTTGGCCAACTTCTCTCATTGGTCAGAGGCCATCGTGAGAATAAAGATTTGAAACCTGATATGTCTGTTGTATCTACATGTATGTTCAGATGATGGAGTGGAAGAATCTCGTGACAACTTGTCCTGAAGCACTCGTCTTCTGCACTCGCCTGTTCTGCAAGATGGCCGAGTTCTTCATTGGAATGAAGGTAAGGACAATGGTACTAATAAAATGATGTGTGAAAGTCGGCGTTGATGGCGACTAACAGAGTGTAGATCATTGTATATGCATCTCGCATAATGTGTCCAACTATCCCAGTGCTGTCTTGGTGCAGGTTTTTTCAGTTGCTCGAAGAAGCCAGTGTTTGAGGATAGTGCTTTGATTCTCAATCTCTCCTCTCTATTTCTCCCTTGTTCTCTCTCCCCGCCCCGTCTCTGTGTATGTGCGTCTCTCTCTCTCTCTCCTGTTCTGTCTCTGTGTGTTTGTCCGTCTGTTTCTCTCTCCCTCACTCCCTCCTTGCTGTGGCTGTATTCCCATGCTGACTGATTGCAGGCCTTGCGTCTAGCTCTGCAGATGAAGACACGTGATCACTGGGCAAAGAGCAGTTGTGGCATCAAGCTGCTGGATCAGCTGGTACCCATGCCAGGTAAACACACACTGTCATGCACCCAGGACCGCCGGAAGCAGTTTTCAATCGGTCCGGTCGTACCCACAGTCTTTCACACGTTGTGTATAATATGGCAGGGACATGATGCCCTCCTCAGTAGTAAACATCCATTGGTAGCAACAAAGTTGGTCCGGTGTTCACCTGACCAACCGGACCTGTTCCGGCGGGTCAGTCTGATGCACCGACCAACTCACTGCATGCTGCACACGGCAGACACCACGTGCTCTTCTCCGTTGTATACACGAGCGGGTGCGCATGGGGCAGTATTTCTTGACAGTTTCAGGAAAACTTCGGTTTTAACATCCCGGTTAAAACATACTGTGTCATTGCGTGAGATACGAAGAACCTTTCTGAGGACCCTGGGTAAAGAGTACGTTTCCTATGACCCTGTATAGAAATCTTGGTTATAGAATGACTCAAGTGTATGGAAATGATTCTGAGGTTTAGTTGATGTACCACTATATTGACATTTCGGCGTACAGTGTCCTCAGTTGCTTGTTCAATGTGCACCGTACGTATGATTCTCTATGATGCAATTTACACACTTTGGAAATTGTGGTCTGATCGAACACCCGTTGCTGTGGAGTAAAGACAAACAACTCGCTCCTTTTTTCCCACTTTTGTGACCAACTCTAGACGCTGTGCAGTGAGCAACAGTGCCTGCCTGTGTGCATGATGTAGCTTAGATTTTGTAATCATCGTAGTACTAATGATAATGTTGAATCGGTGCGTACATTCTGTGCTATAATCGTGTGTGTGTGTGTGTGTATGTGTGTGGTGTGTGTGTGTGTGTGTGTGTGTGTGTGTGTGTGTGTGTGTGTGTATTCGGCCGTGTGTATGTGTGTGTGCCTGTGTACTCTGCAGGCTTTTCGATGATCCTGGAGCACTCGGAAGGCTCGCTAAGCCTGAGTCGCGCGCGCATTCTCGACAAGGTGAAGAACATTGCCGCACTGGTGCCACACATGACGTCCACAGACGAGATCTGCATTGGTACAGCACTCGCCGTTGTGCACGCCTACATCAACCAAATCAAACAGGTAAGTCATCACTCTGCTCTAACACACTATTGCCATTTAATATACTGCAATCGGTGCATTGCAATTGGTCTTTGAGGAAAGACGGAAGTTCGAGCCGTTCCCATCGTGCCCTTTCAATCCTGCTCCTCAATGAGCTGTTTGAAATAGACTTTACAGTGAAATCTCTCAGTATAAGTACCTTAGATACAACAAGGTTTTACTCAACTACCACACCTCACCGTTGTGCTCTCCAGCCTACGGTGCTTGATAATAATCTGGACATGGCCAAATGCTGCTGTTTACCCCTCAAGACTTTCCTCAATTCCCCCAATCTCCGGACAGCTAGCTGTTTCGGCGTTGTTAGCTATCCCCGGCTGAGTTCAGCGTGACTGCCGGTCCGATCCAGTCCGATCCGATCGCAGTGAAGTCTAATGAGCAAGAAAGCATTTTTTTTAGCTGGCTCAAAGCATCCAAGTTAGAGTGCTCTGACTGAGATAGACGCAGTGAGCTTTGCACAAGGGCAGAACACTTTGAGGCTAAGCAGAAAGAGTGCTCATGTGCAAGCCGATTTATAGTAATTTTTTTGCGGGCACTGCACTAATTTTACAAGACCAGGTACATACCGTATTTCCACGATTATAAGTCGCTCCTCCATTTTTAGGTTTGAGCAATATCGTTTTGATATCTTGACTGCAGTAGTAAGTCATGCTCGATTGTAAGTCGCACCCTCTTTTCCCCCTTTGAATTTTTGAGTAAAAGGTGCGGCTTATATTCAGGGAAATACGGTAGTCACTTGTCACTAAAATAATATACAGTGCATCTGCAAAAGAAAACATTTTTCCTGGTCCTTGGAGACATGGTATGCTAACATTTACTGTATCTTCATTTTGATGGTGCAGTTGACGACAGTTGGTGCTGCCATGCTGGCTGATGGAGCTTGTATGCAGATGCTGGAGTATCTTATCCACGACTGTCCGGACCCGAAAGGCACGATGGTCACTATTGAAGCTCTTAGCAGGTAAGATCACCATAATGGTTTGTGTGTGGATACGACCCCTGATTGATATGGGGTTGCGATGCAGACTTGGCCCGAACCCTGATTGATATGGGGTTGCAATGCAAACTTAGCCCGAACCCTGATTGAAATCGGGTTTGCAAAGCTCACTTGGCCCGATACTTGATTGATATGGGGGGGGGGGGGTGCACACTTGGTCCGACCTCTGGTTGATATGGGGCTCAGCCGCTGACATGCACACTTGGTCCGACCTCTCATTGATATTATCCTCTCTGAATTAATTATCTTGCAAATGATATCTTGCGAGCACGGGCCTCTTACAGCAGTTGATGCCTCGAGAGAATATTGAATATTCTGGAATTCCCATTTCTTTGTGTGTGTGTGCGTGTGTGTGTGTGTGTGTGTGTGTGTGTGTGTGTGCGTGTTCTTGGGTGTGTGTGTGTGTACTTGGGTGTGCGCTTGCACGTGTTGGTGTAGATCTGTCGTGTTTGCACGTCGCGGCAATGACACGGCTCGCTGGCTCAAGTCCCATCACTTGCCACTGCACGTCCCTGACCCGCAGCACACGTGGACCATCAACGGTGTGTTCCGCGAGACTGGTGTCAGAACTCCAGATGGAAAGTAAGTTAGAAAGGAAAAGGACATTATGGATACAAGTTAAGAGTAACTCTCCACCACTGTAACTAGATACTATATACAGTCAGAAAGTGCAACAACTACAACAACATCCGAGTTTCAAATCGGAAAGTAAGTTGTTTGTCATTCTCTTATTACCATGCAGCAGTTGAGGTGGTGCATGTAGTGATTATAATATTATTATTATTATTATACATTCATATCAGCATCCTCCTATCCTCCCAGGTAGACCCCTGTACTTCCTCCATTCTTCCTGGAGGGGGACCCCTGCACTCTCTTGTATCCTCCTAGGGAGACCCTAGACTCCCTTCAAATCATCCTGGAGGGGGACCCCGTGCACTCTCTCCTATCCTCTTGGGGGAGACCCTGTACTCCCACCTATCCTGCTGTGGAGACTCCCGCTCTTTCTATGCCGATGTTCGACAGTGCCACGATCTCTTGGCTGTTTATTCTCTTGTTATGCAGAAAGCACCGGGGTCGAGACACCAACACCGATATCTACGGCTATCGCAATGGCTCCTATCTAGAAGCCAAGGAACTGTGCATGGCATTGGCCGGTCAAGAGCACACACTGGGTCCACGACGTGGGGTGAGTCCGATAATGCTCATTATAATAGAAAGCAAGTCTGAAGGTAATGACGATTGGGCTCTGCTGGGTTGATGACTAAACCATAGCTTAGTCGTAGAGCAGCGATGGTCATAAACAAGGGTCCATGGTTTGGGTCCAATCGGTAGCAGTCGATGTTTTCTGAACATTTTTGACAGTTTCAACTCCATCAAATTTGGGAATATCTGAAATCATCTCGTTGCATTCCATCAGACTTCATATTTTCTCTATGTCCTCAGCCATCACCTACACATAGGACTTGAAAGAAGGTGAACAGAATTGTTTGCAATGACTTATTGTCGCTATTCCAACTGTGTGTTTCTATGCTGTGTTCTTGTAGAAAATCCTCCACTCCACCATGACGCACAATCTGTTCAAACGTCCCAGTCAGAGGGAGCAGGAGGCCGTGCAGCGGAGACAGGCGGCGCGTTCCCGCTTCCAGGCCGGACTTCGCAGTAAGACCGTGGACGTACCGGGTGTAAGTGCCCGCACCGGGGGAGGAGGAGTGTTCGGGCAGGGCCGCTCCGCGGGAGGCATCCCGGTCGGAGGCAAGTCACCCACAACCGGTCGTAGGGGTACAGCGGCGGCTGCGATAGGCAGGCCGGCTTCGTCGCCTCTGACTGCCAAGAAAGCTGGTCTGGGCGGTGGTGACGTGTCACCTGCTGCTGGTGGTCCTGGCGGTGCTGCTGCTGCTGGAGGAAAGGACGTTGGGCAGCTGACGGCCACGATCGCACAACTGCAAGCAGGCTCCGAGCTGGGCCAGGCGCAGCTCAAGGCTATGTACGATCAGATGTGTGCGCTGAGCGCTCAAGTCGATCAGCTCAAGGGCCAGGGCCAGTAAGGAGACTTATCCTGCTATCTACTGTCGTGGACATGGAAATTCGGTCGCACGTCTAGCGGCCCCAGGGCGCTGGCCATGCAGCCGTGGGTAAGCAGTACACACTTACGCGCTGCAGCTCGCTGGTCGCATGACTGTTCACTGTTCTTTACGCGCTGAGGCTCAGTGCGGGCGCCGGCCCCGGTCAATCCACTGGATTTCCATGTCCACGACAGTAGTTCGTTTCTTTTCCTGTTCTATTGGTTTCCTGTTTTCGTCCTCCGCAGTCAATCCAGCTTTTCTTTTCTCCCCATGCAACTTACAGTAATAGCATGCCTCAAAGATGTCTTTAGTACAGACATTTCCTTGCACAAATAGTCGAGCAGATAATAATTTCTAATTTCAATATTTCGATTGTCCGCCATTTTTCAATTTCAAACTTCATGTACACTATTTAGCTCTTGTGACAGGGAAAATTCCGAATATGTACACTTCCTTTTACTGCATGCGGTACTTATTTGCATAGTCATATTTTGGAATGTGAAAAGAGAACAAGGAATCGATGCTAGTGTGTGTGGGTGTGTCCACTCGTACCATTGACCGTACGCGAACCTGCACGCACGTGTGTGTGTGTGTGGGTGTGTGTGTGTGTGTGTGTGTGTGTGTGTGTGTAGGGGTGAGTGTTTGCGTGTGTATGGATATACTTGATGTGGTGTGGCTCTGGCTCGGTCAACCGGTCAATGGTGATGGGAAAGCATGCATACATCCACTGCTGTCTATTACGTGTACAGATAAGCCTGTCTAAGACGACCGCTCAAGGGACCTTCAAAATGTGGTCTCTGTTGCCAGGTGGTCTCCTCATCCAGGGTGAATTGACTGGAAAGAGCATACCTTGGTCCTGGTTCCACTGGTCTTCTAGGACTGGTGTTCACCTTATCCAAGTGGTCGCCTTTACAGGTTTTACTGTATGGCGTATGTAATTTGTAAAGGCCTCACTCTAGTGCCACTACCTCCAATCTTCTATCGTCATGCATACTTGAGAATGTTGCTCCGGTAGACGACCATGTTCTCTCTCTGTGTGTTTGTTAGGCACTGCATAGTCTGTATCCGTGTTGATTCTTGTCGGTGACAATGATTGAAGGACGCTAACATGGTTCTCTTGGGACTACCGTTATCTACAACTACAAGGGATACACTCTCTCATCGAGTGCAGCGTTGGATAGGGATTCTCCAGTTACAAATCATTTCAAGTATTGGAAATCTGAATCAAATGATCTAAAAAATCATTTTTTGACGTTACTCTATGGGGTAGATTTACTGTATAAGCAGAAATAATCGTCTGGAAAATATGGAAATTAATTTCGTCTTTTTCGTCCAAGGTATACGAATAAGCGGCGTGGAGACAATAACTTTAATAAGGCAATAAGCAGAATCAACGAAGCGGACATTGGACGTACGTAGTCATGAACAAAAATTATAGATGGATAAAAAAGTTGGATAAAAAGTTTCCGAACACGTTTTCTAGAGACATTCATCAGGGAAAATACGTCTCAATAATGAAATCTAGCAATGAACAACGATATATACGTGGAAGAGTACGAAATGCAGTATGTGAAAGAAAATAGGTGCTTTTGGACTAAATGAAATGCCGGACTATTAAAATTAATGTCTTCCAGCTTTTCAATTATCTCTTATGGTCCATGGACTAAAATGGACAAACTCCCTTTCTTTGGAGTTGGACGAAATTATTGACCGACTAAATTTTCGGCCTGTACAGTACTAGTAGCGTCCTGTTGTAGTACCCGTATGAATTAGTCTGCACCCGAACATGACCCCTCATCTGAATACTTGGTCCTAAGTTTAGCATTGTGCTTCGCCACGAACGGCTACTCTTCACACATCGGCATACACCTGAACCTGCGGTGCCGTGGTGTCGGTTATCCGAACGTGTTGGAACCAGTCCTGTCTATCTTGGATGAGTGCAAACTCTGGATCTGGAGCCCGAATGTTCGACTGCTGTAACGACCCTCGAACCCAGTCGAGAAATATTTCGAAATTCGAAAAATATCTCAAGTACTTACTACCCATTATTATACAGTGGAGCCTTGAACGGTGCATGATATGTACGATGCATCACCATTATCACATGCATCACATGCATGACATGCATCACCATTATCACATGCAGTGTTTCACATACAGTACTCAGTAGGCCCAGACAGATTCTGCTCCGCTCGCCTCGATATTTTGCCGCAAAATGTTGCTGCAAAATCTTCGATATTTTGCCGAGCCTGGCGCAAGAATCTCGATATTTTGCTCCGGAAAAACGTGTATTTTCCAATTCTCGTACAATCCCGTGCGTTTCATAAAAATCGCAGGGTCGGTTTCTCAACACGGGTTTCCACGCACGTGTCCCTGTGTTCTTCCAAAATCATGTCGATCCACAGTGAATCCCAGTGATATTTCGGTGACATGATCTCGTCCTGGGCAGTGTATCCTGCTGAAAGGGTAAGAAACAAGGAAATCCAAGTATCAGGCATCGATTTTACCCAACATCTCGATATTTTGCTCCGATTTTGCCGGCAATTTCCGCTCTTTCAAGTCCTCGATATTTTGCCGAAAGAATTTCCGGCAGGATCTCTCTGGGCCTAGCACTCAGCTCAGTCGTTCCGCTGGATCGGAGCATGGAGTTGGTCGCATTCTCCTGGTATCGTATCCCTATATTAGCCAGTTATTCGTCGCGACGTCGATTGACGTGTTCGCAGGAGTGAAGTTCAGATAACATCTCCTACAAAGGCTACATGCACTGCGTAATAATACTATTATCGTTATCATTCGTGGATCAGGTGTACGGCAAACTAAATGATTCAGCAGCGAAATTTCCTAGGTAAGTTTTGTGGCAAGGCTATGATGACAGACAGACGCGAACACACAACATATTTTACCTCTCGCTCCCTACACGGAGGCCTGCTGGCCAGGTCATACCACGCCGAGGTCATTGCCATCTGACCTTCTCCGCCATCCTATCCGTGCGGAATATCCATGGAGGAAAAGGAGCAATGTTATTCGCCAAGTTGCAAGGGCAGAGGGGAGCAAAAACAATAATGCGTTCTACAGCGCTCCTCAATGAAATCCGGTCAACGAGTAATGATATTCATGACTGTGTGAGTTAGTTACAAACGCAATGATCATGAGTAGATCTACAGACAGTACAGTCATGTACTAGTATTCATGTGTGATATTCGCTGCCACAGACATGAGACTGAAACGTGAACGGAGGCAAACTGCAACATTCTGCAGGATACCTGACTGCGCGTAGATCTACGCGTTCGGTTCTAGACAAAGACCGGTGTAGACTCCCGATCTTCGGCTGCCGGGACACGGGTGTAGTTGGAAAAAACTCACCAGCGGGGCACAATTTTTCGCCCGAGGCAGAATATTACAAGCGAACTCTCCGTCATCGGGCTCCGGTATAAAAGCATGCGGGAGCTGCTTTTGATCTCTCTTCGAGGAGCTTCAGGCTATGCGTGCTCCGAGCCCCCTGTAACAATCCTATTTTCACCGGCGCAGTTGCTTGGGCAAAAAGGAACCTTGCAGAAGGTATCGCTCCTACAGTTGTCAGTTGTGAGGGTCGTCCACCCGCATAGCCCGGTCTCATTCGCTTGTAACACTAATTAGGTCCCATTCGGCGTGTAGTAAACTACGGAGAGTTATCTCCTCGACCACGTGCTCCGACCGTCTTGTTCCGTGTCCTTCGGGACAACTGCGCTGTTTGTTCTCTGGCGAAACAGACTCTGGGTGGTGTTTTCTTCTCATTTGTTCCGTTCGAGGCGCAAGGGTATACGAGCTTCCTGCATCCGCCGACGCGGCTTGTAGGTTGCCAGGTAAATCCGATAATTCTGTTGCGAGGCCTCGCCTGTGACTGCTGCTGCTAGCTGTTGTATTCGAGCGAGAGTGCTCTTCCTTCCTGTGCGGAGGTGATCAATCCGACTCCAAGAGCGGAGCAGTAACACAGCAGCGGCAGCATGGCAGATAGTCCTTCGCCCAGGGGCAGTGTCATTCCGTGTCGTGTGTTCGTCGGTGGCATTGCCTACAATACCACGGAACTCGAGCTAAAGAACTTCTTTCAGAGCATGTTCGGCCACGTAAAGGACAGCAAAATAATTACGGACCGAGATGGTGTATCGAAGGGCTACGGTTTCATTACGTTTGATAACCAGGAGGCGGCCGACCGGGCGCTCGAGACCAAGACCCTCTACTTCGAGGAAAAGAAGCTCAACATCGGGCAGGCTATTCGCAAGCCTAACAGCGGTCAGTTTTCGCGTCCGTCAAGTCCCGAGTCACCTCTAAGTCCCATCCCGGTCGCTCAGCAAACATTGTCGTCATTGTCGTCGCCAATGACTGCTGTGGCTGCTGCTGCACCTGGATTTGTCTCCGGCAACGCCAGCGGAAGCGGCTCAGTAGCCTATGCTAGTCCCCAGCAGCTGACCGGCGCTGCAGCTGAGACTGCGGCCACAGCCCAGTATTACTATGCCCCACAGTCGGCAGCGGCAGGTATCGCAATGGATCCCAACGTACTGCAGCCAATGGCCATCGGGCAGCAGGGTCTTTATGCGGCCACGGCTGCAGCGTCGCAAGCCCAGCAAGCCATCAACATGGCCTGCGTGAACGGATGGTACCAGGCCGATGCACGCTACATCATGCAGCCGCAGAAGCCAGCCCAGGCTGCTGCTGCTGCTACGGCGGCCACAGCTGCGGCCCAGCCCGTACAGTGGCATCACGCCGGAGCAACACACGCCATGGCTGCAGCTCCCGCCCAGTGGGGACGTGCAGCGCCGGCTGCCTACATGTCAGCTCCGGCTCAGGCAGTGTACGCTCCCACACAGGCCGCAGCTACCGCCGCAAGCGCACACGCTTATCCGATATACTACCAACAAGCCGAGCCGCAATGGTGGGATCCAAACACTGGCACCGCTATGACACAGCAGTACATGCCAACTGATGTGTTCTTGGACTACCAGCATCCGCACTCTGCAGCCGTACCTATGCACTCACAACAACAGCAGCAGCAGCAGCATCAACAACCACAGCAGGCGCCGCAGATGGCGCCACAGCAGATCACGTATCAGAAGGCTGCTCAGCCCTATATCCAACATGGAGGAGGCCAAGCAGCAGCAGCCTACGCTACACCATCGCAAACACCCGTGGCCACTGCTGCCGCTCCAGCTTACTCTATCCAGGCGTACTCCGGTGAAGAGCACGAGAGTCATCCATACCGCACTCCTCAAGCTGGACACCGCGGTGCACAGAATGGTCACCTGCTACCGAGACCCTCTGCTCGGAATGGCAACAGTCGCAGAGATCCGGGGAGACGCGGACGACGCAGCTCTTCGTTTAGAGCAATGCGCCCGTCCACGTCCTCGTCACTGTCCAGCTCCCTCGGTGATTCCGCTTTCATCAGCGGCAGCGGAGGGTCTTATGATCACGCAAGCCTCGGCTGTGACAGCAGTTTGCCTTCTTTGGGACAAGTAGTGATAGGAAGTGCAGCCATCGAGACGCCCTCGCCCTCTGCCAAAGCTGCTTCTACAGGCTCCAGCTCCAAGGACTCGGCATAGGCTGCCGTGGGCAGAACGCGGGTAAGGCATGGCATCATTATCGGTTCATAGTGTTTCGCTGCTGTTTTCATTTTTTTTGGTACAGGGAGTATGATGAGAGTATGATGTAATGTTCCAACTTTGTTACATCATCCAAGGCGCGTGCTATCGCGTACACATTGCTAGCTTCCTGGCGCTGGGGCATGGTGTAGTGAGCAGTCTTTGCATTACATCATTGCTGCCAGTGTATGACGTAATGAGCAGTCTTTGCATTATGTCATGGCTGCCAGTGTATGACGTGATGAGCAGTCTTTGCATTATGTCATAGTTGGCACCGTCATTGAGTGCAGTGTCGCAACTATCTAGTTCCAACCACCTTATGAGATGTCAGGCTTCTCCCTATCGACAGTTATGCCGCGGACAACAAGGGTATAGGCAATGCTAGTCCTCTAACCCGACCAAACCTTTACAATAATAGCACGGAATTGTGCAGGAAAACTCCCATCCCACTCTTCTTTATTCACTCCTCTCTCTCTCTATCTCTTTTTCTCTTTCTCTCTCTTTTGGCCTTTCGTCTGTCCATTTCTATCCCCTGATCACGAAATACTACAGCATTAGGAAAACACTTCTATAACGCACATAATACCCAGCACACACACACACACACACACACAACCTCTCTAACGGTAGCTATAGACGTTCACACAATATTACCAGCATGCCTCCTGCATTCCATGGCTTTGACCGGGCCTCCCAATCGCCTAAATCTTCCTTTTATTCCGATTCTTCTTCCTTTTTTTCCCCATGATCACGACGAGATATTTTATGCCTGCGGATACACTGTCTGGAGCAGTTCAACTTCATACTGTTATAAGTCCTGAGGAAGTAACCGCTTTCTTTCGGGCGCGGTGCTTTGCACACAGAAGACTTCACACTATTTTTTAACGCTTTGATTGCAATCTTTGCGCATAAACTGATGGTGCACGCGACACAATGACATCCTACCAGGCTCCCGCTGACAAAGACGACGTCGGCGAAGGTTATGTATGACTGGCGTGTATCTTCTCTATCTCCCTGCCGCTGAACTCTGTTCGAAATCTTTTCTTACTCTTTGTTCCGTCTTGTCAATATCTTTCCAATTTGGCTGGTGTTTTGGACCTGAAGCTTCATGTATGGTCCCACAAGAAAGTCCTGTACTTCAGTGAATGTAATGTGCTTTCCTTGCATTTGGTTTGGTTCCTTCCATGCCTCTGTTTCTGTATGCGGTCCTGTGGCGATGCGTCCTAGTACTTTTAAGCATTGTGGAAAAACAAACTCTTCTTCAACGTGGGTATGTGGGGACGTATACGTGCGTGTATTTGTGTGAAATGCTGGCCAGGTGTACAGCATGATAATGTTATCTGCTAGTGTTTGTTAATTAATATGCTCGTGTGCTCACTTGCATGCAAGCAAATGCGTACATGCTTATACATATCCAACTGCGTTAATGTCTATAATTATGAATATTGCAGCCTGAGTGATAATAATAGTGCTATTCCCTGAGTTTGACTGTTTCAGGATCTGTCGGAATGTCACAATGCACAATGCACAATGCGTTTATGTACTTGAAGTAATCTAGTGGAAGCATATACGCCCAAGAGTAGCCCGAGCCCGGCTTGCGTAATATCAGGAAACTATGTACACTGTACAAGGACAACTTTTCGTTTGCGAAATCTTTCGTCAGATCACTCGACCAGCAGGTTCGTTACGTACTAAATTTCGTCTCTGGTCGAGGTCTGTCACCCCGAACGTTCAGAAAAAACTAGTTTGGTAAAAACTTTGGTTATTTCGGGCCCCCTAACGAATATAGCGAAAGTTATTTCCAAACGAAACTTTGTACTTGTATAGTACACAGCGTTGGACAACAGGCAATCACACAAGAACTGAAACATCACCATGCATGTACCAGCATCTGATGCTGAGCTCAACACCTCTGTGATACAAGTGCACACTGCCGCAACGAAACACTGTCTTTGCCATGGTACACCGGTGTCAGTCCTCAGCGGAACGTAATTTGTTTGCAAAGTTGTACAAACATCATGGCATTGTTTTCAAGGCAAACCTTGTATTTCATGAACGCACAGACAGACAGATTACACAGACACATATACACATGCATGCACACACACACACACACACACACACACACACACACACACACACACACACACACACACGCGCATGCTGACCCGACACTGATAGACACCTTGCTTCCCTTCCCTTCCCAAGCATGCTTGAGTTACTCACGCCTCGTAGGAATAATACATAATCGGCAATTTACTCTTTGTAGAAGAAATGTAGAAGTCCCGGAAAAATATGTACATAACCTTTCAGTAGCAGCGGAGCCTCATGTAGATGGAGTATGACATTGTGGGGGAGAAAACTTGAAGAGTAAAGTGTGAGAAAAACAGATAGAGAATAAAGGAAATGTGAAATGAAGCACATTGCTTCTAAGAAGATAGGAAAGCTTGCAAGGTTGAGTTAATTGTTTGGCGGTGTGAGTCTGAGAAGAAAAGGATTAGACAACTTGGAGCACAGCATAAACGATGTATTGTGCATTCCTGTTGAATGTTCATGCAATGCTATGTGAAACCATCTGATCTCACTGCATGCTGGTGCAAGTACTTTGCCAGCATGGCTGGCCGTTGTGCGAGGACTGGTTGGCGGTTACCGGGCAACATTGGAAATGAAATTCTAAAGGTTCCTCTCAGTGCACACGTGGACAAGCAGTCGCTGTGCACTACACACTGCGAATGGCACGGCACGCAGAATGTCATTGCTCAGTAGAAAGCGGTTGTCTAGTTAGTGGTTATATGTACTCTGTTCAACTTCTTGGACAAAAGCATTTTGACTTTCAACCACTGATTGTGTGCAAGAGGCGTTTTAGATGTTTCCACACAACAGCCCTGCGATATATTAGCAAAGCATTGGTCGCGCCTGAAGAATTTCTTACGGAATATCAGCGATGGACTGCAGCTGCGCCGATAACGCATCGTCGGAGGCCTTCTGTCGCTGCTCAAACTCCAAGCTGATCTCGCGCATCAGATCGTGCCGTAGCTGTGCCATGTGCTGGGCGATGCCAGAGGAAATCTGCGAGCTCAGTGTTTGATTATTGCGCTATGCAGAGAAGCGGAAGATGGAAAGAATTTTCCAGACATTTTAATTTGTTTGTGCTGAGACAGAATTCTGCTGTCGTATGATGTTTGAAAAGAATTTTTTTACCATTTCATGTATTCAGTTATGAAGATCAACATGGATTGATTGCCAAGACGCAAAAAGCCACGGCAATTCAAGGGCGGATCCAGGAGGGGTTCCAGGGGTTCCACGGAATCCCCTAAATTCGTAAATGTACTACTGGCAACCATATGCGTGCCCATGTATATGTATCAGCTATTCAGTTTTGACTATACTGGAACCCCCCTGTAGAGATCGCTGGATCAGCCGCTGCAATTCTCCACTCCTCAAATTGCGAAACAACGGGCCACTCAGATATTGTTATGCTCTGCAAGTGCACCTCTTCCAATTTTCACAATAGAAGTCTTGCCCAGTCTGCCAAATTCAATGTGAAAATCTAATTTGAAAGTAGATCTCTTTCTATCAGTACAGTGAAAGCTCGTTAAGAAGAACACTGATCAGACAAACTTTCGCTTAAGAAGAACTAGTGTTCATAACTCTATTGGATAAATCACTGTGTATTCACTGGGTATAAAATATGGATAAGAAGAACTTCCGTTGTTGCAAGCAAATATCACCGGTCCCTTGGTGTTCGTCCTAAAGAGGTTTGACTGTACTAGTGTTACATGATAATAGTACGGCCCAGTCCGCCACATTCACTGCTATTCCTCACTGCCAGCCAGCTTACCGTGACAAACTGCTCCACAGTGCGCATGGTGTTAATGTGTGCCAGTTTGATGTTGTCCTGCGTCGCTGCCTGTGCATTCGCCACGATGCTCTGCACCTGTGACACAACGTGCGGCTGCTCACCGGGCGGCGGTGATGAAGCGGAGCGGCGCTCACCCGAAGCTGTGGCTCCCCCGGTGGGCTGGGATTTGGGCTGGTATGTGGACTGTGAAACACACAAGAATAGTAGAACGATCACAGTTTTTTGCATTTGTTTTGAAGTATTGAAAAGGAGAACTCTTCGGATGACAATGATTTGCCTTTCTGTGCAATTATACAAGAAAACTGGAGCATATCGAGCTCATGTACACTTACAAACAGGTACATACACACACACACGTGTACACACACACGTGTACACACACACACCTGCATACACACACACACACACGTGTACACACACGTGTACACGTGTGTGTGTACACACACACACACAGGTGCATACACCCACACGTGCATACACACGTGCATACACACACACACGTGTACACACACACGTGTACACACACACGTGTACACACACGTGTATACACACACATGCATACACACACACGTGCATACACACACGTGCACACACACACATGCATACACACACGTGCATACACACACGTGCATACACACACGTGCATACACACACACACATGCATACACACACGTGCATACACACACACGTGCATACACACACGCGTGCACACACACACGCGTGCACACACACACACACACACACACACACAACATTGACATCCTTACCTTGATCAATTCGCTCAGCTCCTCCACAGTGCTGCTGTGGGCAACGGATATCATTTCTTGCAAGGTCTCTGGTATCGTCTCCTCAACCTGAGTGCTAACGGCAGTAATAGTACTGTCTGTGGATTGCAGCTGAGTGGTCAATGACCGCAGTAGCTGACCAACTTCATCATGTCGTTCTCCTACATAGCTCTGGAGGGATTTCGATGTCTCTCCCATGCTGTGATGCATGAGTAAAAAGCTCTTGTCCTGGCGAGACTGGTTGCGCTCCATGCGTGTGAACACCTCATCTCTTGACCTGTCCACAACACTGCCCAGCATTGAAGGCAGTGTGTCGCGCACAAGCTCGTTCAGTGCCGAGCGCAGCTGCGGTGGTATCTCCTCGTTCTTCTGCAGCATGATGATGGCCGTGCGCATCTGAGCCCTGGACACAGAACACAGGTAGGGAGTGAACACACACACACACACACACACACATACATACACACACACACACACACACACACACACACACACACACACACACACACACACACACACAAAAACACACACACACACACACACACAGATGAAAGGAAGATGACGGAAAGCCCCTGGGCACATGGTGGATACACGCAGATCATAGTCTGATCATAGGCAAGTCACGAATCCATGCAATTCTGTTGTTGTTGTCATGGCAATCCACACAAAAGTCATCCCCTTACACAGCCACTCACTCACATGCATGCGTATTCATGCACACACCTTGCATACTGGTGTGTCAGTGACTGAGAACAACACATGCCATCTCTACAGTGCACAGCATCACCCAGAAGACAGAATGGCTGTACTCGCATACCCACTGCAGGTTCACAGGTCTTACTTCAGTGCCATGATCTGCTGCTGCTGTTGGTGGATGTGCTGGTCGAACTGGCGCTGGCGTCTCTGCTCTTCCTCTTGCTCGTTCTCATCCGCCGGTTCTTCCCAGCCAATCAGGGTATCTGTCACAGATATGATGCATTGTAACAACCAGGGCAGGAGCATCACTGTATTTTCCAGGTGCTGCCGACATGCCGCTAGATAATGACCTCATTAAAGTTTATGGAATTTCTCAGAACCAGCTAGTTTGCGAGGACAGCTGTTCCCGGGTTGCAATGGCCACACATATACACCAACTGTTGAAGCTTGATTTCACCCTGTTCACGTTACAGCCATCTCAGGAAAATTGAAATAAAAAACATTACTCCGCAAATATTGGGTTTACGGTGGAGCACCTATCTGTTATACACACTTTCTTGGATGGAGTGATTAAACACATTCCTGCAACCAAAGCCATGTGGAAAGAGAATATAATTGTTGTGCACTATTCACATTCACCGCCACGGCATTGCCCCGCCATTTGGCTGAGTTCCTTACCTCCTGGATGTTCAACATCTTGGTAGTGGCTGTATGTCTGGAATCTCAGGCGCTTGAACGGCGATGTCGACTGCTCCAGATTCTTAAGTGATACACCCCAATTCTGCTCCAACTCGCGCTGTGCATCCGCCTTCACATCGGCATATGTATCGCTTAGCTGGATGTAACATAGAGACACAAGAGACAAAAAAGAGCGGTTTGTTGCTCACAGGACACGCTCTGGCGTTTTGACGGGCACTGTCACCAAGGCAATGACCATTGCCAGTACCGAATAGACTCGGATGGAGAGCCAAGGATGACAATTACAAAATTAAGGTATCTGTTTTGTCCAGCACTAACAATTACAAGCATTATACTGGTGAGTCAGAACATACAACAATTTGCACCAATGGTCCAATACTGAATGATGTGATAATGACATTCGACGACCTGACGCTTAGCTGCATCTTACGGTCTGCCCTTTTTCATAGCCCGTACCCTGTGTTTTTAAACCTGGAAGTCAAGCTATAGCTAGGTAACTGAGGCCAGAAACCAGGATTTCTATACCCTACCTGAGCAATCAAGATGTTTAGCAGCACGATAAGCACAATGAACAGGAAGAGCATGTTGATGATGATTCCCAACCAGCTGTAGGTGACAAGGGAGGCACACAGATAAGCACTAAATCTTCACACAGCCCAAAGCTAATATAATTATATCTAAGGCCATGGTAAAAATAAAGTTGTTTCTCAGGTCATGAGCCTGTGAAAATCGGTGTGAGTGAGCGATTTTTTATTTTTATTTCCCACAATTTTTTTATTTCCAAAGATAGGGTCACACATATGTACATGGTCACATGTTCATATATTCAGGCCACCGAGTAGAAAAATACGGGTATTTTACTACTCCCGGATTCATGCCTTTCGCATTGACCGTTTTCATGCGCGCATATGCATGCATAGAATTTAAAAAAATCGTCGGTGCGCCGCCAAAAATCGGTGCTGAGTGTTGTTGACGAGGGGTGCGTGGCGGGCATGTGTGAATCTGACGATCAAGGGGAACTAGAGGGGCAAGGGGTGGTGGTGGGCAGTTTAGCTAGGTGCAAGCCATTTTGGGAAACTATGGGGCATTCTTTCTCTTCTTGCTGTTGCTGCTGTCCCCGCAGAGGCTGTTTGTTGTTGCTGTGTGCGTGTGTATGTGGGTGTGCATGTGACTGAGGTGTGTTAGGGGTGGGGGCACGTATGGTGTGGCTGCACACAGGAGTGAGAAAGAGAGTAAAATAAGAATCAAAGATATTTTTTACCATGGCCTAACTATAGGATAAATTGAATACATTGAAGCACAAGCAATGCTGTTGACGCTTAGCACACATATCAGGGAATTCCCCAGACATGACAATTGAGACTATGTATTATGCTCTTGTTGTTTTTGGTACAGGTTAACATAAGCCTACACAATCCAATAATGAATGGTTATGCTTTTAGAACCGATGGCTTACCCAAACGAGTTGTGCGCACTGTCTTCATTGATGTAGTCGACGACGGACTCCTGTTGGATCATAGTCCGTATACCAGTGATCAGTATCTCAGGATAGGAGCTGTCCAGCACACACAATACATTGATGCAGGCCATGTTATAGTAAGGTGAGTTGTGAATAGTCAGAGCAGGAACACGGGAGAGAGGGCAGCTCTTCTGTCATTGTTTCACCACGTTCTCATAACGGTATTAGCTTGGTCATATTGTTATAGGTAACGGAGACCGACTATCATGGCAACTGGTCTGCTTGTCTCTCTCTCTCTCATACCCAGTTACACTGTTTCTTGCTCTCAGTCTTGAGTCTTGCACAATAAAATGGTATACGGTTGACATTACAATAAGCCCATTGCGCATTGCCAAAATATGGACGGTATGAGTAATGCATGTGAGTACACTGGGATCAGGAATTTACTGTTCAACACCCCAGACGACCATGCCCGGTTAGCTATGTGGGGTGTTTATGGTACAAATTTCGTCATTGCGCAATGGGCTTATTCACACCTGTGTGAGGTTGGCACCGGTCAATTGCACAGGGACCAGTTGATTGTTGCCTGGTGATTCCGTCCATATGGTTAAAAACAAACGAGCAAATAATTGAGCTGCACAGCGGAAACGGTTTTGCTCTTCAAGTCACACTGATCATCCCCCCCCCCCCCAATAAAAACCTTGTCCGTCCCCAACCCTAGGCCATGAAAGTCTCAAACCTTGTTAGTCTCGTGATATCCAGCTCCGTTCCGGTTTTCCCCGGTTCCGACGCTTGTGCAGTATCCCCTGCGCCAGCTGTTGGACTCGCCTCGCCTTCCTCGGGTTCCGGCTCCCACCGTTCACCGCGCAGGGCCAGCAGCAATGCCCCGGTGTACGTCAGCAGGAAGAGGATGAAGATGATTGTGAAGCGAGACACATCCTTGTAGAGGATTCTTGTCAGGATCTGCAAATAGATACCGACAATCCTGGGTGACAACAAACACACAAGACAGCAAACAGAGGTGACACACACACACACAGCAGTTTAGGGACCATCCATTATTGATCTCTAACACACAACAAAAAAGTTTTGTTTATGGGTGGGTCCAGGAGGGTTTTGTTTCGAAAAAATAATGATTGCTGAAACATCAATCCATTCTAGCTGCAAGGTCAGTCTATTTTTCATTCGGGGGGGGGGGGGGGGGGGGGGAGTGGTACCTAAAGTTTCGTTCCGTGAAAATTATCGCTCATGCTGGATGGAACCTTAGAACACAAAATATTCTGAAATTGGAGTAAGCACATAAGTCCTCCACAGTGTCCGGACCGTACCAACCTGAGAACAGAGATGAGCTGCAGCATTCTCAAGCACAGGAACGTGTAGGCAATGCTGGCAAGATGCCACTGCGCAGTCACTCCCGTCCAACGCAGTGGTATTATCAACAACAGCAGCAGCGTGGAGAGTATCTGCAGATAGTTGTACGGCTGTTTCAGGTATGCCAGACGTTCCCTGGAAGAAGAAAGAAGACAAAATGATCAGACGGTAGGCAGAACAAATCGTGGAAACTCTGAGCTTCACAAAGCAAAGAAACTTGTGGATGAAGCTGAGTAACTGGTTACAAAGTCTGGATAGCTCCAAATACGGTTAGACGTTCAGACGTTGATCACAATACAAAAATCTCTGTAGATTCTACGTCAGCATTTCGCTCATAGCAGCAACACTCTGCCAAGGGTGGACTGATAGGAGGAAACAGAAGCTACGACTCATCACACATACACACTCAGACACACACATACACACACACACACACACACTCACCCGCACGCACCCGCACGCACGCACGCACGCACACACACGCATGCACAAGCACAACTAAGGGGCCCTATTCTCTCAGCTACATGACAACAAAACAACTTCATCAGAAGTGAAAGGCACGGAATAAACCTGATGCAATTGGTAACTCATATAAAGTGGGATTCCAACAGATACATGCTTCATTCTTTCAAATGATATGCAGGCGTGTAGCTGGTGTGTAGTGAACGTTGTCTTACTTGTTAGTTACCTGCAAATGGCCGTCGCATATACTACTACACAGTAAAATAAGCAACATGGCGGCTATGAGGTTCCCATGCAGTGGTGCATGGTCTCCACATCACATAATGTGCTCTGGGTAACAGTCGCCACTTCACATGTGTGCGAGCTACGCCCCTTGATAAGAATTAGTGGTATGCACGGGTAGTCGGGTACCCGTGCTACCCGTGAGGACCTCGGGTAGACGGGTACCGAATCGTACCCGAAAACCCGAAGTCGCAGAAGACATCAAGTACAGTGCACGTGTACAAATTGATGTAATACACCGCATGTCTGCCCAGTGTGTAAGGGAAGGGGTGAATTGTGGTGTTACCATGGATACATTACCCGATCGGGGACCCGTGGAAAATTATCCGAACCCGATACCCGAAGAAAATGCTACCAGACTCTGCACTAATAAGAATATAATGTAGTACAGCTTGTTCAACGCCACATCTGACCTCTTCATTTCTCGGACTTCCTCGACGACATTTAGCATGATACAGATGATGGAAAGAATTTCACAGATGCCTCTGATGATGTTCTCAGCTCCTCGGTATTTGCGCGGGTCAACCTGGCGTGCGGCCGACACCAGTGAGAAGGAGACGAGAACCATGAACAGGAAGTACATGCCAATGTTCATCCTGAATAGGAATGATAGGAGCAGACGCACACAAACGCAGATACAATGGCCCACTGACGAACATACAGATAATTACAAAGACCCATCGCTGTACATACAGATGCAAAGACCCATTGACGTACATCGTACTACGTAAATGTATAGTCTCATTGAGATACATACAGATACACAGACCCGTTGGCAAACAAACGGATATAAAGACCCATTTACAATGGTGTTTGAAGAAGGCAGGTGTAGTTGAAAATGAGCTCACTGCTCTTTGGACGGAGTATAGGCCATAAAAATATAACATGTGTGTAAAATATCGTTATCCGATCTCTTCATGCTCTTCGCCTTACCAGGCCATCTTCTCACCGTAAGCTGACCACTTGTTATGTATGAGCATGCGAACAACGTTGTGACGAGGCAAATCCTGCAGAAGAAAATGAAATCAAATAACAGAAAAGGAAGATAGGAATGGTGTGTTACCATAATAGGGGTACATGATGTCTTGTGAGGAGCAACATTACACATAGCGCAGATAATGTCGCACGCATAGACTGACCCACACACACACGAGCGTGCGTAGGCATACGCACACATGCAGATACGTGCGCGCACACATACACACACAGAACCCACACAGGCACGCAACCCTGCCACGTGGTAGCCTGGGGGTGTGTGTGTGTGGGAGGGGGGGGGGGGGGAGGAGGTGGATGATTCATGATGAGGCAAGTCTTCCCGACGTTTGAAATCACAACCACAGGCACGGTCAAACTGGCCACCATCACCGCTTGGGAACACGATGAATGCGCCTGCCTGTTCCCTAAGTGAACAAGATCGGTCCTGAGGTTTTTCATCCTGACGGGGTAACCAAGGCACCGTATACAGCGAGACATACAGAAACAATACAGAGAGATAGACGGTCATACACAAAATCAAGTCACTACACAACTTGCCTTATTCTTTCCATCCAGTATCCTATGAAAGGCTGTCTTTGCAGTCTGGCTGAACGTGGGCATGTTGGGTGAATGTCCTGCACTATCAGCCTCCAGAGCACGGTAGTGAAATCGATACTCGTCCGGTTCATCGGTCGCCTCCAGCATGGAATCCAGTATAGCCTTGCATGTGTTCTGCAAAGACACAGATGCACACAGCATGCTTAACGTAGTAATACTACAGGTGTTATGTTACACATGCATATAATAGTACCAGGCATGCTCAAGGTTGTGCCATAAAATGAGCAGTATGGCATGTTGCCGAGTTTGTAACCTAGATCAACACGGATACTGTTCGAGTGCATCCCAGCTGTAAAACGTTTCAGAACTGAACGAAGTATGCCCTGAACTAAGATCAGGGCCGGCGCCACTGGTACGGGCGGTGTGTCCATGGCCGCACCAGTTTTTACCAATTCCAGTGTTCAACGGCTGCTCAGTGTGCACGTGATTATCTGAAAGTACTAGTAAAATGCTATCCTCATAGACTTCTCGCTGGAGACTCTCCCTCCTAAACTGCTTTTCTTGTCCAGTGAAGTCTACTCCGCTAGTTGTCATATCTGTTGCTAGAGGGGTGTGTGTAGCTGAAACAAATACATAATAAAAATAATTATTATGATGCATAGAGCTACAGATGTAAGAAAGTAAGTAGTAAAATAATAACTTACAATACAATACAATACAATACAGATGTAAGAAAGTAAGTAGTAAAATAATAACTTACAATACAATACAATACAATACAGATGTAAGAAAGTAAGTAGTAAAATAATAAATTACAATACAATACAATACAATACAGATGTGTCCTCCCAGGATTTTTAAATGGGCATAGGGAAATGCAGCCCCGTGGCCGACCTGGGGCCGTACCACACCTCAGTAGCTGGCTCCGTGCCTGAAGATGGCAGAACTACTACAAGAAGGATGAGATAATTATTGTTAGCTGATTACAGGCCCAAAGCGTTGGCATAATTCTAACACTACTTCCAAGTACACTAATTCTCTTACCGGCATAGCACTCGAGGAGACCATCTCGGCAAAGTTCAACGAGGGCGGTGTGACACTTCCATCTTCAGCTATTTGTCCTTCGAAGAGCAATCGCACACTGCATCACACAGTCACAACATATCCACTTCAGCAGGGGTCGGTAGAACAAGGAGTGTAATACGGCCAGAGAAACAATTTGTCGAATGATACTGACTTAACCTTGGCCCTTTTCAGTGTCCAGTGATGGGACAAGTTTCAGTCTGTGGAAAGAGCAGGATCAATATGCACTAACATCACCAAGACATGTTGGATTACTAGTTCTCACAGTTCTGGCTTTGGAAAATTTATTTTTCATTGCTATCAGGTTTGGCTTCATTTCCTCTGCGCTGCGCTGATAAGTCCACAAAGGACGAAACAGTTCTGTCCGCATATTGAGTTGTTTTCACTACAGTATTGTAGGGCGCAGGAGAACAGAGCGCCGAAAAACAAACAGGCTAGGACGTCAGTAACAATAGAATACCGGTATAATTACGACTCAACTACAGTTGGACTGCAGCCTCGAAAGGTCTGGTGAAAAAAATTGACTGCCACCACCAGGACTCGAACCAGGGACCTTTGCTAAAGGCCAGCGATGATGATCTAACCAAGTGCATAATGGTGTAGACTAGTGATGTAAATCAACTAATTTTCGATGGCGATTTAATTTCGCTGCTTTTGGCGCTGGGTACCAACCGGCCAAAGTTTGTCATAGAGGCAAATGATGCATGGTTGCATGTGAGAACACCAACTACTGATCGATTTATTTTTTGGAAAACCCTAATCGGCTAAAGTTTAGTGACGGCCAAAAGTTTCATTTCGAGATCGGCCAAAGTTTCTCACCGGCCAAAATTTGTTGATTCACAGTAATCGCCCAAGCACACGGCAGTTCATGAAAACTGAGCATGGCCAAGGCTCCGATGCTGACTCCCTTGTTCTTCTGCACCCAACAGTACTGTAAAGAGAGTCAGGCTACTGAACTCATACAGTGTGCAAGAAAGGGGCTGACATCCAGGGTGACTACATTTTAAATGCAATCTGCCTCTTGCTGTGGACGCCCCAAGACATTCTCAAGAGAAACAGGGAATCTGCAACGTACATGTATAGTATCCTCAAATGCTTCAAAACCGGTTGTGATGCAATACACTTGGTCCAAATGGCCGCCAGTTATGACATGCAGGGTTCACTTGTGAGCTGAAAGACCCTACCTTGCTTTGGACATGTTGCGCATGATAACCGCAGCCAGCTCATCATTCTTGGCTTCCAACGCGATCTCCACAGGGAGCTTTCCGCCAACACCTTGAATACGCAGAGCAGAGCAGATATCCACAAGTTGGCTCTGTCCCTATGTTGTCTCTGGGTTGTAGCCGTGGAGTGTATGCATGGGAGTGCGCGTGTGTGTGTGTATGTGTGTGTGTGGTGTGTCCCATATGGTGCAGTGGTATGTGCAGCGATTTCCAATCGATAGGTTGCGGGTTTGATTCCCGACGATTATGGTCACACACGTCTTTCTTCTCTTTCTCAGACTCTTCCTGACTTTTCTTTCATTCTCCTGGGTGGTTACCAACAGCCAGTGCATGCCGGAGTATGTGGGGTGATGTGTGTGCGGGAAAATAAAATAAAAAGACCAAAAAGTAGAGATTCACTGGCCAGAAAAAGCCACTTCAAAGCTGTGTGGTGTAGACCAGGCTGAATAGTGGTGGTCAATTCTTCAGCCTTGCAAGCTGTTGAATGGTGCAATCCCAGCACAAGTTGCTATGGCTTCTGCTGTAGCATCGCTATCATCGCCTCTGGCGATGGGCGTCCAATGGTCAATGGTGTGGTGTGTGTGTGCGTGTGTGTGTATGTGTGTGTATGTGTGTGTGTGTGTGTGTGTGTGTGTGTGTTGTGTGCTGTGTGCTGTCTGTGTGTGTGTGTGTGTGTGTGTGTGTGTGTGTGTGTGTGTGTGTGTGTGTGTGTGTGTGTGTGTGTGTGTGAATAGTGGCGGTCAATTCTTCAGCCTTGCAAGCTGTTGAATGGTGCAATCCCAGCACAAGCTGCTACGGCTTCTGCTGTAGCATCGCTATCATCGCCTCCGGCGATGGGCGTCCAATGGTCCAATGGTGCGCGTGCGCGCATGTGCTAGTATAGCTAATAGGTTAAATAGTAAGCTGATCAAATACTGCCTTACACCGTCTACGATGAGCACCCTGCATGCTTGCATACATGTACATGGAGTATCCAATGAAGGCTGTGTACCCGACTAGATTCGGATGGGAGCCAGGGATTAATTTATAGTAAAGAAAAGAACCAAGGAACTACACGTTACGCTATACTGTCCACTAACATGTTATCGCATGAGCTGATTGTCAAGTAACTGGTGGTGTTCGTGGACATTCAGGATAGCGTAACTTGTAGTTCCTTGGTCCTTTTCTTTGCCAAACTAGATTCCGTATCAGTGACCAGAACTCCCAATCTGTTCAATCCTCATTGGAAGTTCGTTTTTTAACCACCAGCCACATCGTGTCAGCGTCTCACCTCCAGCTTGCGTAGGTGCTTCATTGTCCAGCAACAGTCTTGCAACGTGGACAAAGTTTCTTTCGGCCGCCAAATGCAGGGGACCGCTGAGAGTTCGGTTCTCACGGGTGTTGACGTCCACTCCGCGTGACACGATGCCATTGATAAGCTGACGAGTCTGTTGGATTCGTGGCAGCAGAGTGAACATGCACATCCATGCACGCACGCACGCACACACACACACACACATACACACACACACACACACACACACATGTGCACACACTCTCACACATGTACAAACACACACACGCACACATATACCAGAAATCATTTCCACGCTTACCGCAGCACCATCCACAATGTCACAAACACATCCGTTTGTGACTGGAGGCATTTTCTCCGACCGTGAACCATAATCACAATGCCTCTTTATCACTCGACAAGATATTTCGAATTAATTAGATGAGAGAGAAAGCTTGCCTTCGAAAATATGGCGAAGTAAAAGCGATTTTCAAGAGCAAATCCAGAACACAAATATTTTGTCCTCCGTCGAAGACACAAAATGGGTTTACCCAATTATTATATTTAGCTCATAGACAACTCACCTCTCCTTGTAGCGGGCACTTTCGTAGAATGAAGAACAGCGCCTTCTCCGATGATCCTAGCTGCTTGATGATTCGGTCCAACCTGGCCTCGCGGAATGCAAGCTTCGGTGGCAAGCCCTCCAAGTCCTCCTTTTTGGAAACCTTGCAGGATAATCGAAACGGGATAGAACACAGCTGAGGAGGGTGATGGGTGGTTGGCAATCTGGGCAAGTCCTCGGCGAGGATCCGAATAGACCACACAGATTGTGCGTGCTCCTGATCTGTCTTTCATTACTTTTGATCAGCGCCACTAGACCCTCTACAAGAAACAGTACCGGTAGCACTAGTAGGCAATCCTGTATCTACATATTTTTGTTACCGCTGATCATTACTCCACTGCACGAAATGCGTATCAAGAAGTTTTATAAAGGTGCAACGCTTCCGTTTCGTCAAGTAATAGTCAGTCGCCAACAACAAAGAAGGGGTTTTCATTTTAGTCCAGAAGTTTGACGGAGTGAACATGGAAACATTCTCAAGAAATCAGCCATTGACTATCCCTACCATTACTTGAGCCGGGGACCTCCACTACGGCCAGATTTCCTATTGGAGGGAAATGTATCCTTGTACTCCGAGTGAAGGGGGAGAACGGACAGAACCTAAGTCCTTGTTGAACATTTAGTCAAACCCGGAGTTATCGGGACTCTGAAGACTGTGTGAGAGTAAAGCTGAAACATTCTTTTAGAGTTCACCCCTTGACCTCACAGTGCTTCGCAAGCGCGCAGTCTACTAGTATCCGTGTTCTATGTTTGATTACACTATGAGGTAAATCTACTACCGGTAGTAGATCTACTAGATCTGCACACCATTTTCTGCTCAGCTACACATGATCACGTCGGGGACCACTGAGACTACCAAGACAAGAGGGTAGTAATAGTATCGATTTTTGGCAAATAAAGTCACTCGGTGCTCCGCCTCAGCTTCCTATGGTCGATGCTCAGTTGCCCTGTTCTTCACAATACGAATTCCCTCCACAGGGTGACCTCATCGGGTATTTTTTTTCGGGATTACCGATATATATTTCGCAGGATAGCAGTGGTGATGAAAGGTAAGACATGCTTATTTGCCGTGTGTTCAACTTGAACAAAGCAACGCCAGGGTCTGTATTGTGCAGGACCCGTAAACCCACAACAGAATTGAAAGATGTCTTGCGAGTTATGGCACTTTTCGGCCAGTTTCGACTAGTATTGCATGCAATCAAGAGTACAACACACCTATTACATGTATGTACTCTTGATACAGTGGTTCTAGGTCAAGTTTAATAAAGTCAATCTATAAATGCTACCTTGTTTTCGTACCATTGGTCCGCTTCTTCCGGGCTGAAAACCCATGACATTTCCAAAATATTTGCATCGATTCGGGGAGATTTTCATTGACATTATTGGAAAAGAAAAGTTGATCCCCCCTGCCATGACTAGTGTTGCCCTACCTCTGCCCAGAAAGGCTGGTCGTATGCACCGTCGAAGCCAGACGTAGGAATGTCGGCCTGGTTTGACAAGGACCCTGACGTTGGCTTGGTGAGTCGCTGGGAGTTGGCCAGGCTACTGCTGACCCCGGTACTCACCCCCGACGAAACATTGTCCTGGCTCTGTAGCGCTCCCAGGTGAGAAGCAAACTCGCTCTCGCTCTTCATGGAGCTGTCCAAGTCGAGAAACGGCTCCTCATCATCTCCAATGTTGCTCTTCGGCTCTGTAGTGATGTCCTTTGTCAGCGGGCTGAGTGGCACTCCAGAGTCGGTTTTCGCGGCGGCGCCTGTCTCCTCTCCGTCTCCCTCCTCTTCTCCTGCGTTCTCCGCTGCTGCCATAGGCTTCATCTCCACACCCTCCGATGTGTCAGTGCGTTTGTCCTGATCCATGATGTTTCCGTATCTTTTCCCACTCGAGAACAATGATAGTGGTGGGTTGTGATGGGCGCTGAGGGAACAAACAACCCTAAAACACAAGCATTATGTTGCCTATGCACCCGATGTTTCCTTGTCTCACATGGTACTCCCAGTTTTGTCTTCAAAGAGTTCTATACCTTGGAAGTTCAACACTTGAGCACACAAAACGCTCGCTCGTTAATCTATGATCATCGTTCAGTGAATGCGCCATGATGCCTGTTGAAGCAGTGTTTCCCGACCAGGCAAGGGCTTCCGACTCCTCTAACACGAACGCTCATCAACTGGCTAACCAGCTAGAGTTGTTCATTGAGCTTGTTCACGTGAAGCTTGACAAATGCTCGGCGTGTGCCTTGTGGCACCAGTGTTGATGCTGGCTGGACGTTATCAACACTAGTTATCAGAGAGCAATTTAACACAACTCCCTGACACAATTTCAGCGCTACAAGAAGGGGTTAGTTGGAAGGAGCGAACTCTTTCAGCGCAATACACAAGCGACCGGTAGTGCTCCATGTAGTAGTTCGGTGCTAGCTGCACTGTCAACGCATTTTGTCAGTCGACACGACACTGGGCTGCCTAGGCTGTAGCCTGTGTAGGAATTAAGGCTTCATGCGGTGGCCCGTGGCCATTTGTAAACGTGACGACTATGCGGGTACTGTGTATTCATAATGCCAAAAATTCGGTGTCACTGCTATTTCGACATGGACACTCTGAGACGTGGTACTACCGGTAGTACTAGTCAGAATGGAGACGCCATCATGGACTGCTCAGGACAGCATTGAGACAATAATGGTATACATGTACATGTACATGGATATTAAATTATTTTATACAGCCAAGAGAAGCATGTGCATTCCAAAATTCTTGAAAGTATGCAATCGAAAGCGGCAACATGCAATGGCAAAATTTATAATAGTTTATAGTTTAGAACAGCTTGCTGTCCACAGCATTGGGTATTATGCTCCTCAGAATCAAGTTAGTGTTGTTGAGCACTGTCCGTAGGCTGCTCTAGTGCTGCTGCATCACGCATCGCCCACTACTTTTCGTAGTTAGAGCACTCTGGCGCTGGAGCCTCCATGTCTGTGGTGCCTCCTTTGCGCCATGGCTGGTAGCTCGGCTTGCTTTTAACCCATTGAACGCTGATGACGTCTATAGACGTCATTGAAAATGCCCCCCATGCGCGGGATGACGTCTATAGACGTCATGGGATATAGTGATTTCTGGCACTGTCTGGTGTGTAAAAGCACTGTTAGTCAGTTGGATCGTGATCCTGCCTCTTGTACGATAGGTCGTTGGTACGAATCCCGCTTGGAAACACTACGTGTCTTTTTTTTCTTCTTTTTTCAGCGATCTTTCAGCTGCAATTTCACGCATTTGGCGTATTTCATGCAATTTGAGCAAACTTGCGTCCCCTATTGTGAGGCGCTATTCTTTTTGGGGACTGTATCGATTCTGTCACCCTGTGGTTGATAGTCTTGGCAATCATTTCCAAAATATTTGAGGACCCCAGTGGCCAGAACCCTTGAGTTTTAGAACTTGCTATTGGCTCTGCTTTTAGCAATTTATATGCAGAGTACCATAGGCAAGGCCCAGTAGCGCTGAATGGGTTAAAGCTCGTAGCTGTACTGATTAGGCCTTTATGGCCGAAACAGGTTGCTGACTACAGCATTGGGTATAGTAAATTAGATAAGGATCTTGAAAGATGAATAAGTGGGACTGCAACCATCGGTATTTCGGGTTTTAGGGTTCCAGTAACTATACCACGACACTAACTGTTACGGATTGTGATTACCGAATTCGGTAGGTTTAAAGCACCTTTCACTTATGAGAGGACCGCACCAACCTCTTTTTTCACTTACTGGTATGAGGAATGGTATTCCTTGATACCGCAACTCTATACGGATAATATAAACGTGCCACCAGAGGTCAGGATGCCTGCAATCTTCCCCTTCCCAACATCCGCAGTACTTCGGGATCTCACAGACCAGTATTTGCTGCTGCAAAGTTGTGGAATATTTTGCCCTCGCCCTTAAAGTCATGCCCTACCACATGCCGATTCAAGTGTCTATTGAAAGTTTACTTTCATGGCTAATGCTAGGATGTTCCCTAACCCGAGAGTTCTCCAGACTCACTGTTTTCTTTACTCCACCTATCCAGGCGCCAGGCGCGAACTGATGGTGGTGGTGGTGAGAAGGAGAGCTCTGTGCCAGAACTTTGCAGCCTAGAGAGCGTGTGTGGGCAGGCGTGTGTTTACCGCCATATTGCCAGGTGTGTCTTCACCACAATTTTTATCCAGGCTATCTTATATTTTATCCGCTTGGGGATGATTGTCCTTGGATTTGCAATGCATTACATGAAACAAACCCAAAATAGATGTTCTTCGGAATCTCACAGCCTAGCACTCCCCTCTAGTTGTCCTGCCCTAGCACATCTCAATTCTCACTTCCATTGAAAGTTTACTTTCATGACTAATGGATGATCTAAGGAGAAATTCCTAGACTCACTGTTTTCTTCGCTCCCCTTCATCCAGGATACCTAATCTTGTTCTTAATCCTTTCTCCCTTTCCATCGAACTTAGAAGTTGCAACTTCGGCGGTAATAGTCATGAAGTTGATTGTTCCAACTAGGAACACACGCTTCTTGCCGAACTTGACACTTGACTGACTCACGACTGCCATCCGGAGCACACGAGGAGCACCATCGTCATCATAACATTGGGCATGATTGCCCGTTTGACTTGCCATGTAAAACAAAAGCACTACAATACAATAAGGAGTTACCGTACTCGCGCGATTAGAGCCCTCTCTCTTGAATAGGGCCCTATCTCGAATAGTGCCCCAGCCTCTAAGAGCCAGTGAAAAAATGAAGCCCTCTCTTGAATAGCGCCCCGCTGGGCTTGTACCAAGCGCATGTACACGTTTGGTGTTCTTTTGCTAATGTTCTTGTCCATGTCATTACACTGGTGGTTTCAGGATCAAATTCTCAGTTCTTGTTGCCGTTTCCGTTGTGTCGTGATAGTTAGAGTAAACTTTAGGCTCTGTTTTTCATTGCATTCTTGGTTTTATGCTCGATGACACAAATATACCAACATCGTGCCCTCTCTTGAGTAGTATCCCATCTGTGATGGACATTGAAACAATATTGACCCAGGGGCACTAATCGCACGAGTACGATATGAATGTTTGTCGACCATGAATTTTTCATATCCCACCCCACCAAAATTACATCTCATCTGTCGAGATTGGAGATAACCAATCTGGCCATTGTGCACATTATGTTCCTGAAGAAATCTCTTGCTTTTGGCTTGATCATGATTCATGTTGTACGGTGCAGGTGTTGAGAACAGCGCATGTGCAGTCTTCAAGTGTTAAAATGTTGAGGGTGTCAAACCCGAACTTGGTTCAAGGCCTGTACCACGTTTTAATACGCCGTTCTAAGGAGATACTAGATAGCTTCCAAAAGAGCTATATCTCACAAGCGATGACGTAATGTATGTGCATAGGAATGTGTGGCGGTATGTACTATGTAGCCTGGACGGCTTCAAACTCATTGACGCTGACAGAATCAGAGATTGGACAGGGGAACGCCCGTTGGTGTAAGGCTAAAGCTGTCACCATACCACTTCATGTCCCTTCCTGTCGCGTCTATCACAGAGCACGTAGTAAGCGAGCGGATCACTGTGGGAATGCTCTTCAGTGGTGTGCTAAGGCATTTCGAGGTAATGGCAGGTATGGTTCTAGCCCCCAGGCGAAAAGGGTATATCAACTATATAAATTTTACACTTCATCTAGGCTTCGTCGGCCCGATTGTTCTAGGTTGAGTTGACGGCTATCGAACGAAGTGGTTGTGGGTTTCAAGCCAGTGTGATTGGGGTTCTCACGTCGTCAAACCATGTGAAAAAGGTATGTCTCGTTGGTCATCGATCATAAGCAACTCGCCTTCGTCCCCCCCCCCCCCCTACTCATATGCGAAGCGGGAGATTGCTTCATTTTTGGCTACCATTCGTTCTCTCCGTGCTATCCTAGGTCTTCAGCTAAAATATTTGATGAACTAAACACGTCGTACACTGTACCACAAAGCACGACAAACTCTACTCGTCGTCCCGCTCGCGTACATCAGAAACTCAGCAACGACTCTGGAATTGCGCCAAGTACATTTGAACGCCAACCACCGGAGAAATTGCTTCACTAAAAATGATGTACGGATGAAGATGTACCCACCTAGGCTATCGAATGGACGATTTTTTTCTTTTTACTAGAGCCACGTGAACCCGTCATGTGTGAACCATGAATAAGGGGAGTGGTGGCGTGGTCTGGGATCTATAGTGAGTCAGTTTTAGATGAGTGACTAATAACTTCCAGCGAGAAAATGAAGATACTAGTAAACTACGCTATGGTTGCATAATTTTGAGATTCTATTCCGAATCATCGTCACGTCGGAAAGGAAGTCGCCATCACTATGAAGTCTTTTTTTTTTTTTTTTTACTACGTTCACATAACCAGCTCGAAAAGAACAGATCTTAAAGGTTGTAGCAAGCATGTACTCTTGGTTGAACACGGATTTCCCGTACACCATGATAATTTATGTAACGAGAAGAAACACAACGTTGAAAACTGTTTGTTAATTAAAAAAATATTTAATCAGCATCGGAATCATTAGTTAGAAGGAGTTCTAAATGGAAATGGCTAAGTCAACAGTAGCATATTATTATAAGTTAGATCGCTAGAGACTTAGTAGTTTGAAGTAGTAGTTGCATATGTACAATCTGATACAGCTAATGTGTCTGCTAGGCGTGATCAACATTATCCTAGGTGTGGTCGACAATAAAGCTGTTCTAAAGACCATGTATGGATTCGGATGGAGAGCCAACTTGTAGTTCCTTAGTCCTTTTTTATTTTCCATAAAGACCATGATAGCATTCTTTTGTAGTACATGTACATGTGAATCAGAACTGCGCCACAGGTGACATCTTCACGATTTGCTAAAGCGGATACGCAGCGCACTTTCTGTAGCAAATACAGGATCTTTCTATTTGAAGCAATCAGAGCAGAATTGGCCAAAGGTATAATATAATATGCAGATGAATACACGGATCCACGCACGGATTTTCAAGAATTGCCTCAATTCTAGGGTAAAGAAGTGCACAGGAGCCTCAACACGTGACGCCAAATCGCCGAATCAACACACGAAATATCATAAGCATTTTCCAGGTACCTGTACATCTATTTATGCGATCAACAAAAGGAAAAATTGTGAAGTTTTCAAATACATGTATATGTAGATGAGAGGTAAGAAGTTCAACTCGTCATGCGCTGACCTTTCGCTCACTTTGTACGGCGATGCCGTTCTTCTGCGTCGAACTGGATGTGTTTCGGCGAGACAGCTTTCTGCTGAGCCCCACTTTCCGGTTATTTCCCGTTGGCGATGAGCGACTACTGGTCGCAGGAGATACGATTGCATGGCCCGGAGCCTGTCTGAACGACGTCCGGAGATGATGTCCCCGCTCCATACCGGGCGGGGGCGCTTGCCTCTGCTTGATCCCCTCCAGGAGTGCACCGTAGATCATGGCGTACAGACTGGCCCAGGTGTCCGCCAGCATTGCAGTCCATTCCTCTTCCAGATAGTCTTGCAATGTGAAGATGAGAGCTTCACCGATCATCTACAGCGAGCAGTGAGAAAAGTAGAAGTGAACCAGATCATAAGTACACAGTATGCGACAAACTGGCACAAACCCGGCTAGGAGTACTGAGACATTCACCGAACTGACGCCTGACTATAATTATCTGGTTACGTCGTGGACAGTTAGTCATAACTCGTAACATTTTGTCCTTCTCCTTCTTTAACGTAATTAAATTGGCTCGCCATCCGAGTTCAACTTTGTTTGCTTAATTTATATTTTACAACCGCAGAATCACCAGCTTTTGCACAACGGGGGCGGTGGCATATTGGATGGAAGTGGGGGCGGGAAAGAAGTAACTCCTCCGACCAAGAGTTTCTGGTTCATCATTACTCATGTGCACCGTCTCTCTCTCTCTCCCTCTCTCTCTCTCTCTCTCTCTCTCTCTCTCTCTCTCTCTCTCTCTCTCTCTCTCTCTCTCTCTCTCTCTCTCTCTCTCTCTCTCTCTCTCTCTCTCTCTCTCTCTCTCTCTCTCTCTCTCTCTCTCTCTCTCTCTCTCTCTCTCTCTCTCTCTCTCTCTCTCCCTCTCTCTCTCTCTCTCTCTCTCTCTCTCTCTCTCTCTCTCTCTCTCTCTCTCTCTCTCTCTCTCTCACTCTCTCTCTCTCCTCTCTCTCTCTCTCACTCTCTCTCTCTCACTCACTCACTCACTCACTCCTCTCTCTCTCTCTCTCTCTCTCTCTCTCTCTCTCTCTCTCTCTCTCTCTATTGCCAGCGATCAATATTGGATTGGATTGGATTTTTATTTATAGTGGTGACTATAACAGACAATTGCCTAATAACAATAGACCCACTCAAGGGAAAGATGCAAAAAGATATGAATAATTAATATAATAGACTACCGGTATTGGATAGGTGATCATGTTCGCATTTTGCATAGCTGAAAGTCATAAGTACTAGCGTGAAAAAGCAAGGCATTGGGGTAACAGTTTCTTAAAACGGGCGGAGTTATCCACACAGCGAGCTAGAGGGTGTAAATCATTCCACAGCTTAGCACATTGGAAGGAAGCGCCATGACGGGCAAAGGCAGTTCCGAGCATGGGCAACTTAAGAGTGCGTGATACAAGGCTGCGCGTTGCAAGACCATTATTTAAACGCTCGAACATTTGACTTAATGTGACACTACAGCGGCCTTCCATACAGCGCCACGTCAGATACAGTAATTTCTTGCAATACATGGATGCCAAACGATCTAGACCAAATCTCGCAAATAAAGGGCTTGATGGGCTACAAAAACTAGTATCGTCCACTGAACGCAAAGCTCGCTTTAGCATTCGTTCAAGCCAACCTAACTGGGTTAAGGAAAGGCCAGCAGAAAAACAATTTGATGCATATAGAAAATCTGGCAGCACTTTACAAAGGTTTCTCGGCAAGTCAGGGGAATATTGTATGAACATTAATATTCTTTTACAGTAAAAATTGACTTTTAGATTCGCACGAAGTAAATTGGCTATTTACTTTCCATCAGGGGAAACATTCTGCTGTAGCCTATCGCCCTACCGCGGTTTTTTGAATGTTTGTCTCAGCAACACTTTGCATGAAACTCGAGTTCCAGACACCCCCAGCGGATAATGCTGGCAGCAAAATGACAGAATTTGGCACTTTTTCTGGTATGTGGATAAAGAAAACGAGCAGAATTCAAGGAAGTGCTCGCCATAAAGTTTGTATGGTTCCGCCAATTTCACTGCTTTTCGAGCAGAATCTGTCAATTTTACGAGCATTATCCGCCATGGGCTAGTATAATTATATAATATTCGCGGGATCCGCGTCGGCATCGCTTGAATGTTCAGAAACACATGGGCTAGTTCCAGATACAATATCCATGCACAGGACAGTAACCATGGTAACACCTCGCTCTGAGTTCTACTTCTAGCACACACCGTAAGTCCAAGTTAGTTCGTATCTTACCATGAGTTGTCTTTCCTCCACGCCGTACTTAGCATGATGTCGTCCCAGCATCACCAACAGCGGTCGTACGCGATCGAACTCGCCGTAGCTGTCCACTACCATGCCAACGGTTTCCATGACGCGTCGAGCGTGCTGCCGAGCACGTGGATGCGATAGGAGGATATGAGGCGAGATTTGTGCACCCTCCGGTAGGCCACTGATCGTGCGTGTGATATCCGGACAGAGGTCTGCCACCCTGCGGACACAATAAAACAGATATAGGGAGAAAGTTTTGAGAATTTGAAAGTTGTATTATTTAAAGTCCCCAAAGGCATCTTTCGTCTGTCGAGGGTGTCTCAATAATCGGAAGTGTCATTACAGATGATGAAAGATGAGCACCGAAGGGTAAGATGGAAAGTGCATCAGGCATATGCGGATAATGCCGGCAGAAAAATTGGCAAAATTCGGTACTTTTTCTGGTACATTTCATGCATGTTTGGTATGTGGATAAAGAAATGGAGCAGAATTCGAGGAATTGCCCGCCATAAGGTTCGTATGATTCTGCCAATTTCACTGCTTTTCGAGCAGAATCTGCCACCTTTTCGAGCATTATCCGCACACCCCTAAGAGCACTACAGTTCACCATTGTTCGTTGCTGCAGGACGTGTGTTCTACTAGAGCATCTAACAGCCAGCCAAAATTACAGGTACTCGTAGCTCGTATCCAACCGTCTCCTCTCCTGCCTACATCTAATATTGACTCTCTATCCGAGGAGAGTTGTTGTGAAACGACTGTTATACGAACCTCAATGGTTGTATTTTTTTCCTCTTTGACCCTTCTCATGCAGCATGTAGCGCAACCAAGCAGAACAGGTGGGTTGGAGGAGCGATGTAATGCATGATTCATTATCCCGCTCCTGAGACATCTTAGTTGCGTTACATGACGTTATGTCCAAGTATACTGGGTCTAGCACTCTAGTTTTCCTCCTTCTTTTGAGACCAATGAGTGCAGATTCGATCCAAAAGGAATGAGTTAGTGAAAGCCATCTGCGGATAGTCGTGGATTTTTTGACTCGGCGGTGGGATAAGAGCTAAAGCTCGTGCAATATCCTGTTGCGAAGTACAGTAATCGTTTGTGATGACTTCTGCCGCTTGTTCCCTCGCCTAAAGGTTCGCTGGCCATTGCAGCGAGTACCGAAGTGGCGTCCGGCGTCGGCAGTGCCCAAAACATCTTTGCAGTGGACTAACACATTTGTGCCACATCGGGACCTTTTTCCTATCGGTCCCATCTGCACTGCACACTAGTATAATAGTACTTGGAGTACTTTTGTTCTATATGTGAACATTGATACACGCTCGTGGTTACCGGGTAACACTACTCGCGTGTCGTGTATCTGTCCCGGTTCTTACGCAGATTGCCTGAAAGGCGGTGCGTCAAGCTGCGTACTGGATGCTCACAACACTCACATGTTTCCAGGCGGCACGGCCACGGGCTAGTAAGAGAAAAGCAAGAAGGCCGTGGCAGAAGAGCGGTGAGATACATTGTACATGGCTGTTTGGACAGGGCACGATGCGGAAAACGAGGCAGTGACCGATTTGTCGTTATACGCGATCCCCTTCAGCCCTCGTGTAGGTACGACCCTACACTAACACACAGCCGGTACACGGGAAGGAGCGCCGAATAGTGATTGTGTTTCTTGCGCTCAGCAATAAGGCAAAACACAATTTCCCCAGTGACAGGTTATAGGTTTGTACTGACGAGTATTGTCATGTAGTTTTTAAACATCTTCCAGGTCACGTATGGTGATCAGGTAGTTCTCACGGCCAGTGCAGCTGGCCAGGATACGGAGAGGCAATGCGTACATGTATCTGCTCAGCGGTGTTGATTGACTTTTACTAGTCGGTCAACTCTCCATATTCGCACTGTATCGGCGGGAGAAAATAGCCTCGGTCATCTACAACCTTGTGAAAGCTATCAAAAACAGACGGGTTACAACGTCATGGTGACCCGAGGAGGTGTAGAAAGGACTAGGCATAGGTCAGTATGTTTAGTTCACGTGAAGAACCAATTACTGAGACATGAAGATAGAATCTCTTGCCAAAGTGGCAAGGTACAGACATAACTGCAGCACCCTGCAGGTGCGCTTCATTACCTTGTCAGGTCATATTCTTCTTGATGTTACTTGTACATGTGCCGATGTGGTGTGAACTCTTGAAACTCCACTATAGTAATACATGTCACACATGTCTAGGTTAGACCTTTGGCTTTGTGGCTCTCTGCCCATCTTACCCGCGATCATAATGCACCTCACTGGACTGGTACTTGGTAGTGTTCGCGCTGAAGTGCTCTTATCATTCCCGTGATCTCCCCTTTAGGACTATCTGGCTGATTGCGGCCGAGTGCCACGCGAACTGGCGCTGTGTCCAACGCCAATGGCTGAACTGGCCGCAGCCGAGACAAGATCCAGTTCACTTGTAGCCTCGGGTTACTCGTGGATAGCCTGTTCCCCTTGACTCTACGCGAGAATCTATGGTGCTGTCGCGGTGTCTCCGATCGTCTCTCCATTGCGCTACTCGCCCTGTACAAGGAAATTCCCTTGTTTGCTGAGGCGGTCTTGTAACAAAAGGTTTAGCCCCTGAGAATCATTATCATGCTGTCAAGAGCATACGACAGGCTAAGCCCGGTACTGAATTCAGCGCATGAACGCTCCAGCCATGTATAGCAAATTTCGGGGCCAAATGGAGCTGCGAATCTGTCTTTGGTATTCTCACGCAAGAGCGATGTGACTGATGGGCCGTGAACGTGTCAAACTCTCCTGTGAATAGCTTTACAGTGGTGGGGTAGATGGTAGATAGATGTGGCATCGACCCTGGCCTCCTCAACTGTGCGGTGCTCGCGGTGGCCAGCAGGCAGGGGCTTTCAACACCTCGCGGTACCATGATCTGCTAACGGTTGGTGCTGTCATGCCAGGATGGGTTGATTGCGTGCCTAGACGATTGCCCCTTGTCAGATTTCTACCATACTTGTACTTGTACATTAGATTAAATCCAGCCTAAGCTAAAGGTCTCGTGCAGAGACGACCGCAGACTACGTGGGAATGGAATTCACCTATTAAACAGCATTTTCCAATATCTGACTCACACTTTGTCTGGATGAATAAGTTGGTGGGGACTCTGCGTGAATATTTCCACGAATGTGACTGGGAAATATTCATGATCGTAGAAACTTCACGCGTGGGGGCAGTTCAGCAGATGGACAACTGAACGAGGTATTCCAGCGTTGTGTGACTCGGACAACATCTTGTTCGCCCTGGCCAGTGAACTACTGTAGCTGGGTTCCAGCGACAATTGCTCTTACAACTATCAGGACATGCACGTGTTGTGCACAAGGACATTCCATGCGAATTGAATAGAGAGATCTACGCGCATGCCAGGGGCTGAGGTCGTCGAATGGTGTGTACTGAGATAGCAGCAGGTACACGGAGTTGCTTGTAGCGATACATGCAGTTAAAACTACAATTACTACTACTAGCATATCAGTATACATGTATTTGTACATGCCTGAGAAGACGTACCGATAACCTTTTCACCAATCATTCAAACATTCATACCCCGGTCTCTGTACCTAAGTCGATATTTCAGGATCCTGAAGATGACCTCAGGCCGACCGATCGATTGATCGTTTTGTGATTATTCCAGTGCGAAAATCATGGAAATAATGGTGACGTCACTGACGTGTAACTACTAGAAGATCCATATTAGTGGCTACTGTAGCGTTAGTGCACGATCAGAACAGGTTTCTCGATAAAAACATAAAAAAGCACAACAGCGATGCACGGTTTATCCTTTTGACAGCACGCATATGATCCGCGTGCCCACTCCAATGGGGTCTATATTGACACACTGTTGTCTGTACCCGTGAAGGCGTGTAGGCGTGCGCCGACCTACAGTACACGTTTCCCCGCGGTGCAATATTTGCAAATGTCCACCCAGTATTTGCGCGGCAACTGCAGCCCGACCTTTCCCCGACCTGGATAAGGGGCAAACGTTTTGCACAAGTGATACTTGTGAAATCCCTGTAGGCTAAGGAATCAATGCATTGTTCAAACACGAAAAGGGACTTGTATGCCCCCACTGTTACCCGAGGCGACTACACGAAAAGGGACTTGTATGCCCCCACTGTTACCTGAGGCGACTACTATGCATAATTGTACTTCGAAGTATACCTTAACCCACAGGTATGAACAAGCATGGCTGGGTTATGCTACAAGATTTCCGCGTCCCGTGACAGCTAGAAGTAATTTTAGCTCCACCTTCCGTTCTGTTGACTTCCGCGCGAGCTAAAGACCAACACGCGGCAGGGATGATGCCAAAGCTGCTTGCTACTACATAATTATTACAGGGTGCAAGCCTTATGACAGCCCTCAAAGCCACAGGCAGACTTCGCGCGCAGTCCCAGGACACGGCGACAGACAAGGACACCACCACGGTCCCTGTCAGACAGAGCTGCAACTATTCTTATCACGCCTGTTTGCCAAAGAAGCTGTTCATCGCTCTGTACGAGTTCCGAGGGCATTGCATACAAGTAACTGTTAGTTTGCTGCACGTTCCTGGGGTCTTGTGCAAACACAATACACAGCTCAGTGCTTGTACTTTCACTGCAAGTTAGTTCACAGAGTGGGGACACTCCCCAATCCACGGAGCAGGTACAGGTATTCGCTTTGGAAATAGACGGCTGTATCAGTTACCAAACAATACAATTTGGTATACCAAAATACATCCATTCGCACAAGTTTCTCTTCAACAGAAGTCAAATTGTCAAGGCTCTGATTTCAAACCATTCGCCCAGATGCATTCCTCTTATACGAGCCTCGGCACTGAATCCATAATCAATCAATGAATTAGTCTTGTCTCAAGGTGACAGTTCGGCGAGGTCAGCAAATACTCTCGATCGATCACGTTGACGGTGGATCGGAAGCTCATGCGACGACATCTACAGTGCAATACCAAGGCGAGGGACACCGAATAAGTGGCTATTTAATCCCTGATGGTTCTTGAGTTAGGAGAATGATCCTCACGGTGGGCGGGTATGCAGGCTCCTGCCATTAATCATTGGTGACACGCCATCATCCTTCCCATTCCCTGAGCAGCTTGTAGTCGGTTCTGCAATCCTGAATCCATGGCTCCACTGGATTGGGTCTCCATGTGGACGCTACATGCTCGATTCCATCACAACATCACTTTCACAATGCTCTCCTTGTCCATACTGGCGGCATATTCTACTCATAGCGAGTGTTTGGAGCCATCACTACTAGCGCCGCACAACTGTTACAAGTAACGCTAGATTCGTGTTCTCTTCAATAAGTAAATTATCTAGTAACGTATACGTTTCTCGCAGCTCATACCAGAGCGCAGCTCGGCCGTCTCATGCATGCGGCGTATCGGATGGTACATGAACACACGAGTAACACAAGAAGTGGCCAGTTGCCACACCGCGCCCTTGTGACCTTCAAACAATATACACGGGCTACTGTCATCGCGATATAGAAGATCTAATCTTGTTTCCAGTATTGTATTTCACAGATGTCGAAATACTCGCCCCATTAGGCTTAAAACATATCACTCGGTCTTCAGGAAGGTTTGTGAGCAGAAGAACGAGTAATACCTATTCATGCCTTTTGCGAATACAACACAGAGACACATGTATACTTGATTATAACCACGGGATTACTGTGTATGTATAGATTTCAATACACTTAGGGCCAATAGCACGTTATGTAACAGGGTGATAACTGTGTGCCAGTAGACTTGAACGCAACGACATGATGGACATTGGCACACCAAATCAATTGCTTTCCAACGACACACTGCACATGCTTTCTCTCACCTTCTGAACATATCCATTCCGAGTTGCTCGAGGTTGTTGCTAACCGCCAACCAGCTCTTGCTGAGCTGGGTCATCTCACGTTTGCGTCTGCTGCTCCGGCGTCTGGATACAAGCGAGGAGTTGGAACCACGCCGGAGCTTCAGCGATTTCAGAGTTTTCCGCTGCTTCCGCTTTCGCTTGCTCTGCTGCGATGGCTGCTTGCTGCTGATGGCGCTTTCAGATATCGGCTCTGGCCGCTGCGGTGAGGACTCGGCTTCCGAGATCGCCTTCCGCTGCTTTTTGTTCGGAACCGAGGGAGGAGAAAGGTCTTTAAACTTGCCCTTCTGCCGCTGAAGCGATGATACTGACGGAGCAGGGCGTAAATCGGACAGACTAGATGACGAGTTACGGCTAGGACACGTACTAGGAGCTGCGGATGCATCATTCCTGTCCTGATCCGAGGTCTTGCCTCCACCGCACTCACACGACGAGCAGCTTGATCTCTGAGCGCTTGTTGTTGGCTCGGCATCTTTGGTCCTCCCCAGACGCGTCTTACATGGCTGAGCACTATGGATGATCAGATGTGTCTGAGGTGTGGATGTGCAGGGCTCGTCCTTGCTTTCGTTGTGCAGAATCAGCTGCAACTGCGCCGTCTTCTCTGCTTTCAATTTCTCTGCGTTGTTGGCCACGAGAGGGTTGCGGTTCAGCTTGGGTGCCTTATTGGCCAGCTTCGTGGCACGAGACGACTGGTTCTGACCCATATCTGGCTGCGCGCACCACACTCCTTGTGTCTGTGTGTGTGACAATCCAAGGGTTGATTAGACACGCTTTGATCCTATGTGTCTCTGTCTCACAAAATCTTTTGCAGGAATGCCTTCAGCCAGTCAACCGTTCCAATTGGAGTGGAACTACGTCTACCGGAGACTTCAGCATTGTGGCACAACATGTAACAGATATCTGGCTATGGATGGAAGCTCTTCTGTTCTATCCCGATACAGCTGGACAGTGTAGTTTCAAGTCGTGAAGTATTAGGTAGTGGTCTGAACCACCTGGCCTTTGCTATGAGGATGCTCTAATAGCTGCGGGGTATTTGTAGGAGCGGGGTTTTATGCACTCGCATAACCCGATAGGTAAAGCACTCAGTGTTCGCCGTGCGATGCCTCGACTTCTGCACTGTCCTTTCGCCAACTCTGTACAATGAGTTACACAGATCAGCGCTCAGCTGACTAGAGGATGAACGACCTTCCGTGGACAAGCGAAGTTGACGGTCGTCTCAGCGCCGTTCTCTAGCCATGCGCCAACGCAGCTGCGGCCACCAGTCATAGGTCAGACTCGATATGAACGACCGGCAGCTGGATAGCTCATCATCGCGCCTTTGCACTGCTTTCTCATGGCCTGGGCAAGAGTCGATGGCAAGGAAAGCAGTGACAGCCACTTTCCTTAGCCTATTCAATAGCTGATGGCTTTCCAAACTGTCAGCTCACAGGACACGATTATCACCCAAAGCCAACTTCCTCCTTTCGAGCAGAGTTGGGCCTCCAAGGGGACAACATCGGGTACGTACGCGCACTAATTTGCGGCTACAACCATTCTAAGCTGTGACCATGTATGCTAATCTAAGAGACAAGGTGGAGAAGCGCAAGATTCCTCTCCACGAGTTCGTGACTTCAACAAACGAGCGAAAGACACAAATTGAATTTCTGCAGAGGTGATCATTGGCCAGTGACAACTACACCACACCTTGAACTTGTGCAATTGTTCGTTTGTTCTGACGGTCCACTAACGATAGAGCAAGCCCGCACACGTACTCTATTCATTGCCGAAGAGCCCAAGACTGATGTTAGTGTGGCAGCCACTCTGTTCTCCCGGCCAGCTGATGCCGCTGTCGTCGGTGGCTCACCCTGGACCTTCACGCGGGAGAACATGTTTCTGCCGAGACCTTTGCCACGGCTTCTTATCATTATTCTCGGTGCGCGCGCCACACTGCACAGGTCTGTGGGAAGGTGCACCAGCCGCACACAGGAAGGCAGCGATGTAGTTGCTCGTTGTAGGTTCTTAGGCCTGACAGGACGCGTCTCTACGCACTGGGATTACATGACGCTGGCCGAGGTAGTTGCTTGTACAGCCAGTGCATTCAGCCGGACGACAAGCCAGCCAGCAGAACGATTCTACAAGCCTAGCCTTTGCCTTTGCCAAACTGCAAGCAACCTCGGTGTATTCACACATGCAAAACAACTTTTAAATACAGTACTTGATCACGTAGGGTACCCTGTAAAAAGGCCTTAGGCCTGTGGGGATTGCCCTATTCAAAATTAAAAAATAATAATGATAATAAAATAAAAATAATAGATCCATACCTACTACAGATACAGTATTATTGTTGGTCGACCTGAGTGGAACATACTACAAACAATCATGCAACAGGAACATACGGGGAAAGCCCGTTCATGTCGCATCCACCCCCGGAGGGTACTTATCAGTGTACTAGTGCACGCACTTGTACAAACGCCCTGAACTTCATGTCATGCATACCCTAGTAGTAGTACCCTACAAAGCACGGGCTCACTTTGCGGCCGCCGGTTTGTGCGCGGTTGTGCCGCATGCTGGGTGCTCGAAAAGCCGTTTTTTCTGATGATGATCAGTGGCTTCTTTCAGCACGGACGAAGAGTGCAATGAATAGGATAACACCCAAGTACAGTCATGTGAGACCGAGAAGCGGTGAGCTCAGAGAATCTAGTCCGTGCTACATCTACCACTAAGCATTACAATATCTACATGTACATGCGAGAGTGCGCTCGGAGCCTCTTCCCCCGCCTGCCATAATAGTTTCCACAAGGGAGGGCTCCCACCTATTCAAGGTAGCTCAGCAACTAAAACAAACCCCTCAAGGTAAGAAGCAACTAACTTACGAGATACACTGTTAACATCCGCGAATGGACTGGCAGACTGTCGCTCCTAAAAAGAACTGAACCACAGACTTTCGTCTCTCCAATTCCCTCGCCGAACGCATGCCAATCGATTGTGACATGCATGTCAAAAGATTGTTGCTGTAGACGCACGATCCCTAGGTGTGTGAATGCTCTACATATTTCTAGCTCTAGGCCATAATCAGTTACTCTCTTACATTATTAAATAATGTTTTTATACGGTTGACGTTCACTGGTGAACATGTTCACGTGATTTTAGTTCCCACAGGTATCATATCCGCACTCGAGCGTGTACTAAAAGATGTTAGGCTTGCCGGTCGTCACTCGTCACACAGTTACTGGTCTATGAACCTATACATATTTTATACTTGGTATTAGATAATCCCACACTAGTACAGCACCAGTATTAGACACGGTGTCCTCCATAGGCATATGCTGATAATGCCGGCAGAAGTTTTGGCAGAATTCGGTACTTTTTCTGGTAAGTTTCAAGCATGTTTGGCATGTGGATAAAGAAATGGAGCAGAATTCGCGGAATTGCGCGCCATAAGGTTTGTATGGTTCGGCCAATTTCACTGCTTTTCGAGCAGAATCTGCCACCTTTTCGAGCATTATCCGCCAATGCCTAGTCCTCCACGTTGTTTCATGCTGTCAAACCAACAACATGTCTCATTTTTATACATGTACATGCTTGTGAGAGCACTAGCATGCCGCGAGGCTACCATGCGAAAATAGGATCCTCGACATCACTGGTGCGCTGCTTGCCTGGTTAGCAATTTCCTTACACATTCTGCATGGCACATACATGTACATGAAATAAATTGAGTTCTCCACTTTCTTGATGTTTCTTGATGTTTCTTGATGTTCTAATTTGAGTCCCACGCGAACCGTAACATATTGTCTTTCTTTTCTCTTGATGTTGTCTTCAGTTGAGCATGACTTATAGTGATTTCCTCCATCACAAAATATCATTGGGCTCAATTTGCCCGGTGTGGGGAGCAAACACTTTATTATTATTATTATTATTATTTGCATTTTCGCGTCATCGTCAATCAAAATGATTGATGATTTCGCTTATGCTGAGTGGTGGTAAACAGAAATCAAAAAATATGGAAGATACGTCAAGGCAGAAAACAACATGAAGGACGGAAAAAGGAAAACAGGATAAGTATGGATATCGCATGCGATACGTTATGATAGTTATTGCATGTTGATATTGTGATAGATGGTGTGATTCTATTGCTACAGTTAAAATATTGAGGGAGTTGATAACCATAATGATATTATGGTATTCGGGTAATATAAGATACGTATTTGTATGTGTAATGATATTACATTTCCAGTTGATATTGAGTTACACATTATTCTGGTTGTTGTCGTGATCGGCTTTTAGAGAAAAAAGGGAGAGAGAAAGAAAGAGAGAGAGAGAGAGAGAGAGATACAGAGAGAGAGAGAGAGAGAGAGAGAGAGAGAGAGAGAGAGAGAGAGAGAGAGAGAGAGAGAGAGAGAGAGAGAGAGAGAGAGAGAGAGAGAGAGAGAGAGAGAGAGAGAGAGAGAGAGAGAGAGAGAGAGAGAGAGAGAGAGAGAGAGAGAGGGAGAGGGAGAGGGAGAGAGAGAAACATAGGGAGATGAGCAAATTAAGGAGATATATCCGGTTGATTTGACGTTACACTCTCGGGCTAATATGGGATTACAAGTACATTGATTTGTAACTACCGGGTAGTTGGATGAACATATTGCCTCACACAGAGCCTTCCAGCTCTTACGACAGGCAGCTGTTGCCCGGAGCGAATGGAGATCTCCCAGAGTCAGGAGTCTACCCTGCCATTTGCCCGTATTACAGAACAATAGTATATTCGCAGGTAGGTCCTGTGTTGCGGGGACATTAGTGTACCTGTGCCATTGGGTACACGTGTGCATGTTCAAATGTATGCACACGTACATGTACATGTACATCAGGGAATGTACATGTACATGTACATGTACGTGTATATGCAACGCGTAGACGTGTACATGTACATTGTATGTGCTTGTAGATGTTTCACGGAGCTGAACTGAAGCATATACATACATGTACATGTACATGTGCACCGGAGACATTCCTGTTTTTTCCTCCTCACATTTCAGCAGAAACTAGTCCACATTGAACTGTAAGCGTTGTACGCCGGACCGATTTCTCTGTCTCGACCGCACAAAGCAGAGACATCGTATACATGTCCTTCATAAAGAACGATTTATTATTTTTTTTGTCAAAGCATATCAGGAGCATAGAAGTATGCTTCTCCATCATCTTGCGTTTAATATTACATTTTTCGAATTTTCGCAAATGGGATGTTGGTGCCTGCATTCGAATATTCGGTCTGGTGTCAGTATTCTAGAATATTCGAAAAATTCGAATGTTCCTTCCATCTCTAGGTTCATTGCATTGTGATGGAGTTACTTCGAAGTGGTATGTGGCTATCATGCCCACGTGGGAAAACATATTCATTGTGTCTATTTTGACCGTAAAAAAGGGCTGTGTAATCACGGCCCAGTTAACCAACACATGCATTGCAAGCTTGGGCTGCGTCTGTGCTACACCAATGCATGACCCCGGGCGGCGTGCACGAATATTTGCACAGCGAAGCCTGCGTTTTATCGACCATTCCGTCGTGCACCGAAAACTGGTCCTGTTCAATGGTGATCGTTCAATGCAGGACAAAATGCGTCACGAAACGTTCCTGAGATAGGCAGTCTCCCAAGACAGGTTTATGGTCGCTAAACACAGGTTGTAGTGCATAGCCCTGAGCTAACCAGTCTCCTGAGAGAGATGGTCGCTCAACACAGGTCGTAGTGTATCGCCTTTCGGTCATGATAATATTACATGATAGTATTCTTCCATGTCAACTGTGTGATACGAAGCACCAAAATGTGAGGCAAGAAGGAATATGCTGCACTCGAAAGAGAAAAAGCCAACAGGGCAGGCGAGATAAGGAAATATTGATGAGTTTTAGGGAGGAGAAAAGAAGAATAAGCTTGAGGAAAATTGCCTGCTACCACGAGGACTCGAACTAGGGAGCCTAGCTTCTGAGCAGCTGTGATCTAACCACCCAGCCGTGATGTAATCGGATAAGGAAAGGTTACCTACATGTATTTGGAAAGAAAATTATGATTGGGCTCGGTTCCCGTAGAAATTCTATACAACATACATTTACATCATTGTGCAGGAAAGAGAATAATACTCGGATTGTCGAGTGAGTGAAAAGCAGCAAGGAATACAGATCAATGAGCAGCATGCAGTGCTCGTGCCCGAAATACAACGGCTATTCCTCTCCGCAACCGAGCTTGGTTCCGGCTATAGCTGGCATTCAGCATTTATCGGACGTACAAATGAAGCTTGTCTAGTCCCAGCTCATCGTCGCTGTTATCCTGGTCCGAACAGATGCGCACCTCGATTCTATCACTCGTCGAACTGTCCAGAGTCACATGAAAGTCAGGCACCGGCTCGCATTGGTATTGGGTCGTCGAACTGCAGGATACGGTGGTATCGAACAGATGATCATCGTGACCCAGTGACCAGGTAGCTGGGTGCTGAGCATACTTAGTCTCTGCGCAGTAGTAGTTATCACCGACGAACGGCTGGGCTTGCGTTCCTCCTCGGCACGGGCACTTGCTACCACTCTCGCGATCCATACCTACAGCATACGTGAAGACGTGATTGCGGACTCCCGGAGCACTGTCCCGCGAGATCGAGAAGCCATCAACGTACGCACTGTCGATCAGGTAGCCAGGCTGCGAATGGAAGGCGTCCGGCGAGCGGAACTACATATTCGGAACAGAATCATTGGCAGGGAACGAAACAGACGGAAACAGACAAATTAAATCAATGTGCATGAAATATTTGATGATTAAAGGCTCAACCACCATACAAATGTTTTTAAATAGTGCAACATGTGCTAACAACATACACGTACATGTGTTGCATAGCACACTCATGTGCTCTGTTGCATGTTGCTCTGAGAACTGTTGTATTCATGTGTTGCCTGCCACTACTGAAGATTACATTGCGTAACAACACTAAGTTGTGTTCCAGTTATAATCCACGTATGGATACGTCCCAGTAGACAATACACTGCACTAAAATGATTGGAGAGTGTCTATTTTCATTTTGTGTAGCCGAGGACTTGGTGAGGTTGCGTGCGGTGGAAGTTCAAATTATGAGGAAGATACCGTAGTTCAGAGGAGGTACGCCATTATCATTGAATATAGTATTCTAAACAAAACCTCATGTTTTGCCAATCCGAAGGGTTCCTATAGCACTGCGATTAGTCACAATACACGAACGACAAAGTGTTTCTTGTACAAACGTAAATGCATCTTCGGGCGTAGGTTCGGCCGACGAAATATCAGGTTCTCTCGACAAGCAGCAAAAACATACGATACGATTTTAGCAGTGGTTGATTAACACACCTTCAGCCTGTAGGTGAAACCTGAGAGTTCGTCGTGTTTTGAGCGAACCTTAAAGCCAATAAAACAGGTCACGTGTTCCCAATATTCCTCACCTTGTATCCGTTCAAACTTCCACGAATTTCGCTGTACTGTCCGTTGAAGGGTTTACTGAAGAAGGCACTAGCGCAGCCATTTCCCCCGGGGCGAGTGCAAACGTGTTTGGCGACTCCGTTATTTTCCACAAGCTTCCGCAGCCAGCCGGCGGGGCAACTGTACTTAGCCTGGACATTAGCGATCTCTGTCCAACCCCAGAAGCTTGTGCGGTCGTGGCCGGTCAAACCACCTCGAGAAGCGCAGGACACCTGAAAGTGAACGCACAAAGTGGGAGAAAGCAAGCCTGTCTGTCGGTCTGTCTGTCTGCATGTCTGTATGTCTGTCTGTCTGTATGTATGTCTGTTTGTCTGTCTGTATGTATGTCTGTCTGTATGTCTGTTTCTCTGCCGATGTTTCTCACCCGGAATCCCTTTTGAATGCTCTTTCGCATCACGAACAAGTTTCTCACTCGCAGAGCCCCAATTACAAGACCATGGATCCGTTTACAAACAGGAAATGGACCAGCCTACGAGTATTATAACCGTGTGAAACGCATTGTATGAAGTTTCCTTCCGAGATTTGATTTCTGCCGTGACCAACCATCGCAATCGATAACCCTCAAACGATTCATAGGGAAATGAACTCATTAATCTGCATGAGAATGTCATAAAAGGTGGCGTAACTAGGCTCTTCAATATTATTATGATGCTAATCTCTCGTCTGCAATAACCCTTCCGAATATGGAGACCGGCCGTCAGGCGCGATGCCTTTGGGAAATCCTTAATCATAGAGTATTCATGGACACGCCACACGTACCTGTTGCAGACCACGGTTACCTCCTACGTTGAATGTTCCTGCACGAAAATGAATGCAACAAACAAAGTGCAAAGTATTGAGGCGACAAGACGAGACTGGGTATGTTGGCTGGCACGACTTGGTGTTATCACTCAACGGCTCGTAACTATGCATCAATCACAGCAGTGTCAGCATACATGTAGCTATCTGTGTAATTTTGGGGCATCTTGCAGCTTCATCTGTAGGAAGTAGGTGGGTGGGTGGGCAGGGTAAGAATTGATTCAATCCTGTGCAGTGCTTTGCGAATTTGTGCGTCCACCCAACTATTTTCTTTTGTACATTGGAAGTTATTTACATTCTTCAGGCATTCCGATCACACAAATACGCGCAAAACACACTCACACGCTCACTCAGACACACACATACATGTGCATGTACGTGTACGCACATGCACATGCCTGTACAGATCAGGAGGCAGTGAAGCAATGGGTTCCGATGCACTTACCTTCCGGCATTATATCGCCAGTAGGTCGATAAAGCGAATCGTAGATCTCCTGGCATGAAGGCTGTGGGCAAAGGCTACCGGACAAACCTGCCAATTGACAAACCAAGCAGGATCACGAACAACAGGTAAGCCAAAAACAGCGATGAATTCAAACTCGCAGATACGCATTGCCTAAGGTGAAACAGGGCAAAGAACTACAACAACTAGGCCAGAGAAAAACAACTTTGCGTGTCCACATCAGCCTTGGGTACCGAGCCAGTAGCACGCATACTAGAAGACTTTTGAAGATAGCAGGGAGGCAGGTGAAACTGTGAGAAAGACGGCAATGTTTCCCTAATTATAGTCATAACTTACTGAACGCGTTCGCACATCCTAGCAGAAGGCACATGAAGAGGAGAGCCGATAATGCTCCAAGAAGTGGCGCCTTAGCCATGTTGGCAAAATGATAATGAACTGAAGACCTTTCTGAAGACCAAAATGTATTCTGGCTTGTGATTCTGTTGCGTGCTACGTTTTATAGAGACAAATCGACTGGTCGTGAATGTAGAAACCATCGCCTACGATTTCAGGGGTACTGGAGGCTGTGTGAGGAAGAATCGCGCAATGTCTAAGTTTGTAGTAAGACACCATACTGGCGAGACGCTGGTGGACAATGAGTGGACATCACGATTCCTATCTGGCCTAGAAATCACCTGGACTGGCATCACACCTACGCACTGGGACAATGGAACACTGCAAAGGGTACAATCCGGAGTTTGTGGCGAATGATAGTGACCGTGTGGATACATCCAGTAACACGACCACAGCGCTATTTACAGACCACACTGGTTATGCCTCGCCAACCCGAACATGACAGAGGGACTCTCAACGCTGATGAAGTATTCAGTAGGAACAGAATAAGAAGTACTTGTACAGTTTAAAGATAGCATTCTGTTGTCATGTTTGCCATATCCAGAAACACTGTAAAGCAGTATACAGGGGCTGGGACAGCATTGGGACGAAGTGCATATCGTACACCAATAATTATTAACGTCTAATCAATGCATTGGATTTTACTGCACATCTGAAAATGAAATCGGTGCCAATAATTATTTGTACATGAGACCTACTCCGAAGTTTGTGGTGCCCGTGTCCATACGTATTGATCGAAACAGTGTAGAGTTGCGTTGCCCATTTTTTGACCATTGTACAATGTCCGACAGCTGGGGGTGATGAGAACAAGATGCGTGTGTTATCCTTGATTACAATACTATTGATAGCAGATACTACTAGTATATGTAAGCGCTCGATACTACTATTATACTACTGGCTGAGTGACGAATATGTGCAGTATCCACCTAGGCTACCTTGCACATGCATAAGAACCATTGGCATTGTGAGTCGGAATATCAGACTTTCGGGACTGATTCATTCCGAGTGGCACTCGACCTGAACGCTGAGGGATTGACGCGATGCACGCACGTCAAAGCAAAAAAAATAGTGAGAGTTGATAACATCGTCAACTTTACTGACACTCAAGTTGACATTTCTTGACAGATCTGAGCGAACTCCACAGCTGTGCAGTCGACTCAGTCGAATGAGGATGTATTCATGAGATACAAAACAGTAAGGAACTCAAGCTATGTAGCACGAGTATTGCCTGACCCGTCATTCATTTCGTTATGTATTGGGCCATGGGATGGAATCACCCACTTACTTTTTCCACAGCCTATTCTTACCGCTCATAGGACTATGGCACTGGATAAAAACATAGTCTTCACCAAGTACTAAAACGAAACTGATATTGCCTTCTGTACAACAGGAGTTTGATCTTCTTAGCGGTGAGCAGTATTTGGATGGGTGAGTATAATAATCGGGTGACACTGAATCTTCCGCGGCTGTACATAATGAATAGCCATCGCACTCAGATGCTGCAGCCCCCAGGCCCTGGAGTCGACTTGACCATCAGTCAACAGCTAGTGTAATGCGTCTAATGGCCAATCTGAATACACATGTACCTAGTCGAGCAAAGGAAACAACTGAAATCAAAGCAAACAATTAATTTTGTCCACTGCCGATGTCAGAACAAAAATCGAAATGTATCTCCAAACGTCTACATCTTCCCCGGTGATTCCTTGAAAGAAAACAGGCTGATTGGGCCAAAAAGGAAAAAAGGAAACATTTCACAATATTTAATCGCAGCACGTAAAGCATTATCATTTAATCGCGTGAAAATTCAGTTACACATGACTGTAATCAATCACAGTCAACATACGTGATGTAGGCCAATGCCGCGTGCAAGGTTGCGAATTTTGTGCCGCAGCGTGTAGATCTCCGTTTAGTTAACTGCCTACTGCACTGGCGAGGGTCAATGATTACGATCAATATGAATCTTATCATGTCTACAGCTAGTTAGAGTGCTGCAACGGGGAAAATTAATTTTATTCCCGTAGCTATGCAGAAGACGTTACTTCAGTAACGTCTGGCGCTAGCCAGGGTCCACACAGCTTTAATTTGGTGTTTGTTTGTGTGTTTGTTTGTGTCACGCCTGGCGCTATCCGTATCTGACGGCAAAAAAGCATAGGATGTTATAAATTTTTCAATTCTCCTTTTTTTCAGGCATATCCTGGGATTCGAACCCGCACTATCGCCCTCCATGCATTCCCCCATACACTTCGCATTCATACCCATTCTTCCAAGTTGCGTTACGTTACTATCTAGCGTTTGAAAGCCCTATTTGAATATTGCGGGAAGCTGTATGTGGCCAGCTGTGTTTGATGGTACGGTACGGTACGGGAGACGGTGTCGTATTACCCTCGATCGTACCTGTCCCGTCCCTATCCCCTACCGTACCGTGCCATCAAAGACGGCTGGCCACAATGCATATAACTCAAATAGGGCTTTCAAATGCAAGATCACAATGTGAAACAACTTGGAAGAATTAGTATGTATGCGAAGTGCATCGGGGGATGAATCCAGGGCGCGCGATAGTGCGGGTTCGAATCCCAGGTTATGTCTAAAAAAAAGGAATTTTTTAAAGAATTTATAACATCCCTATGCTTTTTTTTTGTCTAGGTCATCAAGGCAAAAAAGCATAGCGTAGGGCCCTGAGCTTCCAAGCTCTCTCGTTTACAAGTCGTGTGTATCGAGAAACAGAACTTCGTTCGGATGGTGGCCATGACAGAAAATACATGTTACAGTATCTGCCCTATAGAATTTTTAGCCCGAGAAGAGATGGTGTGGCGGGCATTCGTGCGAGGGTCCATTGACACTCACAGCAGCAGTGAATAATGTAACTAGAGGGTAACAGGGGTAGCGCTAGATACATGGTTGTTTACATCATTCGTCAACGTTATCATGGTATGTCAAAACGCTGTGTGTGTGTGTCTCGGGGGAACGGACATGTAACTGGTGTTTTGGCATAATGTAAATGTGACAGGGTACCCAAAAATATTACTCCACAACTGTGGTCTAGACCGTGCCATCAGAGATCGGCGTACAGTCCTGGGTTTGATAAACAGTTTCGCCTTTGACTCTTGGGAAGGATGTGGATCCGCCACGACATTGAATTGAACAGGTTACAGTGTTTCAGGATTAACATGCGTTACGATACGACATTCTGCTTTGGTTTTACCCTAGAGATGGAACAGAAACAATCCGAATGATGCCTAAATTTAACCTTGATTCGGCACGACAGGGTGAGAATGAATGTGCCACCAGAAAACTGCAAATATGTATGCGCATCACTATGTACTGTAGGCGATCATGAAATTGCAGCAGCTCACACATTCGGCATGTGAATGTTTGACTCAATGGCAGTAGTTGGTTACAGGCGTACAAGCTGTCCTAGAATTTGCTGCGTGCGTTTGGGTAACGCAGCATAGGCTCTCTACCTCCACGATTCACTGAGCACTCAGGCGATCAACTCGAGAGCGACACTGACGAGTGCGAGCTCGGAGCTTGGACTGGTTATAAAAGGGCACCGAGTTTGGCTAGTAAAGTCAGTTGCTCAGAGAGTCGGTGTTCAGTCTTCAATTGTTGTCTCAAAAAGAAAGTCCATTTCAGTGGTGGCAAAATGGCTGCCACACTATTTGCAATGTTTGCTATTGTGCTGACAATGTGCCTAGTCGGTCCTCAAGCTGTGATGTCCTCAGTTTGCCGTAAGTGTTAGGAATTGCAACTATATGTAGTATTAGATTATAAGCAGGATAATGATGAGTCAGAATGTGCAAAAAATTAGCACAAGATGACTGATGTGATACTGACATTCAATGACCTGATGCTTAGTTGCATCACGTTATAATCGTTATTTTTGGACGAAGCGGGTAACTAACTCGTAAACTTATGGTCCTCTTTAAAAAGAAACTAATCCTTGACTCTCCGTCCGAGTCAAGTATCATAATATCCAGTATTTCCTTTACTCTCTGACTACATTGCGTGTCCATCGCTGCGCTAGTTTGATCTGCATGGTCGTACAATGATATTCTTGACAGAGGCTGTGTAGTACATTGGTGACAAACCTGCATGCTTCTACTTGCAAGTAGCACTATAGCCAGGCAGTGAAGTTTATTCAACGTCTGTGATGTTACTGGCTCTATGTGCGGAAGGGAATGTCTCACAGCCTAGCAAATATAGATGACTTTAGTTTGTTTCCTCAAAACTCTCCAACTCCACTACTGCGCCGTATATCCACTTGTGAACATCTCCATCCCCGAACAGGCGGCTCAGCTGAATGACAACAATAGTATTAGATTTACTGCCAGTATTTGGCCCATTGGGCATCATCGGGGCAATGTGCACTGATGGAGATGTTCACGCTAGTTAGTAATCATTATTGTAGTTGAAGATTTATAGAATATTCCTCAAGGTTGAAGTATCTGCCGCAGACCCCTGATGGGCGCTTTGAAGTGCCTTGCTTACAGATTCAACATCAGCTGTACGCTGCATTGATTGCGCAGTGGCACGCAAAGTTGTGATTTGCGAGGAATTCAGGGTGTTAGGCTGCGTCTAAAAGTCCTGAATGTTGGTCCAAGAGCGTGACCAAATATATTGCCACCAACTGCTTTATAAAATTACCACCTGGTGGTAGGGGTTACCACCCCCGTGATGCTACTTATCCCTATGTTTCATTGGTTCTGGTTACTTGTAATTCATTTGAAGAGGATGCCCGAAAACTGGTGCATGAACTACTTCCGAGTCCTTATTGATGATGATAATGAAGAATACTTGAGATTTGTAGTTTTTCGTTCCCTGGCTAACTTCTTTCGTTTTCGTTTTTTTGTGTCTTTCTGTGCTTGTGTAGATGGTGGGAACTGTAGAAAGGCAACGTGCGCAGACATGCCGAATGCTCGAGGTGAGTAAACAAGCACGGCAACATACTGATTCACATCCAACTGAAGACTGGTGAAGCGATAGTGTACAAAGTCATGTACAACCTATCACTTGAAGGACAGCTGGTTCGCCCCTCTAGAGCGCAGAGGCAGGCAAACGTAGCGAGCCGGAATACAAGACTGCAAATGTCAAGTATTTTCAGTCCTAATGCGGCTGAATGATACATGCTTTTCAGGTATTATGAAATGAAAGAAGTGCCTGCATTATTTCGGCTTCAATGGCAGTATTGCCCGACATTCTGTATGCTTGCGTAGCAGTGATAGCGTATTAGCTACCGTTCTGGAAACCACTTTCTCCTTCTAACACAAGATTTTCTCCTGCTTTCGATGAGAAAAATGGTAGTTGTTCAATGTCCACCCATTCCCTGAACACCAAATTCTGAAATCTGAAGATCAATCTATGCCCATGCTCACATGGAAGTCGCTTCTTGTTCTCTGATACCCTTGCAGGTGTGGTCCTAGTTACGGGAGATCATGGACGAGTAGAAAGGGTGAGTGAGTGTTGATGCTGCTAACAATGTGGCGTCCGTTGACCTATGGACTCGTTCTCGTAATGAGGCATCCGGGCCTAACCTATCAGCCTGTAGATTGCTGCTATGCATTCTAATCTTCTTTCTATCGACCTTTGCTTATCTGGTACGTCTTCGTGTGTGTAGTTGTGTGGGTCAGGTGTGTGTGTGTGTGTGTGTGTGTGTGTGTGTGAGGGGGGGGGGGGGGGTGTTGAAAAGACCAGTGACCTGACTGTTGGTGATTGACTTAGATCTTGAATTGGTTTCAGTAGAGTCTGCGCAATCTGAAAAAGGGAGAGGCACAATTATCTGATCTACTCACGCCTCCCACCGCTTCAGGCGCTGCATCTTCGACTTTGCGATGGTGGCGTTCCAACGGATGCGGAAAACTCACTGAGTGTAGCATTAACCGTTTTAACAAACATTATAAATGTGGACCCTTGGGAAAATTGGCGAATTATTTGAGGAAAGTGAAAACGCTTAAATTAAAAAAATAATAATTTAAAATGTGATGGCAGCTTAGACCACATGCAAGTCTGTGTACATGCGGTGAGTTTGCTTTTCTCATTCCGTTTCTCCGGTACACGTCATTCTAAAACTCAATTCTTTCCGCGCCTCTATTTAGCTCCCGAAAATCCTCAAATAAATTGGACGACGAAACACAATTGCTCCTCTAATGATGTCTTGCGTAATCGTGTTCTCTATTTTCAGTTGAATTGCGTTCCAACGCAGAACTGGCAACGCGTGATTTCGATCAATCCTCTGTCGCCGGGTGGCTGCGGAGGCAACTTGGTCTCAGGAACAAAGTCAGACAGGTTTGGAAGGCAAAGGACTCTGTGCACACGTAGGATCGGATCCCGTGGATGTGCTGAAATCACTGTTAATCCGTCTTCAGCTTATCGCTACGTCAAGGGTCGCATCACCGGCTTTCAGGTAGGGGTAGCATTGTACGGAATCTGTCCATTTTTATATATTTTGTTTTACTATTGACACAGCCCTACTGGAAAACAGAAGGAGAACAAAAAAAACGAGGAAAAGGACAAAACAAAGGGGATGTAGGGACTCCTGCTTTTGATCTTGCCATGCTGAAAACTGACTTCATCTCCCGGCAGCTAACTGTTCGACCTTGTTTGTTACGTCTCATCCGCGCATCTCAGAGGGACTGTGCGAACGGAACGCAATTATATTCTGGCTTACCAGAGAGCACTCATACACCGGCTCAAAGGATGTGATGTAAACTTATGGGGATGGGTTGAAGCGCGTAGAGTGGTATACTGAGCGGCTGGGAATGGGACGGCTCACCCCAGCGACACGAATGCTCCTGGCATAACGGCTCATCATAATAATGCCAGCACACCAAGGGATTGTTTTTGTTGTTCGGCTATACATGTTTTTCTGGGGTTTGCACTTGTATTGTATTTCTATCCTTTGTGTGTATTTCTATCCTTTGTGCGAATTTTGCCCGTAAAAGAGGCTAGACCCTACAGTCCATTCATCGGAAACAGTCCCGCTGGCTTTTGAAAGTCGGATTTGGGCCGAATTGAGGATCAAACCCACTTTAAAGCTCAAAAATCTGGGTTTTGGATCTGCTTCTCCATACATTTTGCCAGGGCATACCTGTCCTAATTTTGCAAAACCTGGCTGAATTTCTATTTCCCTGTTCTTGGATTTTTGTGGCCTCAAATGTGGCAAGGAGTAATTGCACGGGTCACACTATGCAGGATGTAATGTTGTTTTCATGATATCTACAACTATGTGCGGGAGACATCAAAAAGTTAGGGTGCCAGTTTCCAATGAATGGACTGTAGTGCAACAAAGGAGAGGTGGTTGTTGAAGGACCATATCAATGTCCGATGGAGCAACATAGTGGGAAGTAGTAGCCGGAGTGTTTGCCTTGAGTAAGCCCCCCCCCCCCCCCATCGCTATGGGACTACGTTGGAGTGACATCATTTCACCACGTCATCCCATTGGTTACTCGCCGAGCTACTGTGTAAAGTCTGGCTTTCGCAGAAATATCCACAATAGAAAAGAATAAAAACTCGAATGTTGAGCCAATAGTAATAATTATGGAAAGAGAAAAGGACCTATAATTATTGTTATCAACAGCTCGATAGGCACATTGCCTTTGGGTCATTTCATAATAATATTAATAATAATAATTAAAAAAAACAGTCCACTTCACAGAAAAGACAATCTCACCCGTGGCATGGAGAAGTGAATTATGACCATTCCTGAACACATGTATCACTATCTTCCAATCTCTTTTGCTCTTTTTCTATTGCAGTACAACACTCCGGATGGTTTCCCCTGGAACTTCAAGAGCCTGACAGAGTCGTACGTCGACGGAGTATCCATCACCCAAGTATCCCCATGGAATCAGCGAAAGCACATTTATACATATGCAGTGGCATTCGGTGAGGGTCTTCATGGCCCACACTGTCCCTGCAATTCCTATAGTACTTGGAATCCTCAACCCCAGTTCTTTGTGGGTAGAAACTATACATGCGCCGAGTTCCCGCGTTTGAACAACCTCCACCTGTGGCATTTCGACCCGCAGGACCATCTGTTTGAAGGCGGCTACAGCTGCGGTCCAGACGGCAGCCGAACCGGCCGCGCACCCGAGTTTGAGGTGGACACTGGACGCAGCTCGACCGATCCTATCAGCCTGCGTCTTTGCATGGATAATAATTATCTGGACGAAGATATTGGTCTTGACTTCGGCGAGATATACGTCAGCGCGTAGGTTTTTGCAGACTGTCGTGACGTCTTCGTTCCACGACACAGCCCTGCATGCACTGACATCTATTGTACACCAGTAGCTGATACCATTATGGTGCAACACACCTCACTATACGTATCTAGATTATTGTACTCATGCTCAGCAAAATTCCTTTCATCATCAACTCCTCCCCACCTACATTGTAGCTCTCCCACTATTCCCCCCCCCCCTCCCTCTCTCTCTTTCTTCCACAGCGGCCAAACATCACTATCCCTGCATTGCATTAGCGCAATCGAATGCTGTTGCTGTCATTACATGCGACCATGGGTGATTGAATCATTCATTTTTTGGCCCTGTCATTACAATCATGTAAAATAGATCAAAACAATTTGCATTTCCGACGCAATTCTCGTACAATATCCTGCTTGTTCTATTTTTACCTTCTCTTTCAGCGCACATGGAATGAAAATTTTGATAATGAAAATTTGAACTCTGTGGAAGCGCCAGCTGGACATGTTGACGCCCCAGTATCCTCCAAGATCCTCGTTAGTGCGATGAAACATCGGGGTACTCATGCTACAGACGGAACGCTGAGTGGCGGTTCAGAAAAGTTGGTTTTCTATTTTGGTTATTTATTTGGGAAATTTTCTAGTATGTTTCTGGCATGTCTGGTAAGTGGATAAAGAAATGGAGCAGAATTCAAGGTAGTGCCCGCCATATGGTTAATTTCAATAATTTGTATGGTTCTGCCAATTTCACGGCTTTTCAAGGCAAATCTGCCAATTTTTCCAAATTCATCTGCAAAGGCAAGGGCTAGTGTAGCAGGCCTGAGATAAGTCGCAACACTATAATTATTTCATACCGCCTGGGTCTTCTGCCCAGTCCCATAATTGAATTTGCACTACTGTACAATAGGCATTGGCGGATAATGCTCGAAAAGGTGGCAGATTCTGCTCGAAAAGCAGTGAATTTAATTGGCAGAACCATACAAACCTTATGGCGGGCAATTCCTCGAATTCTGCTCCATTTCTTTATCCACATACCAAATATGCATGAAACTTACCAGAAAAAGTACCGAATTCTGCCAATTTTTCTGCCGGCATCATGCGCAAAAGTTTAGTGCTGTACAATGTAGACGTTCTACATGACATTGTAATACAATCAGGAAGGCTGTAGCTCGCTAATCCGTGGATTGAGAGACGGGAGGGATGGATAGGCGGGGAGGGGTTGAGAGGTTCTAGAACCCCTGCGACCGGGGACCGTTTCAGTTCGCAAAATATTTGAAGTCAAAAGAATGAAAAGATGAACAGAGGAGTTTCAAAGCATGCTCGCGCTCAGGATCACTGCAGTTGCACCAAAGTCACCCGTGCAGCACGTGGAAAAGACGGAGCAAGCCGAAATCAGTTTTTGATGTTTGTTCTCCAGGCCATTCTGCAGTGACAGCTTGGGCAGCTAGCTACCGACAAGTGAGACGCCTCATGAGAGATGCTGTAGAGTGAGGGTAGAACTGAGTAGCTGCACTCTCCCGTGAATACGTCAACGTAGGCAACACCACATAACCTAGGTAGGACTTGTTGGTGCTTGGAGCATGTCGCGGAAGGCTGGCTTGGCAGTCAGCAAATAATTCTTGTACTCTTGCAACGATTGAGTGGGATTTGAAGCGGCCCTCCTCCTCGACACGGTCAGCATTGCATTCGAAGAGAAGTTCGCTAAAAGTTCTAGTCGCCGTTCGATGTTTTCCTCCTGGGAAAGGTATTGTAATCGTTGTACTTGAACTAAAGTTTTACAGAATAAATCTTGTGTAATGGCACTGAACTTTTTTTTCTTTCTTTCTCCTGGACATAAATCAGCCTTTTGTACGAGCAAAACCAAAAATAACTCTGAACTACGTTCGTCGTAATTAGATACAGTACTAAGTGTTTACAGTGGGGCTGCATGACATCGATTCTCTGTAAGAGTGTTCAACACTTGTGACTTGGAGACTGATCCACATCTTTCGAAGCTCGCATCCCTTGCAGCCCAGGCTGGTGGACCGCATGGCCTAAACAATACTCACGCACTTCGAGTGTCCTGGGAACATGAGTAAGTGTGTGCTGGGAAAGGGGTGGGGGGGGGGGGGATGACAACAGGAGGATCAATTCATGAAGCGTGCAGTACGTTCTGACGTGCAAAACACGCCCGCCATGTGGCCCATACCGGTATGTGTATGCGTGTGTGTGTGTGTGTGCACGCGCGTGCCATTGCATTTGGAAGTGGGACTGTTTCGGCTCCACAGTCCAGTGTGTCGTTACTATAACAGCTTTCATGGCTGAGGCTGTTGGTTCATTGCGCGAAATCACGCGACACCTGTACATTTTCAATCTGCGGGATGAAGATGACGACGTCCATGCATCAGGTATCAGGGGGTAGTAAGATACTGGTATATTACTACTCCACGCCTCAAATCGTGCTGTCAAGCGTATGCGGGGGAGTGTAGCATGCCATCCCTTACACTTTCCAGCTCAGGGTTACCCTCGCTACCAATGGACGAAATTTCAGAGTCACAGCTTGCGCAACGGCTTTGTCCTGTGCGAATGGCCACTCGACATACTCAGCACAAATTTTCTATTGCATGCATGCACAAAATGTTCAACTTTCGTATTTTTGGCGACTTTGACACCGTCGTGGAGGCTGGTTGGTGAGGAGCAGGTAGCCATCCCTTGTGGAATCAAACACATGGTTCCACAGTGTGGCTGATTCCGCAAGAGCCAGGTCCATACGAGGAACATTCGCTTTGTCTTTTGCCATCGAAGTAAGTCACTTTTCTTGTTCTCAGTGTTTTTTACGTTCAACGTTTCTGAGATTTTTGAATTATTCACTTTTCATTCTTTAATACTTTATTTCTTCATGTTCACTGCATTACTTGCCTTCTGATCTGGAGAATGTGACGGAGGTGACTGTTGGTTACTGCCTGGTATAACGATTGTCGTGCTGTTGCTGTATTTCCGTCCTGCACGCGACGTTGTAGATCACAAACAATTTGAAATCACATGAATTGTACTTACCGTCGTGCGTGCGGTATTAGGAAACACTGTGCAGATTAGATCGTCGCAATGTATCTATATGTGTGTCTGGTCATCCTGTGCCACGCAAGAACTCCAACCAGACGCATTCGTCCTCGGCCCTGTTGATCGATTGTCCACTCGTCTTTCCTTGAAGAACGATCGATCAAAAAAAAAATCGAGTTCGAGGACTTTTTGCAAAAAAACGGCTGAAAAAAGGAAGAAAAAAGGGTGCTCAGAATGAGATTCGAGTACACAACCATGGTCCCAGCAGTTTATGTGGATGTCGCTCATAGATGCGCGATTTCGCGCAATGTGTCTGTTGGCCCTGTTGTCTGTTGGCTCTAGGTTCCCAGTCGACCATGTGATGTAAACCAGGTGTGCATTGTGTGTGTGTGTGGGAGGGGGATTCATATGGCTTTGCCAGTTTGTGTGGATTAGACAGTTATTTTGCTGCTGGTCTTGATCTGTTTCAATCAGATTCAGATCTGCTATCGTGGCTATGAAAAAATCTGCGGGTGCACATCGGTGCATTTTCAGATTTGCGTGCTTCTCTTGCGACGGGCAAATACATGGTACATGGTGTGTGTGTGTGTGTGTGTGTGTGTATGTGTGCGTGTGTGTGTATGTAAAAAAAATTTCGCGGAGAGGAAGCAGATTTGTTAGCTCCTGGTTTTCTCTTTGTTGGCCTCCTCCACGGGGCGGCCTTGGCCTTCTGGTCAGGGTCGTCCCTGGGTATTGAGTGGCAGTAGGCTTTTCATGCCCTGCAGCCGGTTTCGCTCGCGCGGAAGGACATTCAGTGAGCTGACGACCAGGGCGGGTAATTATTTGTTGCCGTCACCGTCTTCTTGCGTCCTTTCCGCATCCTCCGCAGTGGCGTGGCGAGCCCTCGGATCGATCCCCAGCCTGAAACAATGCAGTGGCGTTCGGCAAAGCAAGTGGATTCCTGAAGGAACAGGTCACACTCGCAGCAATATATTCCTGCGCGATGTATAGCTGGAATTGTGGATTTCTCGTGTTGTTTGGACCTGAGTGGCCAGTCGTCGTGCGGCGATGGTGTAGTGATGTTAGCTTGCTGTGCACACTCCTCGTCGTTTCGTGAAAGTTCGTCTTGTGGAACCCTTGTGGGACGTTCGGTTCCCACCCTCCAGTTCAAGATTGTGCTTTCCTGGTTTATGAAGGCCGAAGCAGTACGCGTACAGACGTTGAACAGAACATCATGTTCCTTTTTCAGTCGTTGCATGTTATAGTGGACCTACAGCAGACTGTTCATCTGGTTTGTGATATTTCTTTCCTCTGTTTGTGAGTTCTTTTCCATCAATATGGCAGCTTGTTTTGATTTCCTTTTTTTTCAATTCATTTTGCTGTACTTCCTGTTTTGTTTTGCGCCACTGCCCCTCACCTTGCGCTCAGTTCTCTGAGTGGAGGGCGGCGTGACCCCACGGGGTAGCTGATTGATAGTAGTAGTAGTAGTAGTGTGTGTATGTGTGTGTGTGTGTGTGTGTGTGTGTGTGTGCAGGGTTCATATACTTGCTTTTTGAAGCATAACGTTACATGGCTGTTAACCATGGACTGCTTCTGTTAACTCTTGTATAATCAATTGTGCTGGTGAAGATCAGATCCACTCTGATTTAGCCACCCACACCAGTAGCAAGTGTTACCTTCGCTGTGGGCAGGGGTAACTGCAGTTAGGTCCCAGGACGGATACCCTGATGCCGTCAATCCTTTTTCTGTACCTTGTCCTCACCCACTTACTGAGGTGTGGTGAGCCAATCAGTGGGAACATTATCAAGTCCACTCAGAGTTTTAGGGATTTCAAGGGGTGTCGGCCGTTGGGCGGTTCAATAGCCAATTGAGTCATCTTTCCAAGATCCCTTTTGAGTCTCTCCCCTCTCTCGGGGAGACCCACATGACCAGTTTTGGCAGTGAGCAACATGTGCAAGTGTGTGTTTGTGTGTGTGTGTGTGTGTGTGTGTGTGTGTATGTGTATGTGTGTGTGTGTGTATGTGTGTGTGTGTGTATGTGTGTGTGTCCCATATGGTGCAGTGGTATGTGCAGTCGATTTCCAATCGAGAGGTTGCGGGTTCAATTCCCGACGATTATGGTCGCACATGTCTTTCTTCTCTTTCTCAGACTCTTCCTGACTTTTCTTTCATTCTCCTGGGTGGTTACCAACAGCCAGTGTATGCCGGAGTATGTGGTGTGGTGTGTGTGTGTGTAGAAAAAATGGAAAAATGAAAAAACAGGGATTCACTGGCCAGAAAAAGTCACTTCAAACAGCTGTGTGGTGGATACCAGGCTAAAAATAGTGGCGGTCAATTCATCAGCCTTGCAAGCTGTTGAATGGTGTAATCCCAGCACAAGTTGCTATGTCTAACATAGCTGTTCGCTATCATCGCTTCCGCGATGGGCACGTCTGAGGTCTGAGGTATGTGTGTGTGTGTGTGTGTGTGTGTGTGTGTGTGTGTGTGTGTGTGTGTGTGTGTGTGTGTGTGTGTGTGTGTGTAAAACTAAATTCATGCCTATGGGCGTTGGTGTGGTGGCGTCGGATATGTTGCCTTTGGGTGGAACCGTCGAATGCGTGGACAGCTTTCGCTATCTTGGCTGCCAGATCACTCCTGATGCTAGGAGTACCTTTGATGTCTCTCGCAGGATCGCCGCAGCTTCGGGTGCATTTGGCGCCTTGAAGAAGGCTGTGTTTGCGAACCCCGAGTTTCCTATCGGTTTCAAGCGTGTTGTGTACGGAGTCACTGTGTTGGCGCTACTCCTCTATGGTGCTGAGAACTGAACACCGAGGCAACGGGATCTCCAGCGTCTGGAGTCGTTCCACCTGCAATCTATACACATGATCCTGGGCATCAGTCGGGCGCGCCAGATGGACGAGCACTTGACAACCCTTCAGGTACGGCAGTGGTGGAGAGACATGGAGCAGGTCTCTGACAAGGTCCGGCGGCGTCGTCTCCAATGGCTGGGCCACCTGGCTCGCATGGATGACCGTATTCCCCGCCAATTGCTCTTTGGTGCCTTGCCGTCTAAACGACCTCCACATGGCCTCCGGAAGAGGTGGAAAGACCCAGTCAAACATGACCTGGCGGCGGTGTCCATTGGCATGAATGAGTGGTTTGACACAGCAGATGATAGGTCTGAGTGGAGAACCAGGTGTCAGGATGGAGTCTACAGTGTGGTAGGCTCTCGTGTACAACCTGCCGTGAAACCACTCCTGTGTATGGTCTGCACACGCCGTTTCAGCCGTCCTCAAGACATCGCTAAACATAGTTGCACCTCCCGTCGCTCTGCAAAAGCAAAAAAACAAACAGTGAAACAGCCGTTCACGTCCCGCCAGACTCGCAGGCCCTCATGCCGCGTCCCGAAGACAGCACTCCTTCAAGTCGCCCCGTTTGGGAACACATAGCCAATCCTGGCAGTGGGCGAAGGAAGGTGTGTGTGTGTGTGTGTGTATGTGTGTGTGTGTGTGTGTGTGCGCGTGCGCGTGTGCGTGTGCGTGTGTGTGTGTGTGTGTGTGTGTGTGTGTGTGTGTGTGTGTGTGTGCGTGTGCACTGGTAACAAGTATCACCTTCACTGGGGGCAGGGTTAAGTGCAGTTGGAACCCCAGACGGATATCCTGATGCCGTCAATCCTGTTTCTAAACCTTGTCCTTACCCACTTACTGCAGTGTGTTGAGCTCATAAGTGGAATCATTTCCAAGTCCACACAACATTTGGGGATTTCGGGAGGGGGGGGGGGGGGGCTGTTGGCCAGTTCAGTAGCCGATTTAGCCATCTTTCCAGGATTCCTTTTGAATCTCTCTCCCTCTCCCGGGGAGACCCACGTGACCAGTTTTGGCAGTGAGCAACTACAAGTCCAACGTGTGTGCGTGTGTGTGTGTGTGTGTGTGTGTGTGTGTGTGGTGTGTGTGCGTTGTGTGTGTGTGTGGGGGGGGGGGGTATGTGTACTCCCTGTAGACATCGGTGGGCTTCTGCGGTGCCATCGTCTTCGCTGGCTTGGTCACATTGCCAGGATGGATTCCAGCTGTCTTCCCAAGCCAGTCCTCTTCGGGGAACTTTCGTCGCTCAGCCCCAGTCATTGGCCCAGAGGAAGAGATGGCGTGAGGTGGCTAGATCTGACCTGGCCGTAAGTCAACCGATCCAAGCGTTCACGCCATAGCGTCACACCTGACCGGGACCAGAGTGCCACCACCACTGGATCCAAGCAACGGAAAAAATGGAAACGAAAATCTCCTGAGAGTGGCCAACAAGTCCTGCAGTAAGTCACTTCAGAAACCTACCGCTTTGATACACATTTACCTTTCATTTTTGCACACATGCCTAGTTCTGCTATTCATCACAATACTGGTAAATGTTCACTCAGACTACTTTGCACCAATGCATTTAGCTTAGGTAACAAGCTACCTGAGTTCCAGCACACACTGCACCAGCATAATCCCGACATAGCAGTAGTGACGGAAACAAAGTTTGCCCCTGAAACTGTTCCACCATCTGACTCCACATTTGGCGGGGATCCCGGAAATTGACTGGTATGATGTAGCACAAGACAGGGGAGAGTGGAGGAAGTTGTCTCGTTGTCCTCGTCCTCCTCCGCCAGAGCCAGCGAAGAGTTTTCAGTGCATGTGTGTACAAACATATCGCCGGGCGGGTGACTTGAATTGTCACTCGCCATATTGCTCAGCTCGCACACTGTCATCGCCCTAGCAATATGCGTCCAAGGTCCAAGGTGTGTTTGTGTTTTGTATTTCCCACTGATTCAATAAATTCCCCTTCCATCCTTCCTTGCTGCATATCTTCACAACATGAATAAGGCTGCGTTCGTTTTAAGCTACCTGGTAGAGTAGAGTAGAGTCACCCTACCGATAGAGGTAGAAGGTAGAGGTAAGTGGCTGAACGCTGTCTTACAGAATTTAGTAGTTTTTCACGATATGCACGTGAAGTTTTTCTCTTCTGTATGGAGTAGTGTGCAACTCCTTGATGTTTCTGGAAGTCCCATAGCTCTACCGACTTCTACCAGCTTGAACCTGGTAGAGTCGGCGGAGAAAGGTAGAATCTACTTTTTTTAGTAGGAAAAACGAACGCATCTACCGAAAGAAGTAGTTCTAGTAACTTTCTACCCAAACCTGTAGGGTCGAAAACGAACGCCCCTAAAATGCACAATACCGCATGCAGGCGTGCTGAAAATTTCCTTCTGAGAATTTTCCAAGCGAGTGTAGCGCTAATGTGGGTTTTTATTATTTTTTTATTTTTTTATTTTTTACAGAATACACCTCCTACTGATAGACCATAACAAAGAGAGGAGAAGAAGAATACAAAAGAAAATAATGATCGAGACAACAAAGGAGTCCATGGTGCGCTATCCAGCGCACCACCATGGACGGGATTACGAAACACATGTAAATAGATACATGTAAGTGAGGGGGAGGGAGGTGATTGGGGTGTTACAGTGAGTCTGTAGCCCAATACCAGCGGCTTTGTCGTGCACCCCCTTACAATTTTGACCTAGGTTCAGCATGCACATTATGACCATGAATGACATGCACCAGCCATCCTACACATACATTGTATGCGGTCATGCACCCCCCCCCCCTGAAAGGGGGACCAGCTACTCCCCTGCATAGACTTTCTAGTAACTATTTTCCGTATGAAGCCCCCGCCCCAATACTGTAGGTGATTTCTGGTCAAATTGATCGACTAACAAGGCCTACTAGTATTATCTTGCTCTGGTTTGCTCTGCCACAGTGCATGGTGTTTCTATACTTAGTTGGCTTGTAAGCATGCAGCGCATAGCATCAAGTTGACCTCACTCTTTATCTTTGTCAGGAATAGATTGTCTACGTGAAATTGTACCGACTACCGACTTTTTGCAACTTTCTGTTTGAGACTGCCAAGAGACTGCCCACAAAGTCTTCCCCTCAGCTCCATCACTGACATGTATTTTACAAGCATGGGTATCGGCAATGCCCCCACCCCCAATAAGGTCTACGTACTTTCTCTACGCAGATGTCCTGGTTGAGTAGTGTACCCATTCAAAGTTCATATTTAAGCCGCGACACGACAAAAGGGTGCTTATGGCACGCGACATCAAACTGAGAAAAACTCGTTCAAAAGTTGAGTATGCAATATTGAGAGTGCACATTTTCGTTTTGAATTCGATTAATTTTCGTTGCGATTTATCAAGCTTTTTGAATGCGGTTTTTTGCAGCAGAAGCAGTGAGAATTCAGCCCTTGCGCTGTGTCCATAACTCAGTTTGTGAAATTTTTGTCATAAGCACCCTTTTGTCATGGTTGTCATTCTTCATTGGCATGGCTCTGGGCATGTGAGAGATAGAGAGTAGTTTAAACTTGAATGCGAATGCTAAGGTGTCGCGAAATGTTTTCTCATGACCAAAGACACTCTGCAGTATCCTATTGCCAGCAGACTATGAGTAGCAGATCTACTGGATTCAAAGGAAACACATTTTAAAATTCATGCACAAGAAAAAGAGGAACATTTGTGAAAAATCAATACTGAGCAATGACACAATCGGGTGTAGGGAGGCACACCATTCTAGGATTAAATTGCTATTCTGCAAGGAATGGGAATTGTAAAGACACATAATATCTAAGCTGTAAAAGTTGTACGAGCTGGTGCAGCCTGCTTGAGATTCTTATAATGTGAGCATTGGTCGAGACTCTCCAAAGCTTGGCTTTGTAGCAAAGTTGAGCAAAATGAGTGCTATCAGGACAAGAGCATGCATTGGTATGTGTTGTTCCACTGATATGAGAAATACAAGTACGCTTGATTAGTACATTACTCCCATTAAAGGAAGAGTGAATTCATATGTTCCCAGATTACTATCCACTCGTACACGCTCAGCGAACATAGATCTCTGCATCGTCTATGCCGATCCTTTCAACGGCTTCATCCGTGCAAGGAGTAACCCTGATCGGATTGCCACGTTCAATGCCAAATCCTGGCGGTGCCGCCACCTTGAACCACGCACCGCTGTCGTCACCCGGACAAAGCGTCGAGTCTTCCCAGAGATGGTCTGACATTTGCCAGCCTGGGTTTCCGGATCTCATTGCCGTACATGTGTAGTTTCTTCCGACGAACTCCGGAGGTGCTGTACCCCCATGGCAAGGGCACCGTCCCATGTTGTTGACGACTGGGGGAAGGCCCACTGCATACGTGAAGACGTGAGTATCTAGGTATCCTGCCGTGATGGTTATGCCGTCAGCAAAGCACTGCTTGTCCGTCTTCCCGGCCGAGTCCCGGAACGCATCCACAGTCCCTTGCTGTGCAATGAAAACAGTGAGGAACATTACCAATTTGCCATACTGAGCTACGCCCTGGTCACTGATCTCAAGAAATAAAGTTCACTATAGAACTGGCAAATTGGATGTCAGTTTGTTCTGTTTCTTCCCTTTTGGAACACTTACAATGAAACCTGTCTAAGGCGACCGGTCATGTGACCTTCAAAATGTGGTCGCTGTGTACAGGTGGTCTCCTCACCCACACTGCATGGGTAATGTGTCACTTACCCTGTATGCTTTCACGTAGCCGCTGATTTCGGTGTAAGGGATATAGTCCGGCGCCAGGAATCCGGAGACTCCCGGTTCCAGAAAGTTGTTTCTTGCCGGTCGAGTACACATGGCCTTTCCCTCGACCTCGATGTATTCCATCTGCAGAGGGCAGTCCTTGTGGGTTTCCGGATGGATTCTACCCACTCGAGTCCAGCCACCGCCATACTTTCCCTCCATCTTACAGTACACCTGAAGGACAAGAGAAAACAAAAGATTATCCTTGGTCGAAGATCAGCCCGCCGCTTTGTAACATGCTGAAACAATATACACAGTTCGCATATACATGTAGGCCAAATGAAAAATAGATGGGGTTAACGCATCTGTCTGCAGGAGTTAGGTGAAACATTCGAATCTGACGTACAGTTGATAGTGGTTAGTAGTAGGGGCTACCTGGACAGATTCAGGGGACATGGGAAGGTTGAAATGCAGTAAAATCAAACTTGAATATGCTGAAAGACCAGGACCAAAGAGAGTGAGTAGTGAACATCCGCCTAGATTATTTTCTCGATTTAACATCGACCTGAGAGGCAGAATACGTACCCGCCTCAGTCCTTCACCTGATGACCGCAGAGAGTAATACCCTGCAACGAGTGAGGCACATAGAACGGAACATGGTCGTATTGAATGCACGCACAGTCTAGGCAGTTCAGAAGAGATATTCATGATCAGGAATCTTAACTACTTGTACCTAGCATTGAACAGAACAATGATCTGGCCGTCATACCTACCAGTTCAGATTTACAGTGTCTTCGAATGGTTTGTGGTACCCATATCCTTTCCACAGTTGGGACTGTATGAGTCCTCAAGTTCTCTACTAGGTTGAGCAACAAATGTCATGCCGTACATGTACATGACAATGTTAGTCCTGCTGAGAGGTGCATTTGCCTCTGAAGACACCGGATTCTAGAGAGCAGCACAATGCTATCAGGTATGTTATAAAAAATACTGCAAGTGCAATACCTGATGGGAGGTCTCCCTCTTGGTCGTGCAGCTGCTTGCAGTCACGTGCCTCATACACCGCCTCGCCAAGCTGTGTGAAGCAAAACGAAATGAGACAAGATGCACACAGAGACGTTATGCAATCTGATAGGTATTGTTTTTTTATACTTCAAAACACTGCCCCACCGGGAAAGGGGAACGGGAAAACTTGAAAAGGACAATAGAGAACAATTAAGTGCTGTGGGAGTATAGAAGAGCTATGCTTATCGTGAACAAGCGTTTCAGAGACAGCAACTTTATTATGGCAATCAAGAGTACTAACTGTGCCGTAACCATGCCTTATTACGATAGTAACAAACATGCGAGAGAAATGTGAATGTGAAATGTACACGTGAAAAGAAGAAGAATGATACCAGCCAGATTGTACTTTGCGTGATTATAGTACATGTACATGTATATATTCTTTTCTGCGTTGATGAGCCGAGACGAGTACGTGCACAGTCATGTACCATGTGGGAAGTTCAATCCGACACCAGCTCGGTGCGCTCACACCAACGGTACTCGTATCCAGCACGCAAAATACAATCTGTTTGGTATCATTTCCACAATTGAAGGCTCTGTTTTTGGGGAGCATGAAACGGTAAGATTCCAACTCTTTCTTTGCAAGGTTTTGAATCATTTTCAGCTGATCAGCATGCTTGCGAGTGTGCCTACACTCTTCTGCTGTTGCTAGGTTCGGATGACAGGCCCATTGAAAACGGAAGTGCTGATCATGTGTACACAAAAATAAAACGCTGCGAGCGGCGCCGATTGTCCAAATTAATAAATTAGTGTATACAATAAAAAAGATGCTATTATTTAAACCATGTCCATTCACATAAATTTGGAAGGTGTGTGCGGACGGTAGGCCTACAAGCTGTACCACTAGCAGGTACTTTCCACATGCATGTACATGACACACGTACATGTACATGTACCGTACACTAGAACTGTTTCTCGTGTACTAGAGAGTGTGGGGAATGTCAAATGATTTGACTTACGAGTCCACAAATGTGCTTTTCGACTTCGCCGAGTTTTGCCTTCGCAGCGCTCAGGCCCGAGTTGCCAGCCTTTTTGATGTCGTCTTTGGCCAGGTTAAAAACCGTCGTCTCCACAGCTTCGAGGTTGGCTTCAACGTCACTGATAGACCCTTTCAGCTTGACTGCAGAGTGATAGCATAGACCGGTCGTGGACAGCCAAAAGCATATCACCATTAATTGAAGAGCATAATTATCGTCAGGGTAGGCTAACACCCACCCACGCTCACAGTCACCTAGTCGCCCGATGCCTTCAAATGTCACTACTTGGATCCCCAGTATATCCTAAATCCAACTGTTTGACCGTGCCCCTTTCAGCGTATCAACACAGGGAAAGGACATTGCAGCCTCACAATGTTGCTGCAGATTCAAAGGTAGTGTGCTATGTGTTAAAAAGAAAGTTACTATGTGTGCACCAAGATGAACGAAATATTACCAAGAGGACAGTAGCAATGTGGGGAAAAGTGACCACGATGCTGTGTGACAAAGGGTAGAAAATATTCTTTCTCACCTATGGTGGGCACTCATACTCTCAGGAGGACCACTAACCCAAACGAAAACGCACAGGACTTACATTCTTCGCATGTGGCACCGGTGAAGATACTCAAGCATGTGCAACTTCCGCTGTTGCACGTGCCTCCATTTCTACAATCATTGGAACCTGAACATGCTCTACAAGTCTCCGCTGCTATGAGCAAGCAGAGGAGTATGGCGATGCCGGCACTCGCAAAGTATCGAGAACTCATACTGGTAGTGAACGTTTTCACCTTCGTTTACCGTCTTGTCGAGAAACAAATCGCGATATAAATTAACTTTCCTTCTTTTCAATTTCTGACTGATTTGCGGTGAAGGTCCTTTTTATGCCATTGTCGACCAACACTGAGCTCAATGAGCTTGCCTGGATAACCCACTGCAACAAAGTGTGTCGTAAACACACGACGTTAAAGTTGTTAGTGAGCCATTCGAGTCTCCAGAGACATGTCCATGTAGACGTGGTTGCAATCTTGGTCCTGTAACATGTACCTATAGTTCCTGCAAACCCCGCGCGAACCTGTTACAGGGTTTCCTGCGAGTGACGCCAACCACCCCCGAAAGCAACATTACAGCAAATGTGATCTTTACGCCGTTACGTGAAGTGTGACCGCGAACATTCTATCGCCATCATAATATTGGGCATCAATGCCCGTTTGGTTTGCGATGTAAAATAAAACTTCAAACAAAAAAAACATTCACGTCGTTGGTGGTGCTGTCCGGGAAATTCTCTTCTCCTGTTTTCCTTTAAATTAATCATGATGTGAGTATAACTGTACTTTTAGAGGACACCATGCATTGCAGTAGAACAGTGAGTGGTTATCTAGATGTTGACAACTTTACAAGTAACTTCGTTCCATCCACCAACAGGCTATAGGATCAAAACTGTTCCTTCATCCAAATTGGGGATGGGTTCATGTTCGTGTATAATGGTCGCACTGTTTGCAGTAGGTCATTGTGAATCGATGGCAGTACACGATGACGATGAATTTCGCTGAGGCTCTGCGTTGTCAAGTTGTCGCTACTGTACTGTACTGCGCGCAGCACATGACAACGCACTTTGATGTGTCGTCCGTGTCTGCTGGCCTAAAGTATCATCCGTACATACACAGACAGTGTCACCACTTTGCAGCGTGCCCTGGGCCCCTGGCCTTGGGGAAAGCTGTCCCTTGCAACAGTTTGACAGGTGGGGAAACATCGATGCCCATCAAGCTAACTTTGCAGTGTAGGCTGAGTGACAAAACACGTCTTGGCTCCATCGTTCGTCCCCCATTCATTGTAACAGATGCATCAAAGCAGAGTTTACGCACGGGTGCACTTGAGGTTTCGTTTATGCACCAGTCGCATTTCACTGCTCAGCACATTAATCCGCGTTACACGTGCGTATTGACTATTGTTGTGTTCGTTCATAGCCCTGAAAAACGTCCGGGATCCTCCATCGGCTCTCCATCTTTTCGGAAAATTCCGCTTCCACACTGGGCCTATATATACTCGTCCTTCAGTTAAAGAGCTAGGTATCTCTGGTGAACAACCTTGGCCCAACGGAACGATATCTTTTTTACAGTTATTTCCCATCCAAAAGAGGGCAGCCATGACGTCCTGGCGAACAATGTGCGGCGCCTTTGCCTTGCTTCTTGCACTCCTCTTTGCTGGTGTGAACTCACAAGGACAGGCGTGTGGAACAGACACGTGTAAGAATGGCGGTCGGTGTCGGCAGGATGGTTGCGCATGCGAACCCTTCTTTACTGGCCGAACCTGCGAGGAACGTAAGTTATTAGGCGAGTCAGCTATCTACATGATTGTACATGTTCATTGTATATATCTGACGTGACACCTGTACTGCAGCCTTGAGCTTATTTCCGCACGATTGTGTTAGTGTCATGCTGTATGCGGGCGTCATTGCAACTAAATTTAGATAGATTTGTCCAGAACTGATCCTGCGTTTTTTCAAATAGAAAAGTGATTTTAAAATGCTCATTGATGATTGATCATGGCTGTGGACTCGTCGACCAACTTCATTCAATTAATCTACGGGGTATCTGTGTATCTGGTTACGCCCTGATGATTGGCCATGCCCAAAATTTGGTTAGGTGACGTCAGCAGCAAAGATACCGTCTTTTGAGTGATTGAGTTGAGAGACCCTTGTCTGTGCAATTCCATGAATTTGCCGGTTATTTTCAAGCCGGTTTTAACTTCGGAACTTTGAACTCCTTTTAAACTTCGTGCAGTTGTCGTTGAAGATCATGTGGACTACTTGGCTGAGAAAAGAATCAGGGAATTAGAGAGAGGATGGCAGAACGGAGTGGAAAACGGTACAATAGTGAGGATCGACAAAGCCATTTCAAGGGCCGAACAGCAAGGAGCTATGCGGCTGACCATGGAAATAAACGAGGTCGTCGACAGGTTGAATAAGAAGGTAAGAACGCACAAAAAATTCCCTCTGCCACAGTTCTCGCTGATACACACAACACAGTGATGGGGCACTAATTCCTTGCCTTTTGGAATTAATCCGCCTGGTTTTCAATTTTATATTCTTCTGCTTTACTTCATTGCTTCTGCAAACACCTGAGTGTACCCTGAGGACAAGGCGATCATCCCGATAGGCCCAACACATCTCGACTAGTTACTACAACAGTACAAGGCAATACTATTATAAAGTTAAATGAATGGTTTTTGTTGTTGTTTGAAACTCGGGTATTGAGTCAATAATAAAAGTAGAAAGGAAAAGGACATAATATTATGGAAACGAGTTAAGAGTAACTCTCCACCACTGTAACTAGATACTATATACAGTCAGAAAGTGCAGCAACTAGGCACAAAACTGACAGAGTACTGAGACATTCGACGTCCTGACACCTAGCTTCAACACATTTCCGTAGCGCTAACCGACAGCCTTCCAACTTGGAAGGTTTAAGGTTATGGAAAGACCAAAAAAGGGAAGGCAAGCGCAACGAAAACGAGCACAAGCTACAGTCCCAACGGAACAAAGAATGTCGATTGTCACTGGACGATGACGAGACCAGTAGGCGATTTGACAAAGCGGTCTTACTACAATTCGAGGCAGCAAAGCAGCACACCACCCAACTTGGGTGGGTCAAAAATATCAAAGATAAGTTAAATCGCCTACTGGTCTCGTCATCGTCCGGTGACAATCGACATTCTTTGTTCCGTTGGGACTGTAGCTTGTGCTCGTTTTCGTTGCGCTTGCCTTCCCTTTTTTGGCCTTTCCATAACCTTGAACCTTCCAAGTTGGAAGGCTGTCGGTTAGCGCTACGGAAATGTGTTGAAGCTAGGTGTCAGGACGTCGAATGTCTCAGTACTCTGTCAGTTTTGTGCCTAGTTGTTGCACATTCTGACTGTATATAGTATCTAGTTACAGTGGTGGCGAGTTACTCTTAACTCGTTTCCATAATATTATGTCCTTTTCCTTTCTACTTTTGTTGTTGTAGTAAAACTAACTGGCCCACTAGGCACAGAAGCCACTGGAAACTTGGACGAGTTCTTTCGTAGCACTCCTCTTCATAGTGGATACAATGTTCAGGTGGGCAGCAGCAAACACGTCGTTATGATTATCAAGCTTTGTGATAGGTCAGTGCAATGACAAACACAGTACTTAATATGAAGACAAAACTGTCGTTCTGTTTTCTACATGTACATATCATGCCTTTCTGCTCAGGTGGCCAGGGCCGGGAAACCCATGGTGTACGACCAGCTGTCCTGCGATACCCTGCATCTGTCTCACCCCACTCTCAAGTCGGGTTATTACTGGTTGCGGGGCGAAACTGCTGCCGCTATACAGGTAGGGTCACATGACAAATGATCAAAGCCCTCCTGATAATAATTATGACATGTATATTATGCATGATGGTGCTATCATGGTCGACTGATGGGCCGCACCCCACATGTGGTTCTTGGCTCTTGACGGAATATCACGTGCTAAGAACCTATCGGAAAACGATCTGCGTGGCTTCAAGTCACGTGCACTTACATGTATGCTGTATGAGATAAACCTTGTAATGTACTTCGAAGTAAATACACGCTTTTAGTTTGACAGCATACTACAATGTGAAGAAGTGGTTGGTGCGACTTCGGCGATACATATTACAAGGCCGTAGAACAGTGCCCCTAACTGCAACCATCCACGGTTGGTCGCCTTGCGACCATCTGAACTGTATGGGTGCTACACCCGGTTCAGACCATTATCCTAGGGAAGTAACTGTACCTCAGCCCACGTGGCCTTGTGCCTACCAACAGTCCGTTAACATGGTTACACGGTCTATATATGTGTTGAATGTCCAGGTGTATTGCGAGATGGAGAGGTTCAACGGCGGCTGGAACCGCGTGGCCAACATCGACCCGGCAGGACAGGGCTACTGTCCACCGCGCATGCAGCTGCGCTCAGAAGGCGACGTGAAACTGTGCGTGTTCAAGGAAGATAGACCAAATATATTCCCAGTCAACGCGGACTACAAGTATGTGATGGGATACGTGACCGGATTTGCTGTAAGTGACATCGCTAGGCATAGTCAATGCTGGGTCTTGCTGGACACTCTTAAGAGAGTGAGGAAAGACACTCAGGATACCCCCCCCCCCCCAACAATGAGCCAACCTACATTATACATGTAGCTTCAACATAAATTCACTGAATACATTTCACTGAATGCTTGATTCTAGGAAGCGCCTTTCCGTATTACATTCATGACTGTGTCTTTGGGGTTAGCGAGTTTAGAATTGACATAATTATATACATGTAATAATAATTACAAGCAATGGTTGGCAATGGAACAAGACTAACGATTTGTTGCTATACTATTACTACTAGGGTTTCATGGCTGTTAGGGCAATCATCATACAACATTGATTCGTGTCCTGGGTTAAGAGGTTGAGGAGGGGACCCATAATCTATCTTAGCCTTGTCTCATTGCAAACGTTTGTCATTTAGGGTTTGTACTCTTGATGTTGAGCTCTTTTTCAAGTATTTTTTTAGAATAACAACATAGCTCATATTCATGACGTATATGGTTTGTTTCATGTATTCTGTCTACAGTCCGGCCGGCCAGAAGCATTTGTCAACAACCCCACTCCACCATGCAAAGGGGATGGCATCATGATTGGACAGTCACCAGTGGCCAATAGTCACGTGTTCACGTATGCCGTAGGTGCAACACGCACCAGCGGTTCCAGCTCTCGCTGCCCGTGCCATGGCGGCGCAAGAGCGTCCAGCATCTCCATCAACAGCTACGTGTGCAGCGAAGCACTCGGTTCGGGCTCGGGCTATGATATCAGCGAGCGTAGCCGTTTGTGGCAAGGCAGCAATAGCTGCAACTTCACGCACACCATTCCCCAGACCAATGAGCCGACCTACTTCTATCGCCCGTTTCTGCACCAAGGCATCACAGATTTGCCTATCATAATGCGGATATGCCAAAGCAACTCGGGCACCCCCAAGGGTGTTGGCATCCAGAAGGCTGAGATTTATGTGAAGTGATTGAGCCCGTGATAATACTGGACATTTTCACCATATTTTGATCACTGTTTGCACAATGATTTCCATATCTTCATCTGCTTAAGTACAGTTCTGTGCACCCTACTCAAGCAACATCTTATCGATCTACAAAATACAATGCATTTGCCACATAATTATGTTCGAAGGACACTTTAAGTACTAGCACCCCCCCCCCCCCACACACACACACCCTTGCACTCCCGTTCCTTTCTCGAAACATTTGGAATACCCGACACTGAAGTGACCAAAGCCCTGTATCTTCTGCTGGCAGCACACTGCATTTTCTTTGCTTAACGTGCATCTAAGTTTACATTTTAAGTACTGCCTCGTATGATATTGTTGTACCAGCTTCCAAAAAAGATGTATACATTACAAGTGGTATGTAAAATTATACATGTAACTACTCGAGAAGATTGTAATGTTGTAGAAATCTGTATGGTCCTTCTTGTGTGGCGATGCCCAACATGGGCACTAGTACGAAGTAACCTGGTCCTAGCGACCAGCCCACGGTGAACAGAAGACATGTTAAAGTATCCTCAAGAGTAGATAAACAAACTGTTTATCTACTCTTGAGTATGCTGATGGTATGTCAATACAATAAGGTCTGCTTTCTGACGTGACCGGTCGTGCAGTAACCTGCACTTAGCGACCAGCCAAGGGTGGAAAGAACTCTTCTAAAATACAACGTGCTCATGCACTCATGGACATGGCATTGGCACAAAATGTAGCTTTTGCCTGGCAGTATCTACATTTACATGAACATGTCATCTCGACCACAAATACGTTGCTTTTATCAGAATAAAAGAGGACCAAAAAAAGCTACAAGTTACGCTTTAATATCCACTAACACCACCAGTTACTTTACAATTAGCTCATGCGACAACATTGCGCAACACTGACCAACAGTACTTACGTCCTACACCTAAATGTAGGTGGAAGTCAGCTCTAACACGTCGATATTATAGCGTAACTTGTAGCTCTTTGATACTCTTTTCTTCTTAGAAATAATCATTGGCTCTTCACCCGAGTCTAACATTGTTTTTATTTATTTATTTATTGCAACATCCCAAGACTCAGTGGAAGCACCGGTCAGTGTTAAGAGAGTGGTTGGTAGCCAACCACGGCGATAAAGATAAGTAGAGGTTAGGAGGGAAACAAATTGTACGGCCGGGTAATAGCCTTCCACATGACCACCTGTATAAACTTCTGTTGAACCAATACCGTCACCAGCGCAACCATTGGCACGAGCATTATGATAGCAAAAATTCAGAATTTCTATCAAAATGTCGACACCAGAATAGATTATACATGTACCTCTCCATCTTCAATGTATACTGGTGTGACTTTTAAGTTTTAGTAACGAGCCTGCCGTCACAGCAACTTGACTGTCGCCTCTTCTTCTTTTCACTTCTCATTTAAACTGACACCATCCGCGCCATGTCTCACTAACTGTGTTTTACTCAATCTGCGCTGTGTTTTATGTATTTATTTTTTGAAAATCACAAACCTTCAGACATTATGAATGCGCACATATACAGTATAAATGGGTATGTTATAAGACAGTATATTAAATGTGGCGCTTGACTACTTGCATCATCAGTTTGTGGCCGGATGATGTGCAGATTATGCTGTCCGAGGATTGCTTTAGACTTGGTTTGGGCATGAACCGCGGCATTACGACTACGTGTAGCCGGTTGTCTCTGCTCTCTTCCGCCTTTTCGGTGTCGCTCCATCCTCGTGGTGTTCAGTACTCTAGGAATTCTCGCTATTTAATTGTGTAGAATCTGATGTGCGTGGTTAAAAGGTAAACATCCAAAGATCGTGTACAGTACCGTCGGACCTGCAGAGCTGCATGGGTGGCCATACGGGTAACCTTAAGTCGTTATCCCTCTGTAAAAAAGTCTCATGCTGAGAATACTGTAGGCATCTTTCTAGCAAGAGTTCAGACCCTGCTTCGCAATTTTTACTTTCTCTACGTAAGAAATGAAGGCGAGATAATCAGTCGGCCAAATATCGGATTGCTGAGTTGTTCTTGAGCGATCTCGGTAATACATGTACATAGTCGCACTATCAAAATTCACAACCACAAGAGGCTAAGGACTCTTTAGCTGTAGCTTCAAGTTCACGCATTTGACCGATCATCAGACAGCGGCATCTACTATGGTTTTTACTATTGAAGTTTTTTTGCGAGCGGGCCTAGGTACTAGTGCGGAAGTACCGGTATGTTGTTACACGTAAGTGTGAAGTCTTTCATTCCATTCCCATATTCGTTTCCATGTAATTTGGCTTATAGCCCGTGTGTACTTGCGATTTCAAAAAATGAAAATACGAATACAAGTATGGAGGTGGTAATCGGATCGCGTCATTGAGTCAGCGAAGATGATACCAACGCAAGAGCAGGGCGAACAACATCATCACTATTGCCAGTATTGGTTCAACAAAGAAAAAAAGGCGAGATGTAGAGAACGGTAGGGGTTTACCGTTTAGTCACCATGCCAGTCTTGTTGTAGGAATACTGAGTAACTTGCACCTCTTTTTTTCGCCTTACTACTGTAATCGGCAGACCTACCTCCGTCACCAATTCGACCAGCCATGTACACGCCAACGATTCTGAATACCATACAAAGCCATTTACTTGATTCCGCAACTGCCAACACAGTTCCTGTCTCGCACTATTTTGCACTGTGTATGTGCAGCGACATCCGTCACACTCTCATATTTTCCAGGTTGGAACAGGAGGTTCGGCGCCAGCGTTAAAACTTAAAAGCACCAAATACCGTGTTTCCTCGCCCACACTGATTCTCACCAATTACAGGGTGAATTTGAGATCAACAACAGTACTCATGTAAATGTTCCGCTGTTCCGTTCTCGCACCCCTCACACCAGTAACTGGGGCGGTAAGCAAACAATACAGTACCACGCAACGTTTGCTTTGTGTATTGGGCTGCCTAGAGAAATCCCTGAAGGCCTTTCCCGACTGAGCAAATCACTGAATTCCAATCTACGTAACCCTGTTCTACGATATCTACGAGGGGAGAGGGAGGGGTTGGTCAGTGTTCCCGTCACGATATTCAGCCTGATCATGACAGAATTAACATTGGTCCGGCCAAGAAGGATAGTGGGAACTGACTATCATCGCACAAGCAACAGGGTTTCCACCAGCTCAGAGACGTTTCTCTCGTGCCAGGCCACCCCGTGGCTGATTGAAAGGTAACGTCAGTATTGCAGTATTACTAAACAGGGTTACGATCTACAGGGGTTGTTTTCAAACACGCACGGGGGCAACCCCATGTTCTTGCATTGTCGAATATATAGAACGAGGGCACTGTAAACAAGAGCACTGTAAACGGACCCGCAGCATTGCGTGAGGCGACTTACTGGTATCTTGTCCAATTCAGTGTGCGGGATATCGTGATGTAGGCTGTGACGATGCAGAGGTATTTCTTACTTTACACCGCTCCAGGTCTGTCCCATGAAGCCTACGTGCGACTGTCAATCATGACGATGACGGACGGCATGGCCGATGTTGATCTTGCACTGGCTCTAAACTGTGGACGCCTGACATTTGGCATCCTTTGACACCGAGTCAAGACCTGTAAAGTCAAGACCTGTCAAGAAACGCAAGCCTGCCCAGTCTCAGGGAGTGTGATGTGTTCTGCAGCAGACCATCCGTGGGACCACCAAGCGCGTCTTGTACTGCGGCCAGAGTATATCCATCTACACTACAATCGCAGCTGTTCCGTTTGCTAATAGTCACGCCTCGCCAGGAACGCTGTAGCGTGGCATACAGCACATGTAGCGAGCGAAATAGCACATGATGCATTGGCGTTAATCTGCATCCACTCAGACCTCACTAACTGCCTACCTCTCCCTCTCTATCTAATGACCGAACAACTTCACGCCCGGCCGCAGCTGACAGGAAAACCCGTTAAATACGCTGCTCGGTCAGCCTGACAAATTCAGTTTTCTTGATCGCCACATTGCGACATACACGGTGAAGATTATACCTGACTTCATTTACACGCAGCGTGGTGTTGTACTTGGTATATTGGCTTCATCGCTGTTGAACGTCATAGTTCACCACCGGACTCAGTGATGGCGAGCAAACCGTTGCTTATCGCGGGGATCGCTCTGGTCCTGATGCAGTTATGCCAGTTCACGCTCGCGTTTGACATCTGCTCGTTCTCCTTCAGTGCTTGCCAGAATGGCGGAACATGCAACCCCACTGGTTCTCCCGACTGTTTTTGCCCACCGTCTTTCACCGGAAGAAACTGCGAAAACCGTGAGTGACGTTAAGACTATTCTGTACAGTACTGGAGACATGTCTCAATACTAGCTTCCGAGAAGAAGCACTTGCATGCACCTTGCTGGTCTCTGGTCGGTCCTGTTAGCTAAAATGTGATCTGGTACGTAACGGAATAGCTATGAATGTTGATGTGTCTAGCGCACTATCTACAGTTCTCTAAAGTCCTTAGGCTACCTTCAGTGCTCAATGTCCAATGGACATGGGGGGGGGGGGGGGGGGGGATCGGCTGTCTGAGGAGTGTTTTCACACGAAACTCGGAGTAACAGCGGAAAGAGACTTGTTTGATTCATTGCTGTGAATTATTGGTAACTTGGCTTGACACTGTTGACAGATGCGTCGACTCTGCTCCTGTCTAACAGGTTCAGGGAAGATGCGAGCTGTGTTTATTATTATTATTATTATTATTATTATTATTTTAACTGGTTTTGAGGGAAAGGAATGGGGAAATTTTGGAAGAACCAGGGTTCGCAACAGGGATATTCTCTTTACGTTAGCGATGTTCTACCACTAAGCTATGGTGTGGTCAGCAGAGATAGCTTAATTGGCATTTTGTGTTCCAATTACTTTACCGTGTCCAGATATACTCAAAGACAGGCTGGATGATATGAACGAGCAGATTTCCACACTGAGTGAAGCTGTGGACGTGGGGCCACCACCTACTTTCACAGGTGATGGACGAGGCATGAAGAGCATTTTAGACCAGGCACAGACGAACCTCACCGATGTTAAGGAATCTCTACTCACCAATTGTGACCGAGCAGCTCGGGCAATTCGTGTCCACTTTGAAGCACAGGTAAAGAAACCGACTCGAATCATATGCCATCAGGAACATTCACAAATTATAATAATTATTACAGTACTACAAAGGATGGTTTGGCAAATTTTCGGAAAGGCATTCAGTGCCTAGACTCGTGCCTGAGTTGCCTCAGGTTTTAGTCTCTATTGTCTGATCACTACCTCCGCATTAAACGTTTCAAAATTGAGGGGCATATTCAATTTCGATTGGACTTCTCTCTATCCTACTACGCAGTGATTGTGGTTGGCAGCATGGTTATTATGTAATTTAATAAAATTAATAATAATGTACTATAGTAGAATAATAATACATAGTCTGTGTGTGTGTGTGTGTGTGTGTGTGTGTGTGTGTGTGTGCGGGCGGGGGGGGGGGGAGGATGCGAATGCTTGTGCATCGATGCCCGATGGGTGTTTACTCTGCCAGGCGTCGAACCTTTCGTTGATTGCGACCTTGGTGACACTGTGTGTCCGCGCTAAGAGTACCCCAAATAACATGTATGTTCATGTATATTTACCGTATTAGATAAACCTCACTACCTTGCAATATGCTGTCCAGCAGAAAGCATGTACTTGGATATGTACGGATTTAAGTATAACCTTTAATTAGGAGTGGTCGTACGGCGGTCACTACTTGCTCCAGAGAAAATAAAATTATGAATGAGAGACCTACATGACATGTATCCGGTTCTATCATGAACGATTGCTCCAAACAGAACATTCCTTATAGAAGGTATTACGAGTGTGTTACGTCCTCTTTTGTTTTACATGTATCTAGATGGAGGACCTCGATGTTGGAGTGTATGATGTCCTGTCCTGCAAAGGCTTGAGACAACTCCACAGCAACTTGGAATCCGGTGAGTATGAATGTGTCATAATTATGACGATGTTCTTCGTATTGTATTTTTTCTATTTTACGATATTAAGCGGATAACAATGCCAGTATGCAATCACGTACACAATAACCTAAAATAAATGTACTTGCAGGACAAACAAATATTAATGTTCGCGTCAAACCAATGAAGGAACAACTGAGGGCCGCTAAAACTAGAGTCTACATTGCGTGCGGCGGGTGATGACTCTGGGCTAACGAGATACATCTCAATATCACCAAGGGTGCATAGGCGTGTTCACCATTGGCTAATTATCACAAGTAATAGTTCTAAAAGTCGCATTAGCCACACGCAGGCGCCACTCCGTGTACCATCTTTACTTGATGTTCGACTGAACTTTCCCGGAAAAGGATCTTTGCTGTTTTGCTGCTTCGACGCAGTCGCAGAATAATCTGATAGTTGATCCTAGTTAGTGAGAACTATAGTGTTGCTCAATGAAATCCGATCAAGCCAGTGAATGCCACGCTGGACGCTGTACAGTCCTAGGCATGCAAAAATATGAACTGGTGATCGGATTTCAATGAGCAGCACGTTTGTCCGCTTATTTTTTTATATTTTTTCTTTTCTCTTATTATCAGTGGGACCATTGTCATTAGGCTCAGGCCGGTTTTGGAACTCCACTCTAAATAAAGCTAAACAACAACAACAAGCACTCTAGTTGTTACAAACCTTTCAAAAACCATCATCGTATGGTATTCTTTAGTGTACGTCACCAAGCGATCAGGCAATGATGCCTTCTCACCAGTCAACGGCTGGCTCTCACAGAATGATGAACCACTATAATATTAATGATTTTGACGATAAGAAGAAAGTATGTGAAGTGGACGCAGAACTAAAATAAAACGAAGTATGAGATACTGTGCATTTGAGGTCAAACCTTTCCTGTCACTAACGTACCCAGGTTTTGCGCAATGTTTCATGCATAGGATACTACTGGATTGTGGGACAAGCAGCTGAACTCAAATTGGTGAGTTATCCCGATTTTTCACACTAGGCCTGGCACTAGCAAATGGCCGATTCTGCTCGGAAATCAGTGAAATTCCCTGAACAACTGTGCGTGCATGCTAATCGTATTGCAAGCATCTCCTTGAGATTTCCTATACATCTTTATCCACATACCCTGGTACCAAACATGCATGAAACATTCCAGAAAAGTAACAAATTCTGACAATGTCTTCTTCCGGCATTATCCATCCACGGCCACCAGGCGCTGATGTAATGTGCACATGACTTATATACCATAATAGAAGATGTGAGTATTTACTGCAACGGTGAAACTGAATCACACTTTCAAGTTTTTCTCTTAAAGACGAGATTGCATTCACATGGTTCATGGTGAAATAATGGTCAGTGCGTGAGAGATTAAAAATTTAAAAGCTGTGGCTTTGCACAAGACAGTGCGAATAGTCTGGTGCTAGTGCATTTGAGAACAATGGCCTTTGGCTTTGCCATTTGTGTGTACGCTTTGCAGGTATACTGTGAGATGCGTAGACACGGTGGTGGCTGGACCAGAGCCTTTCACTTCAACGTCACCTCGCAGGGCAAGTGTCCTGGAGGTTTGCGCCCGCTCGTTGTGCAGGGTGTCAAGATGTGCACCAAGGGCGACGAAAACTACGTCTACGAAGTGCCAGGAGTCCACTTCAGTGAAGTCATGGGTTACGTCACAGGCTACAAGGTAACGGAGACTGGAAAAGAAGAGCACTGATGACAAACATTCGCTTTAGAAAAAAACTAGCACTCATAACTCTCTTGGCTTCACAGGGTACATGGATAAGAAGAACTCTCGTTATTGCGAACGGATATCATCCGTCCCTTGGCGTTCGCCCTAAAGAGTTTTGACGTATACAGTATGCACTGTCTTGCATTAACCCTACACAGTAGCGCCATGCATAGTAGCAGTGCTGGCAACTGAAATCCGACCCTTGAGCGGTGGTGCGCTCACATCGCAAAGACCCAACACGGGATTGTAAAACTACGAAACAGAGACCGCAAGAATGTGGACCGCTCAGAGGTCGGATTTCAGTTGCCAGCACTGTACATAAACTCTAATTGTACGGCAGCCAGGGTGCCGATGATATCTGCTGGTCGATTGAAGGGCCAACGGAGAAGAGGAGTACATGTACAAGTAGAGGACCATTGGATTATTGTACTTCCAAGTAGGGTTTTATAGTTACACGTAGTTGGCTACGGAATGAATTGAAACCCTGGAATGCGATTCCAGTAGATTAATCGGATCCTTTGGAACACTCGACAACAGAAAAAATTCATCTCCCTGCCTGTTCTGCCTGTGCTGCCCGTGCTGCAGCAATTGAAAGATGGCATTCACAAAGCCTCTCTTACGCCTGAAATAAAATTGGAAAGTTGGATCATTTTGCCTAAAATTTAATGGTATGGTCTATGGCATGTTTCCAGTTCTTCAAAGAACAACTTGGATTCTAGTCAGGCAATACGTGAATGGTATTTCTCCCCCAGTATTGCTGACTGATGCGAGTGCTACGAAAACTGTTTTGCAACTGGAGGTCAAGTCAAACACACAGTAAAAAAAAAAGGAAAAAAAGGACATTATCGTGTCCGTTCCCGAAGGGAACTCACGACGGCCCCTAACACCCGGTAAACCCACCAACACACCGGCTGGGGGCATATTACAATCTGCTCACCAGATTAGTTTCTTGCCTGTGTGTTTCCACCTACTCTTCAGTCTGGTACTCCCGATGCTTTCTGGAACAAGCAATCTGCTTCGGGTGACAGCAAGTACGTCGATGGAGTTGGCATCTACGCCGGCCACCAAAGGAGCCCAATCTACACGTTAGCCGCTGGGTTCGGCGTTGTGGAGGCCGCGTACACCAGTGCCATGTGTCCATGCAATGGCGGTCACAGTCCGCCTTCATTCGTCGGTACGAACTACATGTGTTCAGGATTTCGAGGAATACGCGGTGTCTACAGTGTTGGTCCTGGTAGGCGACTATGGCTTGATGCTCCGACATGCGAAGGTGGCAACCATTTCAGCTCCAACGGTGAGCCTCGTTATTTCCACGTCACTCTGGACAAAGCTCTATCATACCAGGATAGAATCCTCCTAAAGATTCTTACTGACGAGGGAACAGGCAACGAGGCAATCGCCGTTGACTCAGCTGAATTTTATGTGCGCTGATGTTCACGAAAACAGTGATGTTATGTCTTTCTCGCTGGTGATACGTTCTTTTGACAATGGGATGCAAAACTACTGCATTTTTTATTGATTCCATAGACCTATTCTATTCTGCATAATTATGTGAGGGCATTTGCAATTTAAAATTTCGTTCTTTGCCGTGGTGCAATGCATTCACGCTACCTTGGCCTTGCTGATACAACTGAGGCGCGCCTTTTGGCCATCCACACTCCCCTTGCCCAATTTTGTCCTTAGGAATTTCGAACACATAAATTTGTTGTCCTTCTAAATCCTCTTGAGTCATGGGTTTGAGGGAAAGATGCATACGGGAAAATCCTCTTACTACATGGCAGGCGCCTTTTACTGTAACAGTGTACCCACCGGAAAATCGCTCATTGGCCGCAATCACAGAAGTGCCACAGCGAAAAATCAGCATGCAAAACACTGGTTTTATCACAACTAGGAATGTGTATTGTTTGGGTGTGTACCGTCTCCTTTCGATTCAATCCTTCAAGCCATGGCGCCATGGACAAAATGCGTACACAAAGTTGTAAGAAGCTAAATTTGAGTTGAAAAAATATAACCTAAAAAAAGAAATGGACCTAGGAACTACCATGTCCAGTAACACCACCAGTTACTAATACTTGACAATCTGATGATCGCTTAGTATGTGAAACTCAGAGTTAAAAACACCTTTTCTGGCCACTTATTGTTTGTTTGTTATTTAGACAGCAAAATCCTGAAGAACAGACACGAACCAGCAATGAATAGAAGTCACGTGATTATTCTCAGCACCGCCTCTGCTGCGTCTGCATTGTAGATTCTAGACCGTCACAACCAGTACGGCAGTAGATCTATTGTACTTGTAGATCTGCACTGACTGTCTGTAGACTGCACTTCGTCACTGCAGATTCTTATCCGGCTAGGCTGTGCACGACCTAGCGCCGCAGAGCCAAAGATTGATTTGACTGGAAAAACCAGTCAACGATACGTGCTCTGTCACCATCCACAAAATTGTTTTCATTGGACTCCAAATTATTGTGGGTGTGATGTTCCAAGATAGCTTGGATAGAAATCGGACTGAAGTCACAATCCGATAATTTCTTCGTCTGCAAAGCAGCGTGGGGCTGGGTGCTGAAACCAGTGAGGGAGGAGAAAGATAGCACCGCGGCCACCGTCACTTGGCCAAGGGTGATGGACATTACCACCTTCTGTAGTCGTTTGGTGCTGTCAACGATAGCGTTAGTCGGTGGATTGCAGTACGGATCAGTGGTGCGGGCGGTAAAATTGTAACCCCCGTGATGGATCTACGTGTATTTGCGATATGGACGACGGGTCGGGGTATTTGGACCTGACGCCAATCAGCAATAACGACGGCACAGCATTGTGAGTGTTGCAAACTGCAGTCCGCATCTTCGACTCCCATCCATTCACACGCACATTTATTACTGAAGTATTTTTTTAACCCTTTAGGGCCCACAATTATTTCAAGAAATGCACTGCATACGCGAGCCCAGGTACATATCTGGTCGTAACTTCGGTGTCATTTGCCCGATTTTGGTGATCTTGGGCTTTCTGGAAAGCTCTTGGCCAGAGGAACACAGCGATAGCCAGCAATACATCACTCAATCCACAGAACCAGCGCCGCAGCGCGATACGGCGCTCCAAAGCCAGCATTGCGAGCGCCCAACTCAAATTCTCTGCCATTTCAACAAATAATTGCATCGCAGATCGCTCAAATTTTTTTACTGGAGAGCTGAGAAACATGCCGTTGCGATGACGTGAACTATCTGTAGCTGCGTGGACCGCGAGTCAGGGAAAACTCCTAAAACGAGTTCAAAATGCACGCGCTCGAGTTGACTCTGCTGAGCGAATTTAGTTCGAGTCTCGTATCTCCGCTCTCCAAACTCGGATCGCTTTCGGGTGTTTTCGAGCCGATAGCTGAGAGAATTCTAATGTCGATAGCCCTTTCGATTGTCCGATTTAGTCAAGGGACAGCCGAGTTACGCCAGGTTGCGCTTCGAAAAGTATGCACTGTACACTGGTACGGATATATCCGTACTATGGGCCTGAAAGGGTTAATTATTCCCGTAGCTATGCAGAAGACGTTACTTCAGTAACGTCTGGCGCTAGCCAGGGTCCACACAGCTTTAATTCCCGTAGCTATGCAGAAGACGTTACTTCAGTAACGTCTGGCGCTAGCCAGGGTCCACACAGCTTTAATTTGGTGTTTGTTTGTTTGTTTGTTTGTTTGTTTGTTTGTTTGTGTCACGGCTGGAGCTATCCCGTGTCTGTCCCGTATCTGTCCCGTACCTGTGACTACAAAGGCTCTACAGGATTGTACATAACAGCTGTCTACAATATTTGCGGGCTCCTGTATCTGTCCCGTACCGTACCAATATTAGTCGTATTATGTATACGACTCCCTGATGTAGAGGGAGATTTGGAAAGAAATAGGGAGACGAGGAGGAAATTAAAGAATAGACGCCGAATAGGTGATAGGTTGCGTCAGCATAAACATACTTTGGAAGAGAGATCCCGTCGTCTCCAAAATAAGCGTGAACGAGCGATTCAGCGCCGGTCACAAGAAACGTCGGAAGAGAGATCCCGTCGACTCCAGAACGCCCGTGATCGGCAGAGTCCGCCGGTCCCAGGCACGTCAGGACAGACATCCCGTTGAGTCCAGAACGCCCGTGATCGGCAGAGTCTAAGCCGGTCCCAGGAAACGTCAGGACAGACATCCCGTCGAGTCCAGAACGCCCGTGATCAGCAGAGTCAGCGCCGGTCCCAGTAAACGTCAGGACAGACATCCCGTCGACGCGCAGAAAAACTAAATCTGCAGCCTCTTTTGCTGTCGGACAGGACACGTATTATAGGAGACTGTAAAGTTATGTAATGTCCAAATTTCGACGTGAGCAGCAGGTCACTCGCGTTGATTTTTCGACGTGCGAGCCAAATAACGCGAGCTGAACTTTCGCGTCGCAGACATCCCGTCTACGCGCAGAAAAACTAAGGCTGCGTTTACACGACAACGATTGGAGAGAGATCCCGTCGACTCCAGAACGCCCGTGATCGGCAGAGTCCGCCGGTCCCAGGCAACATAAACATACTTTGGAAGAGAGATCCCGTCGTCTCCAAAATAAGCGTGAACGAGCGATTCAGCGCCGGTCACAAGAAACGTCGGAAGAGAGATCCCGTCGACTCCAGAACGCCCGTGATCGGCAGAGTCCGCCGGTCCCAGGCAACGTCAGGACAGACATCCTGTTGAGTCCAGAACGCCCGTGATCGGCAGAGTCTAAGCCGGTCCCAGGAAACGTCAGGACAGACATCCCGTCGAGTCCAGAACGCCCGTGATCAGCAGAGTCAGCGCCGGTCCCAGTAAACGTCAGGACAGACATCCCGTCGACGCGCAGAAAACTAAATCTGCAGCCTCTTTTGCTGTCGGACAGGACACGTATTATAGGAGACTGTAAAGTTATGTAATGTCCAAATTTCGACGTGAGCAGCAGGTCACTCGCGTTGATTTTTCGACGTGCGAGCCAAATAACGCGAGCTGAACTTTCGCGTCGCAGACATCCCGTCTACGCGCAGAAAAACTAAGGCTGCGTTTACACGACAACGATTGAAAACGATTTGCGTTTACACGACAACGAAGTAGGACCTAAACGGAACGAAATCGTTGCGTTTACTACTATCGTTTACACGACAACCCCCGAAAACAATACCTAAACGGAACGAAATGGAAACGCACTTCAAAGTGTTTTGAAACGTTTTCAAAACGTTTTCGTTCTCGTGTAAACGGTGAAAACAGTGAAAACGATTGGAAACGGAGCGCGGTCACGGAAACCATTCCGCGCGGGACTATATTTCGCGGGAAATACCTGACCTTTGCGACCACCAGCACGTACCAACTCCAACTAACGTGTTACTTCCCGCCCTTGCGCCAAGCCAGCACGTGCTAACTCCAGCCTGATCGCCCGTTTTCCGTTTTCGTGTAAACGGTTCAAAACGGTTCAAAACGATTTGCCGTACTCGTGTAAACGGTTTGAAAACGATTCGAGGCCTGCCCGTTTTCGTTCCGTTTCGTTTCGTCTCCGTGTAAACGCAGCCTAAATCTGCAGCCTGTTTTGCCGTCGGGCAGGATACGTATTTTAGGAGACTGTAAAGTTATGTAATGTGCTCCACAGGCAACCATGCATTCGGCGTCGTCATTGGGTCAACCGGTCAATGTACATGTATTACTACAAAAAGGCCAGAAAATCCGATTACTGTATTAAAATCAACTAATTTTCGCTGGCGATTTAATTTCGCTGATTTCGCCGCTTGGTACCAACCGGCCAAAGTAAATCGCAGGCCAAAGTTTGTCATATTCATGTAGGCAAATGATGCATGATTAAGCAACGGATGCAAGTGAGAGCAAAAATACCGATCGATTTCAAATTTGAGGGGAAATTGTGCGTCAAGTCGGAAATGACGTGCATCTTAATTTCTCTTATATAGAGGTTTCTATTTCTCATATGCCAAAATTTGTTGATTTACAGTATAAGGAGATAAAAAGAAAAGAAGGAGCAAACCAAGTGTAGATGATTATTAGAGAAATAACAATCCGCAATAAATTCTGCATATACTTTTGCCTAACTCATAATATTCAAACCGATTGAAACGTTTTTGCAACACAGTAGACATCCTTAGCAAAAGTACGATAACGCTAACTTTTACGGTACTCACTCCCAGCCGTGACAAAAGACGTTATCGGATAACGGAAAAACGTTACAGAGCTCAAAATAACGGGCCGACGTTCGTTATGGAAATTCTGCAAAAAATGCAAAAACTCGCGTGGTTTTGTAACTGGCGGGAGATAAAAAGCACGTCGACGTGCAGATCGAAATGAGATCGAGAGTCGAGATTGCTTCCTCTTGTGACATTTAGCTTTTTGGCGAGTTTTGCCTTTCAGTTGACAATTTCTGCGTCCTCTGCTTCGTGCCGTTCTCCCTCTATCCCATCTGGGAAACAAAGGACCAGTTCCGCGGCACTCCTGAGGAAGAAATTCATCGGCCTCTCCCAGACGTGCTGGAGCTGGAGAACCCTTACAGTCTTCGGTGCTGCGTTTAGGAAAGGGTTTCCAAGGACCTGGGAACAGCGAAAACTCATGTTCGCCGTGCTTTTGCTATTCCAGAGTAAAGACCTCGCCAAGGTATTCTTTTGGAACGACAGCAAACTAATCCCTGGTTCAAAATTTTGAATTTCCCGCATCTGTTTCCACGAAAATTCATATCGCCATGGTTGTCACGACTACTTCGTCTCAACTATAACGTACTTTGTGCCAAGGGAAAAGTCAGCTTGAACGATCCGAAGTACGGAAAGGTTTGCGTTTACGTTAGCGTTTTTTTAGCTAAGGATATCTAGTGATGTGGCCAATCAACGGAAAAAGACATTTCCATCAGTTCTTATAACATGTACGATGAGCTAGGCAAAAAAAGTCATAAAAGCATAGCGTAGGGCCCTGAGCTTCCAAGCTCTCTCGTTATTTGGTGTTTGTTTGTGTGTTTGTTTGTGTTACGCTTGGCGCTATCCGTATCTGACGGCAAAAAAGCATAGGATGTTATACATTTTTCAATTCTCCTTTTTTCAGGCATATCCTGGGATTCGAACCCGCACTATCGCCCTACATGCATTCCCCCATGCACTTCGCATTCATACCCATTCTTCCAAGTTGCTTTACGTTATTATCTTGCGTTTGAAAGCCCTATTTGAATATTGCGGGCAGCTGTATGTGGCCAGCTGTGTTTGATGGTACGGTACGGTACGGTATTGCCCTCGATCGTACTTGTCCCGTACCTATCCCCTACCATACCGTGCCATCAAAGACGGCTGGCCACAATGCATATTCAAATAGGGCTTTCAAATGCAAGATCACAATGTGAAACAACTTGGAAGAATTAGTATGTATGCGAAGTGTATCGGGGGATGCATGCAGGGCGCGCGATAGCGCGGGTTCGAATCCCAGGTTACGTCTAAAAAAAAAGGAATTTTTTAAAGAATTTATAACATCCCAATGCTTTTTTTTGTCTAGGTCATCAAGGCAAAAAAGCATAGCGTAGGGCCCTGAGCTTCCAAGCTCTCTCGTCTTTGTACGGTACTGCTCGATGAAATTTGATCGAGTCACTCACATAAGCGCCCGGCGTTGCGAAACCTGGCCTAGACCCACGAATACTAGGTTGCTAAATGGCGCACCGCACAAATTTGACTCAGCGATTGGATTTCATTGAGCAGCAGTGTACTAACGGATGCATGCAGGGTGAGCCCAGTGCGAGATTGATAGGCACAACCACTAGCCACCATCCAACCGTGACTATTTGAATGTCTGGGAAACACAATATCAGCCAGGGTGCTGGAAAGGTTCGCCTGCATATCCGACAGCACACAATACTACTTGGTCTCCAGCTTTTTGAGTCATCATACCTTTCCGACAATGACACCAACCACCATTCTATACAAGCATGCATTATTTCTGTTGTCACTTGTAACTGGAATAAATTGCCTCCCCTCATTGGACCTATCTGAACACGAGCCTTCCAAGTTGGAAGGTTGTTCGCTTGCACTTCTTAGACGTATTATAGCAAGGTGTGAGTTCGTTGAATGTCTCAACACTCCCTATCTGTTTTGTGCCGTGTCGTACGCGCTGACTGAGTATCATCTTGTTCCTTTGGCGGACAGTTAGTCATGGCTCGAAACATTTTGTTCTTCCCTTTCTTCATCCATGGCAAGACTTGGTGTAGACTTCGATCAATGATACAGAATCTAATGTATCCCATTCTAGTTGGAGTGCAGCTCTCAGGGGAACACAAACATATCGCGCGTCAATTCCACAGCTAATCCCGTAGACATGCCAAAAAGCGTCGATCTAGTGATGTTTGGCGCAACCCAGGGTCCACTGCGCTATATTTGTGTGTGTGTGTGTGTGTGTGTGTGTGTGTGTGTGTGTGTGTGTGTGTGAGAGTGTGTGAGTGTGTGTGTGTGTGTGTGTGTCACCCTTTGGACTTTTTAACCGCCAATTCAGTCCTCTTTCTAAGAATCTGTTTGAGTCTGTCTCCCCTGTCCCGGGGAGACTCGCATGACCAATTTTGGCAGTGAGCAAGCGCAAGTACAAGTGTGTGTGTGTGTGTTTGTGTGTGTGTACGTGTGAGTGTGTGTGTGTACGTACACAGGTGAGTGGTCACGAACCATGTCATACGACAACAGTGAACCCTGTCTAAGACGACCGCTCAAGGGACCTTCAAAGCATGGTCTCTGTAGCCAGGTGGTCTCCTTATCCAGTGCCATTCGACTGGAAATAACATCCCGTGGTCCTGGCTGCAGTGGCCTTCTGGGATAGGTGGTCGCCTTATATGAGGAGTCACCTTGACAGGTTTTGCTGTAGTTTCTCCCGGCCTGGCGTACTATTCATACATAGCCCATACCTTACGTAAGGCCAGGGTACGCCAAAAGCCGGTTGTTCAACTAAGCACAAGCTCGCCTAGCTCAGGAAAATAACCATGCAAAACAAGCATCGCTAAACGTTGTACGCTTGCTCTCTCTCTTGATCATTTTTCTTCTGTGCAGCTTTACGAACATTGCCGGCGATGGCGGATTTAGCTACAATCCGTGCTATTCATTTCAGGACAACAAGTGCCAGAATAATGTTGCCGTAAGTCACCTGCAGGTCTGTGTGCATACGTATCTCTCCCCTAGTGAACTGAACTGGCTCATAGCCAGTCAGGAATTGCAAGCGTGCACAACATCGTGGATATAAGAATGACTGAATGAGAGTTTAGTTTCGGCTAGAGCAGGACACCCTTTGTTCTGTGCTGCACCCGGAATTCAACTACTGTATAGCAGGAAATTTTCGGACCGAATATATTTTCGTACGATTTCATACACGGCCTTTTTGTACTAAAATTAATTCCGTACTAAAATTTGTTCATGTGACTTTATGTACACTGTACATGGGTACTGCTTGCGAACACGTGCATTTAGCATGCAGCACTGTACGAAAATAAAATCCGTACGAAAGGTCGAATTTCGGCTTTGTCCGAAAATATTTCCGTCCGAAAATTTCCTGCTATACAGTATTTCAAAAAAGGAAGTTTCAGGGAGTTTTGCAGACCCAATCAGCTGTGATTTTACAAGTCCCTTGTGCGATGAGGTGGCGGTGATTCTGGGGTCGGTATAGGGATACGGGCCTATCACCACCAAGCTAAAAGACAGACCACGTTCCATGTGTCTGTCTGTATTCTTTCTGCAGAAATTCTCTGGTCTATCCTTCTGTCTATCTCCACGGCGGAGAGGCAACTGTGTTGAAATAAAACTTAGCGTTTTAGACAATTCTATAGAGATCCAACAAATTAAGTCAGTCAGGCTTAATCTATCTGGCTGTTTGGCTGGCTACCTCATACGTAATCAGATATCCAGACCACAAGCCAGCGCTGGAACTCCCTACAGCGCAATGTTCAATCTTCAACGATACTGGTCCTAGATATGTTGTGTTGTACTCGAATTGTTTATCGATGACAACGCTGGAACTCTTCTGGTGCATATTTGTATGGATAACCACGTTTTTGGTTTGTTCTCTTTCTATTTCTGTCTCTCAAACTGTGTCTCATTTTCTACTACTGCCTGTTATCTCTCTCTTCCTCTCCCAGTCTCTTCATTTCTCTCTGTCTCTCTCCATCTCTACCGCTCCGTCTCTTCCTTTCTCTCTATCTCTTTCTCACTCTGTCTCTCTACCTCTCCATCTCTCTGCCGCTCTATCTCTCGCTATCTCTATCTTCTATCTCACTTTCTCTACCTCTGTGTGTCTATTTGCCTCTTTCAATGTCTCTTTCTCTCCATGTTACATGTTATCGGTCTCTGTCTCTTTCTTTCCCTTTCCCCGCCTTCTCTCCTTCCCTCTCTGTCTGCTTGTTTCTGAATCTCCTTAGGTATGTCAGGCGGGTGATGTTGTCTGTGGCCAGCAATCCACAGCTAAGTTCACCATCACGAGTACATCCCCACTGCAAGGAACTATAGCCTATGGCAATGGTGATAAGCGGGAAGGCACACCAAGGTGAATTCTGAATTTATGGTTCAGGGTCTTATACCTTGTTGGTGGCGGTGGTGATGGTGTTTGTCGCCCTGCTGATGATGGTGGTCGCAACAGGGAAAGTGGCGGTGTGATTAAAAGAGGCAGCCAGTGCGAGACAAGTTGCTAATATCGTTAGAAAAGAGGAAGAGCAGGGTTTTAAGCTTAAAGCAAATTTAATAGTTCAAGAGTATTCTCCAGTGGGAACATTTTTCCAGTCGTGCTGCTGCTACTCACAGCCAACTGGGAACTTGTGGCCAGGTATAAGGGGTAGGTGGATTCGGCTTTAGGGCTTTTCGGCACTTGTGCCAATGGTGTGAGGCCTATCGACTCACCCCTAACGTTAGGCACTGCGTCTGCCACTGTATTCTCAGGGCGTTCCCTTGGGAACAGAGACAGCACAGAGACAGCACTTTCCTTTTGTTTTACATAACTTCTACCATCTTGCCTTGCGCATTCTTCAGGGTGGCAAATGTAGCAATAAGCTGCGACCCAACAAAGGACCATGATATCATGTTCACATCCGAGGCGCCAGGATTAACTCGTACTCAGCACGCAAAGGGTTAATCCTGGAAATCACGGCCCAGAGTGAACGCGAATTTTTTTGTTCATGAATTCATTTTGTTGAAGAGCGTGCCAGGGGATTTCCCTTTGGCACGGCGCATGCGTGATGGACATCAAATGAAGCGCTTGGATCTGAGCTTTGCAGCGCAGTTTGAATTGTGAAAATCTGTTGAATTTGGGCAAGAAGCCAAACAAGATTGAGTTGTGGTGCCGTTCCGAGGCACGGTGGAGTAATTTGGAGAGGACATGGAAGTGGCTCTGATGTGTCTATGGAGCTGAGAGCTGCCAGGATGGATTCGCTTGGTCCTGACCTTTCCAACGAGCAAAGGACGATGAAAATCCATCAAGGTGGAGTGAAATGAGAATAAAATTCGTTCGGAGCTGTGAGTGCATACTCCACCAAGAGAGTCAGTGCGCTGGAAAGCCAGTGGATTGGAGAAAAGGGGCTTAGCATGCAAAGGGTTAACATACGTGAGTTAACAAGTTGCTATTTTGACGTATGGCTATGGTTTGCAACAGCCTTGGGCATGTTTACCCAAAGTGTTGTGGGGCTTGAATTGGAATGATGTTAACTTCGTCCCGCAAAATGCCCCCCCCCCCCCCCCCCTGTGACTAAGTAATGTTTGGTATGTTTGTAAGGCTCAGGGGCGGATCCAGGATTTTTCCAAGGGGGGGTTCAATTTTTCCCACCCTACCCACAATGACGAAATGATGACATACACATGTACATGTACGTGATTGTATAACAAGTTCACACGTTCGCGTTATCGGCACAGCACCAAATAATACTTGAACATGCCAGCTGCTATACAAATGTAACTTCAGTACCTCTGTTTTCAACACTCTGCAGCTAAAACATTGTTGAAGACACGCAGCACAAGGAAGAAATTTTCAATTTCTTTCCTGCAGAATAGCTGATTGGACTTTCCGACTCCAGCAGCTTGCCTGTAATAATTGTCCACAATTTTGTACTCCGAGCCACCAAATGTTGACTCCACTGTACAGTAGGTTCCATAAGGCAGGCTTCCTGCATCTTTCGTGTCTCAGTCATAATTGTCCCCATTTCGGAGAAACTTAGATTATTGGATGATAGGACGTTGAACTTGAAGATGATTTTCAAAGTTTTGCTGTTTGTTTTACCTTCGATACTAGTGGCTACACTTTTCTTTGGAGTGTCACCAAAATTCAATGGCAGCTGGTCTTGAGCCTGCCTCTTTTAGACGCTTCGACGAACTCTAAGACAGCTCATAAACCACGAGCCGTGACGACAATTACAGCACTGCACGACCACTATTCAGGATCTAGTTTTTGAAACTGATGGTAATACTTACTTTCGAAGTTTCCGCAGCGGCTCAACAAATGCATGCACCTCTTTCTCCGAAGCGAACTTGTAGCTTTAGATCTACATTCAGTGCAGATCTACTTTAGTCTTTGTATTATCTATAGCTACGTACAAGACAACAATGTTCAATGTCACAATTATAGATCTACCAAGTTGCATAGCTAGCGGACCGCTCTGGCCTGGGACGACTAGGCCATAGCATGGGGCGAGCACGTCGTACAGGCATGGGTTCGTAGTCACACCTGAACTATGGTCGGAAAAAAAATCAGGGGGGTTCATTCGAACCCCCTCCCCCCCCCCCCCCCCCCCCCCCGCCTGGATCCGCCCTGAGGCTTAGTACTGAAGCTCTTGATCCTTTTAGCAGCATGACACATTCGTACTTGGAATAGCTGAGCAGCATACCTCCCCCTCCCCCTTCCCCTCCCCCTCCACCACATGGCCATGCATATTCGAGAACCTGTGATAACACAACAGTCCGAGAGTGAGAGCTCCATGGTACATAAAAGCGCTAATGCCAAGACCAGAGATCGGCCTTGTTGGTGTGCGTGCTGTGCTGCTCAGTCACTCCACCATGGAGCTCTCCCTCTCCCACTGTTGTGTTTGTGCTTATATCCCTCGATGTTACTCTCTTCAGTGGATTGTTTCCATATTCCCTCAGTCCCCAAGCGGTCTCCGGGTCACTGGGTAGCACGGAGACCGCTTGAACAGTGTTTTAAGAGAGCATGTCTGAGAAAACCAGAACATACATGTATGTGCAAGTCGATCTCTCAGATTTCGTTCAAATTTTGCAGGTAGGTTTGCTTTGGGGTGTAGATCGACATTCCAAAGCCCGCGCAAAATCTTTTGAGGGGAACCATGAAATTGGCATACCCCTCAATATTGGCCGAATATTGGCACGATTTATGGGTCTAAAAACGAGCCACGGCACAGCGTACAAGAACAAGCTACGAACAAAACTCCATCAAGCCAACATTACCTCACCTCAGAAGAGTTCTTGGGGCAGCACCACTTAGCCACGCCAGCATCCCAGAAGACGAGGGCAATCATCCCTTGACGCCACAAATGATCGTCTTGAAAATAGCCAAATTACAAGCGCTGATAAAACAGCGAGCTACGTCCTCAATTAGCAAACACTATACACCGGCAGATAGTAGAACACCTCTTCTAGCACTGAGGACATGTCCCCCATCATCCTTTTTTGGGTTTTCTTGAAATAAACAATTTTGAATTTTTCCACTCGTCCATTCTGAAATACGTCCAAACTCATACCTGCGCAGGAAAGCTCGCCCTTCCGCGACGTCTAGTCAGCAATTTCTACTCCAACAGCACTCCCAACGCTGCAGAACAAAGTGTATTGTTGACTTTGACAAGGAAAATCAGCGGTGATCACTTGTCATTCCAAACGACAAGCTTCTCCTTGCGCCACCAACAATTTTTCGGTGTAACGGTTGATGCAAAAGTGGCTGAATTTTTGCGTGTAGTTTTTGGATTTTACTGCAAGAGGAATGATGAAATCACGTGCCTCGTGACACAAGAATGCCACGTCTCGTAGTTCACGGTTCAGCAGTTGTTCCGAGTCACCTTGATCAAGCGCACCTGGACTTACATGGATCACCCGTTGATCTAGATCGGATCAAGTGCATCTCGATGTCCAGCTCAAGAGCACGCATGTTGTGTTGTAGGCCTTCCAGCCGGGACTTTCCCTCGACATGCAGCACAGAGACAGCGCACGAGTAGGGTCAAATCACGTTGTTCATGACGTAAGAAATCTGCCATGTGGGCGCGCCACATACCCCATGCAACCAACGTAGGCGCGCGCTGGTCAACTCCAAGCGACCTTGATGGCATGGACCACCATTGACCACGCTCATTCCTTGCTGTTGCAGACCTACGTGGATCATCAGCATGTAAACTGGCCGTAGTTCCTGTTGAACCATGGTCGGGATGAGCGAGGTAAGTGTGAAAAAATGCATCACTGTTCATACTGCAAGAGGAAATATCTTGCCAATGCAATACTGCTAGCGCTATAACGATAGTGTATGCATGTTCTGAGCAGAGCATGCAAGAAATATAATGCATCTTACCTCCTCCCTCATGGTCCGTTTCGAATAGCGCCTCCGGAACGATCGTGATCGTGTGCATTGTGTCGTGCACCAGAAAGCATTATTCTACGTCACGATGCACGTGAGTTCTGGTCAACTCAGAGATCACCTGTCATTGAGTATTCCGTGAAAGGAGGCCTCGACAGCAGAAAAGCTAAATTTAGAAAAGAGATCCTGTCAGCTTTTCCATTATTTATTGTATTCCACCTAAAATCAGCACACTTTTCGTAAATGAAAGAGTCAACACAAGCAAATGAATCAAAGGGAACTGGTCAACTCACCTGTCGTTGAGTAATATTCCGTGAAAGGAGGTCTCAGCGGAGCCGAAGCGAAATAAGCCAGGACACGAAATATCCGAAACAGCTCATGCAAGAAGCAGTTCCAAAGAAGGAAGTTCCTCGCGCATGCACATCCGAAAACGGACCGCACTCAGTGCACTGCAACACAATGTCTGCCCGGCACGTGCACAGCACGCGGCTACCACGCGTTGGTAGATCTAATACCGAGCACCTTACGTAGAAACTTACGTAGCCTAAGTGAAATACCGAGCACCTTACGTAGAAATTTACGTAGCATAGCGATGTCGTTTTTCTGCTATGTGAACACAATAATAGAAAAGCTGACAGGATCGCTTTTCTAAACGAGAGAGCTTGGAAGCTCAGGACCCTACGCTATGCTTTTTTGCCTAGCTCATCGTACATGTTATAAGAACTGATGGAATTGTCTTTTTCCGTTGATTGGCCACATCACTGTATTGCAAAAACGTTTCAATCGGTTTGAATATTATGAGTTAGGCAAAAGTATTTGCAGAATTTATTGCGGATTGTTATTTCTCTAATAATCATCTACTTTTGTTTTGCTCCTTCTTTAATTTTTATCTCCTTATATTGTAAATCAACAAATTTTGGCCGATGAGAAATAGAAACCTCTCGATTAGAGGTTAAGATGCACGTTATTTCCGACGTGACGCGCAGTTTCACGTCAAATTTGAAATCAATCGGTATTTTTGCTCTCACATGCATCCATTGCTCAATCATGCATCATTTGCCTATATGACAAACGTTGGCCTGCGATTTACTTTGGCCGGTTGGTACCAAGCGGCGAAATCAGCGAAATTAAATCACCAGCGAACATTAGTTGATTTTAATACAGGAATCGGATTTTCTGGCCTTTTGGTAGTAATACATGTACATAATCATTGACCTGTTGAGCCAATGACGACGCCGAATGCATGGTTGCCTGTGGAGCACATTACATAACTTTACAGTCTCCTAAAATACGTATCCTGTCCGACGGCAAAAGAGGCTGCAGATTTAGTTTTTCTGCGCGTCGACGGGATGTCTGCGACGCGAAAGTTCAGCTCGCGTTATTTGGCTCGCACGTCGAAAAAATCAACGCGAGTGACCTGCTGCTCACGTCGAAATTTGGACATTACATAACTTTACAGTCTCCTATATAAATACGTATCCTGTTCGACGGCAAAAGAGGCTGCAGATTTAGTTTTTCTGCGCGTCGACGGGATGTCTGTTCTGACGTTTACTGGGACCGGCGCTGACTCTGCCGATCACGGGCGTTCTGGACTCGACGGGATGTCTGTCCTGACGTTTCCTGCGACCGGCTTAGACTCTGCCGATCACGGGCGTTCTGGACTCAACGGGATGTCTGTCCTGACGTTGCCTGGTACCGCCGGACTCTACCGATCACGGGCGTTCTGGAGTCGACGGGATCTCTCTTCCGACGTTTCCTGTGACCGGCACTGAATCGCTCGTTCACGCTTATTTTCGAGACGACGGGATCTCTCTTCCAAAGTATGTTTATGCTGACGCATCCTATCACCTAATCGGCGTCTATTTTAATTTAATTTCCTCCTCGTCTCCCTATTTCTTTCCAAATCCCCCTCTACATCAGGGAGTCGTATGCATAATACGACGAATATTGGTACGGTACGGGACAGATACAGGAGCCCGCAAATATTGTGGACAGCTGTTATGTACAATCCTGTAGAGCCTTTGTAGTCACAGATACGGGACAGATACGGGACAGATACGGGATAGCGCCAGCCGTGACACAAACAAACAAACAAACAAACACACACACAAATACCAAACGAGAGAGCTTGGAAGCTCAGGGCCCTACGCTATGCTCTTATCATGAAGAGTTTCTTTGCCTAGCTCATCGTACATGTTAGAACTGATGGAAATGTTTTTTTTCCGTTGATTGGCCACATCATTGTATTGCAAAAACGTTTCAATCAGTTTGAATATGAGGTAGGCAAAAGTATTTGCAGAATTTACTGCGGATTGTTATTTTTCTCTAATTTCATCCACTTTTGGTTTGCTCCTTCTTTTCATTTTATCTCCTTATACTGTAAATCAACAAATTTTGGCTGATGAGAAACTTTGGCCGATCTCGAAACGAAAATTTTCACCGTCATTAAACTTTGGCCGGTTGGAGTTTTGAAAAAGAAAAGGAGCAAACCAAAAGCGGACGAAATTAGAGAAAAATAACTATTTTGGAGTCGACGGGATGTCTGTCCTGACGTTTCCTGGGACCGGCGCTGACTCTGCCGATCACGGGCGTTCTGGAGTCGACGGGATCTCTCTTCCGACGTTTCCTGTGACCAGCGCTGAAGCGCCCGTTCACGCTTATTTTGGAGACGACGGGATCTCTCGCTCCCTTTTTCTTTCCAAATCTCCCTCTACAACAGGGAATCGTATACATAATACGACGAATATTGTGGCCAGCTGTTTGTGGCCAGCTAGCTGTGTTTGATGGTACGGTACGGGACAGATACGAGAGCCAGCAAATATTGTGGCCAGCTGGTATGTACAATCCTGTAGAGCCTTTGTAGTCACAGATACGGGACAGATACGGGATAGCTCCAGGCGTGACACAAACAAACAAACAAACACACAAACAAACAAATACCAAATTAAAGCTGTGTGGACCCTGGCTAGCGCCAGACGTTACTGAAGTAACGTCTTCTGCATAGCTACGGGAATTAAAGCTGTGTGGACCCTGGCTAGCGCCAGACGTTACTGAAGTAACGTCTTCTGCATAGCTACGGGAATAAACTCAAATTGTACGGCAGCCAGGGTGCATACCGATGATATCTGCTGGTCGATTGAAGGGCCAACGGAGGAGAGGACTAGAAGTAGAAGACCATTGAATTATAGAACTTCCAAGTAGGGTTGTATAGTTAAACGTAGTTTGCTACGGATTGAGTTGGAACCCTGGCATGCGATTCCAGTAGATTAATTGGTCGGGGGAGTCCACTGCATCTCACCAGCGCAGCTCATGTAGCGCCTACACACTCATTGTTGTTTTTTTGTTTTGTCTTCGTTTTGTCTACCCTTCTTCCGTAGGTGCTTGTAAGTGCAATGTGATAAAAAAATCGGATCCTTTGGAACACTCGACCACAGAACAAATTCATCTCCCTGCCTGTGATGCCTGTGCTGCCTGTGCTGCCCGTGCTGCAGCAATTGAAAGATGGCATCCAAAAAGCCTTTTTTACGGCTGAAATAAAATTTGAAAGTTGAATCATTTGCCTGAATGGTTTGGTCTATGGCATGTTTCCAGTTCGTCAAAGAACACCGTGGATGCTAGTCAGGCAATACGTGAATGGCATTTCTCCCTCAGCATTGCTGACTGATGCGAGTGCTACGAAAACTGTTTTGCAACTGGAGGTCAAGTCAAACACACAGTAAAAAAAAAGGAAAAAAAGGAAATTATCGTGTCCGTTCCCGAAGGTAACTCACGACGGCCCCTAACACCCGGTAAACCCACCAACACACCGGCTGGGGGCATATTACAATCTGCTCACCAGATTAGTTTCTTGCCTGTGTGTTTCCACCTACTCTTCAGTCTGGTACTCCCGATGCTTTCTGGAACAAGCAATCTGCTTCGGGTGACAGCAACTACGTCGATGGAGTGGGCATCTACGCCGGCCACCAAAGGAGCCCAATCTACACGTTAGCCGCTGGGTTCGGCGTTGTGGAGGCCGCGTACACCAGTGCCATGTGTCCATGCAATGGCGGTCACAGTCCGCCTTCATTCGTCGGTACGAACTACATGTGTTCAGGATTTCGAGGAACACGCGGTGTCTACAGTGTTGGTCCTGGTAGGCGACTATGGCTTGATGCTCCGACATGCGAAGGTGGCAACCATTTCAGCTCCAACGGTGAGCCTCGTTATTTCCACGTCACTCTGGACAAAGCTCTATCATACCAGGATAGAATCCTCCTAAAGATTCTTACTGACGAGGGAACAGGCAACGAGGCAATCGCCGTTGACTCAGCTGAATTTTATGTGCGCTGATGTTCACGAAAACAGTGATGTTATGTCTTTCTCGCTGGTGATACGTTCTTTTTACAATGTGAAGCAAAACTACGGCATTTTTCATTGATTCCATAGACCTATTATATTCTGCATAATTATGTGAGAGTATTTACAATTTAAAATTTCATTCTTTGCCCTGGTGCAATGCCTTCACGCTATCTTGGCCTTGCTGATACAACTAAGGCGCGCCTTTTGGCCATCCACACTCCCCCTTGCGCAATTTTGCCCTTAGGAATTTCGAACACAATCCTTCTAATCCTTCTTATTTCTTATTCTTTATTTCCACGATGGCCCATGGCCAATAAGGAAGATAATAATTATGATTCAAAATCATATAAAATCAGTCTAGAAAGTGAGGAAACCAACACATTGCAGGATCCTCTGGAGTCATGGGTTTGAGGGAAAGATGCATACGGGAAAATCCTCTTTATTTTGAGGTCTCCGATGCCGGACAACATTACACTAATAGAGAGGTTAAGTTTCACGTAAAAGTCTTACGTCCGTGAACTTTTTCGTCAAAAAGTGAAAAAACTCACGTAAAATTTGACGTGTTTTACGTGAGTTGACTGTACCGCACGTAAGTTCATGACGTGAGTTTTTGGAAGTTTCGCTTGGTTATCCCGACCGAATTTGTGTGAGTTTCCGGAATTTTATCGAGATTTATCAAGTTTGTTGGAAGATTTGATATTTGTGTGAACTAAACCCGAATCCTGCCAGGCAAAATTTCACGTCACGTCGCACGTGTAACTTAACCTCTAAAAATTACACGTAACGTGAGATTTGCACCGCGTTTTGAAAAAGGGCAAAAAACGTGTAACTTAACCTCTCTAATAACACGAGACGCGGGTGTTGAGACAACAATAAATGAGCCGTGATCAGGAAAAACAGACCTATAGGTCAAATTTTTCAAAATGGGTTTTGTTGCTGGAAGTTGTTTGCTTGTATAAAAAAAAATATATAAGCAAGCAATTTCCAGCAAAAAAACCATTTTCAAACATTTGACCTTTAGCTAGGTCTTTTTTTGCTGATCACGGCTCAAATAGAGAAAGGAAAGGAATATATCATAGCTCGTACCCATGCGTTCCTTTCCTTTCACTACTCACTGTATTAGCAACAGTACACAGCTGCTACTCCCTCGTATCTGGAGATCTTGCTTGCCTTACCTATAGAAGGGAAGACGTGCAGCACTTTCACCTCCTGCCCACTCACACTGATCACCGTTTCCGCATTAGTCTACTACATTCCATGATCACCCCGTGAAACTCCCTGCCTACCGAGATTAGGATATCTGGAACCCGTGGTGTATTTAGCCGGCACGTTAAATCCCATTTCCACAGGTGTAAATTCCATCCCCGCGGTTTTCTCACTTCCTGAAAAAATTAATCAATGATTGCACATCAAAGGTATGCCAGTGCAGTCGAACTGATACTTTGCAATGTAAATACGTACCGGTAAATGACCCTTGAATTCGGTTAAGGAACCTAAAGTTGTCAATCGGGGTGGGAGACGATTCCAAAGTGCACCAGTTTTCTGTACGAATAGGTATGAGAAAATGCAGCCATGCGAGTTCAAAATGAGCTTTTTGGGCCTGCAGGCACCACGCGAGATGGCAATCGCAAAGCGAGAGAGATAGTCTGGGTGGAAATTGATGTACTTAAATAAATAAAACAACCAGAGAAATACAGATACAGTACTGCGAAATTGCAGGGATTCCGAGTGACACAATCTATTCAAATTCGATATTCATTTATAGTTGTCAAGTCTATTTTCGAAGACATCAGGAGTCGCCGGCAAACCTCAGCCTGGAGTACATCAAATGACTCTAACTGTGCTGATGTGATCCTAAGAGACGAGACAGGAATGGCATACTCAATTGCCGGACGTACATAACACTTATACAAGAGAGCAATGTGTGACGATGGTAAATGTCCGCAACAGGTTGCTGAAACTTCCTGAAGATGGTGTGGAACTGGTCGTGGAAATTTAATCCATCACCGAGCTCTATGCTGAGATGCTTGGTAGAGCGCCCAGATCCGATTGAATCATCTGTGTCACCTTACACTAATTCTCAGTGTGTTTGGACTTACATGTACAGTAGATATATGGTGTAGCGAATGAATGGAACAGGCTTCCGCAAGACATGCTTCCGGATCCGATGCCCCAGTTGAAGTCTCTCCAATCCTTCAAGACGAAGGTCCATCGCCACTTGCGTCAAAATAATTGGCTCCGGGCTACGGACTCCTTGTGAGACTATGTCACCCCTCAATCAGCAACTACCCTCATCCATCATCTCTTTCTTGTTTTATTCTATTTCTCTCTCTCCCTCTTTCTCTATTTCTCTCTCTCTCTCTCTCTCTCTCTCTCACACACACACATACACACACACACACACACACACACACACACACACACACACACACACACACACCTACACACAGCTTGCAGTTGATCATTCATGGTTTTATCGCTATCGTACTTACTACATGGCAGGCGCCTTTTATTGTCCCGGTAACAGTGTAAGTAAAAGTAAAGTTTGCACGTCCGCGTTACCACCGGCTATACAATTGCGTTGAGAAACACAACCAGCTTAGGAAGTTTCGCATGTGCCAGGCCACCACCATGCCTGTGCTACCAGGGTGGCAAATGCAGCGCCTAACGGCGAGGGTGAGGTGGTAAGTCTCACAACCAATGCCCGACAAGGGGGCTAACCTCGTTAGCTGCATCCATGTTACCCTCACTCCGTAACAGTGTACCCACCGGAAAATCGCTCATTGGCCGCAATCACAGAAGTGCCACAGCGAAAAATCAGCATGCAAAACACTGGTTTTATCATAACTAGGAATGTGTATTGTTTGGGTGTGTACCGTCTCCTTTCGATTCAATCCTTCAAGCCATGGCGCCATGGCCATGGACAAAATGCGCACACAAAGTGTAAGAAGCTAAATTTGAGTCGAAAAAATATAACCTAAAAAAAGAAAAGGACCTAGGGCTAGGAACTACCATGTGCAGTAACACCACCAGTTACTAGTACTTGACAATCAGCTAAAGCGGTAACCATGGTAACATTGCACAACACTGACCGATGGTAGTACATGTACCGCACCGGTCCTTGGTCCTTTTGTTTGTTTTAAAAGACTTCAGCGATACTTTGGGAATTTGTGTTTTGCTCCCTACGTGGGAGCGGGCGCTATTCCTGCCGACTTGAATTCTCACTTCACTGGCTCACGACTGCCATCCAGAGCACACGAGAAGTCCATCGAACCGGCCACGTCAGGTTTTCGTTGTGGCATGGTTGGCCGGGCAATAATGGATTTTCAGTGCCCTCCAGGTGATAATCCACTATTGCCCTCCCAACCATGCCATAAAATTATATACTGAATTCTTGGCTCTCCATCCGAGTCCCTGATAGTATACTCGTGAAGCTTTCGAGATGCTGGTCAGGAGCCTAAGGTGTGTCTTTCTTCTCAGTGTTACCTCATCCTTGTCTCCATGGAAACAACAGTTGAGGATTGATCATTCCATCGTCAGATCACACGCTTAGCTGCCATTGCGTCGGTATGCCTTGATCGGAGGAGTACAATCTCTTGCTGACTCTGTATCGTGGTGTCATGTGCTTTATGCGACCAACGCCTGGATATACTGAATCGTAAAATGTGACCTACATGACTGTACACACGTGACCTACATGACTGTACACACGTGACCTACATGACTGTACACACGTGACCTACATGACTGTACACACGTGACCTACATGACTGTACACATGGACATTGTAAAACATGTAAAGAGCGCCGCCTACTGTGGCTGGGGCACGTTGCGCGGGAAGGACCGGACGCGGCCTCTTACAAGGCACTGCAGCTAGCCCTCAATACTTCGGACATCAAGCGCCCCCCGTGGACGACCCCACGAGAGATGGGTCGACAACATCAAAAAAGACCTCGAACCTCTGAATGTGCCGATTCAGGAATGCCTCAATTCAACCTCGCCACCAACAAGCAACTCTGGCTAACGATCATTGACAGATGCATGACCTCCGTATGATTTGTTTATGTGGGCAATATGCGACCTCAATAAACTGTTGAACGGTATCTTTCGGCTGTTGATTAATATAGTCGGCTTTAGAGTGCATGGAGGAGGAGAGTTAGTTTCTAATATGCCACCTGTTCATATTATTATTGTAGCACGTCTTGGACCTTGACGCTATAATTTTTCGTCTGCTTTTTCTTCATTTTCTTCCTGCCTCTCTTACCAGCTTTTCCATCTCACGTATCTCATCAATCAAGCGAGAATAGGAAACCCCCTCGACACTCGACAGGCGAACAGCCTTTGGGAATAAAAAAAGTTTGAATTCAGGTTAACCGTGATACTTTTTCTGATTGGGTTAGCCACAAAGCAATAGAGTTTAAAAGTTTGGGTCAATCGGTCCCGACGGTGGTTCCGGAGTTATAGTGGATTGTAAGTGCGTCAATTACCAAAATTGAATATGAAGTTGCATGAAATTAATTGCAGCAACGATTAATTTCCCCAAAGTCAATTGTTTGCGCTATTTTCATCAATTATTATTTCGATCGTAGCGCTCTGATTTTTTGACGCGAGCTAGACTGTACATCATGGTACATTGTAGATGACCTCCTAGATCCTCTGCTCTGTGATTCATTGCCTTGGCAATCATTTCCAAAATG